TATAATCCATGCAGCGCCCACCGATGAGACTTCTAGCAGTACAATATGTGTTGCTATTAGTAGTACCGAGGTGTAGCAAGTGGGCATTCCTTGGTGTTGGACCCGCCTGTTGTCCTTCTGACTCAATGCAGAACAGCGATCGATTCTTCGATTCGGCTGCTTCCGACCGATAAATCTTGATGGCTGCTGCTGCTATGGCCCCGCAACCAGACACTACTGTCTTTCTTATACTCTTAGCAGCAAATAAGTATATGCTTGTAGGGGCATAGCAGCAGCATTCATGGAGAGAAAGTGCGCTCTAACACACACAGTGTGTTGTGTCGATCAATTGTTTGTATTTCGTTGAAAGGGAATCTCTCTTTTCTTTGCTCCGATTTCGAATCTTTTGAATTCCCCTTTGAATCCAGTCTGCAAGTTGAATCCATGTTCGTCGTACTCTTTTACTATAGAATCGAATTCGGCGAGCCGGACCGAGTCCCGGTTTCCCCCAAAAAGTGAGGCCAAAATGTGAACCCAAACACCGTTGGTTTGGAGGTGCCAGAAAACCTTCAAGGAAAGAAATGTCATCGCACTGGTACACTCGCAGCTGAATGGTACCAACGAGTACGACGTAATGAAAATACGGAAAGATTATTACAACGTTACAGCTAGCAGCCAATGTAGCTAGCAACCTGCTATCTAGCTACCAAGCTAGATAGTATTGGGTGCATCTTCCTCATCACTGTCAAGGTCCTCTTCATCTGATGTGTCATCTAGCTGAGCAAGATGCTCTGTACCAGGCACAATTGTGTCCAGTGGCATCTCCTCCAAAGCGCTCAAATCCTGGGCTGCATCCTCAACCAAAGCTAGCACGTATTGAATCATCGTACCTTGTTCGTCCTCAGTTTCCTGGTTTATTGTAGGCAAAGAAGCAGCAGCACTAGTTGGACCTTGTGGAGAGGCCTCTGCAACAATATCAGCTAGCTTTTTGCCAGTTTGTCTGCAGAAGATTGGTGGAGCTTCGGTGTCACTCTTGCCAGCATGTAAACATGCCTTCTTGGCCTTCTTGCTGACATGACCAGCCCTGCCGCAGAAAGGACAATACTGCTTTCCCTTCTTTGCTTTCTTACGAGCTGGAGGCATCGTCCTGAGATCCTCCATTGTGACCTCCGCCATATTGATTCCCGAATGGTAAACGCCCGTCCCCTTTGCAAACTTTGTCTTGAATTCTTCCGTAACGGTGGCTAGCTTGGCGGTTTTCCTCTTCTTGCGCACAATTTTGTACTCATTCGTTTTCTTCTTTGCTTGTTGCTTTTCGCGGTTGCGCTGGACAATTCCCAAATAATGAGAGATGCCGTCGGTCATCTTGATTCCAAGCTTGAACAGGAGTCGAGTGTAAAACTGTTCGTATCCAATCGAATGGATGCACACTGCAATTCCAAGACGATTTTCAAGAGAGCGAGTGCTCGCAAAGACCTTATTCTTTGGGGCAAACCATGTCGCAAGGCTATTGAAGGATTCATTGGCGTTGGTATCCTGGCCATGAGCCAATTCCTTCAACCGTTCCAATGTGACGTATTTGGCAACGATGGTGTCCAGTAAGTCGTATAGCTCCGCGTCTTCCTTCTGCGTTCGGTAAACCTTCTTGCTTTTCTTTTTCTCGTCCTCTGTCTCTTTTGACCGCAGGCACCAAGGTCCACAGTTCGTATGCTTGTCAAAGTGGTGATCCAAGACAGCCTTGCCACGGCTTGCGAATTGACCTTCCTCGATTTGTTGGAGCGTACGAATGAAATAAGCAAAATTCTTCCCAATACGGATAGAATCCATTCGGCACATCCCTTTCTTCTTCTCAACAGTAGAGAGATCGAGACGAATTAGCTCGCCCGTTAACTGTTTGCGGCGGTGGTTGGGATCTGCCACAAATTTGGGTTCGGGAATATCACCAGGTAACTTCCCTTTGTCAGGACGGTCCTGGAGCTCGCCCTTGTTCTTGCCTTTCGTAATCTTCACTTTGGGCAGGACATCAGTATTGTTGTTGATTTTGTAGTTAGCGTTGCTCCACTGCAAGTCGGCACGGATAGACGAATCGTCATCACAGCACAAGTGCCGCATGATGACTTTGGAGTCCCGGAACAGATCAACGACCAGCTCCAAAGCCAGAGCAGCTTCCATAGACCCTGACGAATCCTTTGGATCGTGGCTCCTTGTACAATAATGCTCTGGTACCGGTGGACGGTCGTCGGCCTCGGTATCGGCATTCTTCTTTGCCCAGGCAGTGCAAAGGCCGCAAACTTTACTCTTGATCCCAAACGAAATGATCTTTCTCGTAATGGCACCAACAATGGCGCCATGGCCAGACACAGAGTTCCGCAAGTGGCCGGATCCCTTCTGTTGCCACGCCATGTCATGTCCCCCATCAACAAACGGCATTTTGTTCTCGAGTAACGTGCCGTCGGGATCATTCAGAGCCGTCATCCAATCAAGGAAATCTTGCTGATTTGGCGTCGATTTGCGGACCTCCTCTATTAGATTTTCACGGACGACTTCATTCTTCAATTCAAGAATAGATGGCGCAATGCGGTCCTCAATAATTCGGAACGACCGGGATTGCATCGTCGTGTCATTCGGTAAACCCAAAAGACCGAGGATTCTGGCTGCTTCCGTTCCACCGTCGCCATTCGCAAGATTAGCCAAAACAAATAATATATTCGATGCATGGTCGGTGCTTCTTTCACCCTTGTCATTACCACCAGCATGCATTGTGGTCTGGGCTGGCTTGTTGCTGCTGTAAAGGTAGTCGCAATCGTCATTATTACATTCAAGTTTGTATGAGGACGCAATGCAGCAATTGTGGATGCGGAATTGGAGGGTTCCATTACAACCGTCTCTCTGGCAAGTCTGCTGACTGAAGTAATGGTTGAGTTGATCTACTTCCAGAATGACTCTTTCGTGGGGCTTTGTGTTGAAAATGGGCCCAGTTTGTTCATCATTTTCCTCTTCGGTGGTAGCCCCTTGATCACCCTCTGCTGCCTGGGCTTCTTCCTCAAACTCCGGTGCGGTTGGATTGTCTTCGTCGTCACTCGGTTCCTCACCGTATAAAACCCTCGCATAATTGGTCTTCCTTTGACATTGTTCCTTGTCCTCGAATTTACAGTGCCGTTTCCAGGAAGCTTCAACCAATCTCCATCCTTCGAAGCCAGCTTCGCTGATTCAATAGAGGCATTAGCTTTCCAGCATCTTCCAGTACTACTGCCCGGTACAGGGGTGACCACATTAGTAGGCGGCAACATCTCCGTTTTTTCGTTCGTCGAGGCGCTCTATGTTTGATGGTGTTCAGCCATTGCCAATAGAATATGCGCGGGTCCACGGATTGAAATTTGGCGCTTGCACGATAGGTCGACTGGCTCTCCACATGGATGAAAGACTCAGAGACGAAGCCAGGATAGGTGCGCGAAGCTAGAATTTATGGCTCGAACTGATATTACATGCGCCGTACGTCAATCCAGTGAGAGTACGAACATTCAAGATTCCGGATTCCGTAATTTATACGAAACATATGTGCGAAACAAAGGCCAGTATGTAGGCAAACATGCGCTGGCTTACTGCCCGTGGCTCAACACCTTAAAAAAAAACAATCCCTTACAGGTTCTGAGGCAGTCGTGGAAATTTTAAAGCCTGAGTGAAAAAAGTCGGACGGTCCTGCACAGTCGTAAAAGGGTAAAAGGCAGTAATGAAGTAATGTCGTATGCATATGTAGGTGGTTTCAGCTAGTGTTTCACACAAGGTTTTTACACCTGTTCCGGACGCCCACAGAGACGCAAGGGGCTGGATGGCTGGATCGAGAAGAAAAGGAACATCAGGGCAATAATTCAATCACACTTCTAATTGAGAGCCCGTCATCCAATCGTCAATCGTCCCTTGATACTTGCAATGCTGTACTTACTTTAGAAAAGAGAGTTAGACTACAGTGTAGTGATGGGATGTCAAGTAGTGTTCGATTTCAGTGATTTTGAGACCTACTAGTAGTCTAGTCAACCTCGCTCCACCCCGTGAGTCCCTCCTGCACCACGTGGTTTTTAAGTTTCAGCGTTTCAGCTCTGTTTCACCCAAGGTTTTTACTCCAGTTCCGGACGCCCGAAGAGACGGAAGGGGCTGGATGGAGACAAGGAACATATTAGTTCAATCACGTTTCTAATAGCTTTTATAATGATCATAAGTGATGAAAAAAATGAAAATGCCGAATCGAATCTTGCTGGGGCAGTATGGTGCCGGTACCACCTACAAGTACATTGTATGTAATAAAGAGCCAGTCTGGTACGGCTTGTTTGGATGGTGGTTTAGATCTCGTCAGAATGATCAATCCAAACACAATCTTTAATCACCCTCCAAACGAGCGGTAATGGGTGCTCTAACCTTTTGAATATGACGGTAATAAAATTTATTGCACGACCTTTGCTTCTATCGCACAATCCTCAGAACAAAATAACACAAAAGTGAACGGTACAATGGGCTGCACATTTTCTTCCACTGCACTTGTAGCCAACGGGTTCATCGTTGACCCAGCTCCAGGAAGGGCAGGCCAAGTGCACTTCGACGATGGAAGATCCATCACATTCTCTTGTCCAGCTGGTCTGGTCATGAGGCAAGATGGTATTCTGGTTGATCCATTGGTTTCTTTGTTCTGCTCCAACCCTGACAGCACTCATCATCGACCAATTACACCTCCGAGCCTATCCTGCGAAGAACCATCACTGACTGACTCTGGAATCATGGGAGAACCCCATGTCAAGAAGTGGAATGGAGAATGGTATGACTGGCAGGGAGAGTGTGATGCTGTCTTCCTCCATGTCCCAGACTTCCGCGATGGGCTTGGTTTGGATATCCATACCTGGACCACCATCCGCTACAACTACAGCTTCATCGAGACTGCAGCCATCCAGATTGGTCCTGACATTCTGGAGGTCAGCAGCTTTGGAGACTACATGCTGAATGGAGTTTCCGCTGCTGAGTTGCCTCAGGTGATGGGAGATTGCTGCAATGTAACTCACACCCAGCTCAACCAGAAGCAGCACTCCTTTTCCATCCACATGGGAGAAGGGGTCAGCCTTGAGCTCTCTACCCACAAGGACATTGTCTCTGTTAAGATCCTTCATGGAAGTTCTCCTGCGGTGGATGCGTGGTTTGGCAGCAGCTCTGGCTTGATGGGGAGCTTCCATGAGAGCAAGACCTTGGCCCGTGACGGTGTCGCTCTCTTGGAGGATCCCAATGAGCTGGGCCAGGAGTGGCAGGTCTTGGATAGGTAAGCATCTGCTCTTCTCATTTGATTGTTGCATTCCCAGCTTTGACATTATCCACTAACACTTCCTTGCTTGCTTGTTTGCTTGCTTGATGCAGTGATCCCAAGCTCTTCCAAAACCCCGATCGTTCTCCCCAGTTTCCAGAGAAGTGCCGCCTCCCAGATGCTGATGCTGCTGCCCAGGAGCGTCGTCTTCTCGGGGGAGCTGTATCCAGAGATGAAGCAGCAGAGGCCTGTGCCCATTGGAATGAGGACGAGAGGAAGAACTGCATTGCCGATGTCCTTGCCACCAATGATTTGGAACTTGCTGAGTTCAATGGATACTAGACAGCCAGTTCAAAGACCTTGTCAGGTAATGCTGGCTATAATTTTTGTAAGAAGCAGAGAGCGGGAAGAAGCCGATCAAACCTGAGGAGGAAATAGCAAAGAAAATACATTTAGTGAAATGCGCAAGCAGTCGTGCCATTTAAGTTACAGCTGTACTCTAAAAAGATGGAGTTTACATTCCCACAGCCTTCTATTCCCAATCCAGGTGCACAGCCGAGCAGGTATCATTGGGCGGAAATCCAACCACAGGACTGCTTCATTTTGCTCGAGGGTCACTGGCAGTGCCGGTGTTGCAACGGCGTGTCCTCCTGCGAAAGCCGCTGGCTGGACACTGATCGCTTTGCATTTTCGACAACTGTGAGTGGATCCTGTACAGTATGGTAATGTACGTCTAGATTTATTTGTCGCGACTCAGCAAGTGAGTTGTCGTGTAGGGCCGTCTGGTTGATTGTTGCCTTTTACCTCGGCAGTCTTGCTGCCAGAGCCCTCAACCCCTTTAATTGTTTTTCCTGCTACGGTGGTCCCTGCAGGTATAAGGGTAGGGTTAGAATACAAATAAGTCAGCAAAAACTAAATAAGTAGCCTAGAATGGTGCTTTTAAACCAGCTAAAGCTATTTACATGCATCCTAGTAGGGGGGTCTGCTTCTACCAGGAAAAACTCTAAAGCTAGCAAAAGCTATATAACTAGTATTCTAGCTAGCTTGGGGTATACGGTATCTGCTTCTAGTTTGCTATGGGAATCTGCTTCTAGCTAGGGGATCTGCTTCTAGCTAGCTAATCGCAAAAGTTAAGCACTAGCTAAGCACTACAGGTATCTGCTTCTAGCTAGCTAGCTACCCTTCCCTAAAATGTGAAAATTACCCTCGTTGAAAGATTTATAGCCGTTCCCCAAGACTAAAACAAGTTTTGACCTTAGAATACGGTATTAACCCCTTAAATCAATCAGTCTCATAGCCAAATTTCGCAACAGCAACCACCGCCACCTTGTTGCAACCACAAGCAAGGATCGACCATGGCCAATCAGTCCTCATCTTCTCCAACACCGGCCTCATCCAGCTCTCTCACTACATCTTCTTCTTCCACAAATAGACACTCGTCGTCATCCGCAGCTGCTGCGTCCTCATTCTTGGCAGGCTCCGTTGCTTGTTGCGGTCGGATTACGATCGGCACAATGACCTTTTTTCTGGCCTTGTCGACGAGATTATTGTCACCGTTGCCAGCGAGAATGAGACGCAGTACCTTATCCCAGGGCTTGAATATGTTGCGAAAGCTTCGATTTGAGTCATAGCCTTCCCAAGCCTCGAGTACAGTTCGTGACAAGGCTTAATCTTTGTTAAGCCAGCAGGGGGTAATTTTCACATTTTAGGGAAGGGTAATAGGGGTATCTGCTTCTACACTGAAACCTTTCTGCCGAGGTTACACAGCTCCGCTGGCTTAAATGGTCGATGAAGTTCTTTGCTCAGGCTGGTCTACAGTAGGGCTGGAGTTAATCGCAGATTCCCCCATACGGTACCTGGTACTGGTACAGTCGTAGCCATTGGTCAGAGCGGCCTCCTCTCTTGTTGTTGTCGATTGACCGGAAAGGACGCGACAATGGTAATTCCCTGGCCGTCAGCAGTGCAGTAGAGAAAACAACAAATAGATTTGAGTTTTGTTTTGTTTTCTGTGCTGAACTGCAGACAACCGGAGACTTACAGTACCCTTTGTTCTCCAACTTGATCATCATGGGCCCAGATTCATTCTGCATCGGAGATGCTCCGATTGACTGAGGCTTGATACTAATTGTGCCACAGTCGAGGTGCGAAGATACTCTAACCCGATCAACTGATTGATTCGATTTCATTCAAGCATTCATTCGATCGACTGCCGCCAGTCCATCCTTCAAGTGGCTACCGTACAGAGGGATCTACTGTAACGGTTCGTTCAAAAGAGGATTGACTCAATGTTTCGGAGTCCCATGCAATAGCCTTATCCAGTCAAAATAACAAACGGACAATGAGAATTCAAGGACAATGAGCAGATCTGCAGGGGAATCGGAGCTACATGTCCGGCGGCAACACCTGGAGAAAAATGGAACTACCGTACCACGCAGCAACCCGCACCATGGTGACAGTGATGGGTTGCGATGCTGTGCTTTCTGCATTTTTCATGCGCGGGTGTGAAAACTGGTGGCCATGTGTGCCATAAATCTCAATGTCGTCACCTACAAACAAAGAGACCAACCATCATGTCCTCAGACACAACTACCTTTTCAACAGATTGAGTTTGCCCCATGAAACAAATCCATCAGTACAAACCTTCATCGACACATACAAGAGCATCCTCTCATGCCTCTGCAAGTATTTCGTCCGAGTGGTTTTGGAGAAAGATTAATCCGAGTCAGGGCTTGGTTGGAGCCGAATAAACGGAGGCAACGGGCTGAATCCGTACAATCTAGTTCTATACCAAACTGACAAAAACAACAATATCAATGTTCCTTCCTATGCAATCAACATCAATCAGCTGTTTTTTTTAAATGAGTTGTATGCCATTATTCAGCGCAACGTCTCAACACAACCAACAATGAAGATCCAAAGGTTGCCTTCCCGCTGTGGGCTACCGGTAGCTAGTAGAGTGGGAGCTGAAAAAGACCTCAAAAGGACGAGATCGATTTTACATGTGATTGGATGCTTTGGCTTGGGGCATGTGCGGTCCATCCTCCCTTCCGGTCAGTGACGCCGCGGGTCCGGACAATTATTGCTTGATGCGATGCTAGCTAGTCTAGTACTTGTATATAGTCCACTTACTTGTATGCCTGTAGCCGAGACCGCTTCAACTACATGTACTACTACCGGTAGCTAGCAGTCTACTAGCTACTGTCTATGAGAAAGCGACGGGCCACACAGAAAGAGTTATTGACTAACAAACAAGATCTCTCCCGTCTCTTGTGCTGCCACTGTGCAAACCCTTTGGGAACGCGACAAGCTGGCACCTCTGGAGTTCTCCCAGACAGCCACGCAAGGTACTAGCTGGACAGCATAAGATAGAGCCGTGAATAGCATATGAAATAAATGTTAGCCACCAATGCGGTACGAGATGACTCGACTCCAATGCCCCGTAGAAGCGAAGCGCTTTGAATGGAGGTGCAAACCCTGGCCCTCCCGAAGCTAGGAGCAATAGGTCATCAATCACCTTTCTTGCTATCGGCATCATCATCGCTGGCATCCGCTTGATCCAGGATGCGCACAAATTCATCCAGCAACTGATCTGTATGAAACAAGTACAGTCCATGCCCGGAGTCCACCTTGTGCAATGTGGCATTCGGCATGGTCTCAGCTAGCCATTCTGCTGATGCCATGGGAACGGACGAGTCTTTGGTCCCATACCACAAGGTCACAGGTACTTTGATATCTTGGTATGCTTCTGTAGCATTCTGGTCCACACTGGTGGGATCGTGGTTGCTCGAAGAGCGGGCATAGAGTGGACTCAATCCTTGTTGGCAATCAATGGACGCGGGGATTCCAAGATGCTTCATGGAATCTTGCATCACTTTGGCTAAAACCGGTCTCCCTTCGAGTGGAAACTGATCTCCTAGGACAGCCTGGTAACCTCCCAAGTATACCAAGTATATTTTTCCCAAGGCCATTCCGAGAGCCGTGAAGGGTCCTGTGATAAAGGTAGGCAGTGAGTTGTAGATTCCTTCAAATGCCGTCGATGGAGATTTCCAAGAAAAATACCCAGAAGCCACTACATCACTCACGCCCACAATGTTGGCGGCAGCCTTGACTCGATGCTTCAATATCGGATGGGTCAATGTGGCCATGACGTAGGGACCCCCGTTGGAGACGCCCATGACACCATATCTTCTTGTGTCGGCAACGCCCAACTGCGTGGCGACTTGATCTACAATCACCGGCCAATCCCGACGAAGTCGGAACCAATAATTGAAGGAGGTTTCCCCAAACCCTGGCTTGTCAATGTAGAGCAAGGCAATATTGTGTGCCTGGTAGACATCGTTGTGTGGCGACGTGACGGAATGAAGGGCAGGTTCTTCAGCTGATGCAGGAAGACCTCCAAAATAAAAGACCACGTGCTGAGCATCGTTTATAGGACGACCCCATAGTGTCACATTGACTGTGTGGGGAATTCCAGGAGTGGTTTTGGATAAGGACAAGAGATGTCGAGAGACAGGTTTGGGTAGCATGTTTCGTATCCGGTAGGTCTATCTTTCTTGATTGATCTGGAACACCCCATTGAATACTAATCTGCACCTCGCGGTAATGAGGCTTCCATTCGTGTATTGACCTTTTTCTCATTTTCTCCAGAGCAGATTTGCGAAAATTAAGCATTCACCAGCTCGAATGAGAATCAGTGCTCGTGGAACAGTGCCCAACCAGGTGCCCATATTCAGCGCGGAAACGCTGTAGGTATTGTAATCTCCTCGTGTATCCACCACCAGCTACTACATACATACCGGTACGTAGTAGATGAGGGCATCCATCTGCAGAATGCGGGGGTTATTACGCCTCCTGCCCCTCTCCTCCTCGAAGAGACAGAGCCATGGGTCATGAGTGCACGGACACGGGAGTGCATACATGGGGCAATCACCGTTCCAAAGTACATGTATTGTAGTGGAGTTGTGCTGGGGGGGGGGGGGCATGAATGCCTGATCTATCTCTGATCCCATAGCGACAGCAGACTCCCGTTCAGACAGGACCTTCCAGCTTCAAGTCAAGAAAGGGTTCAGAGGCTCAAGTGGAGCGGAAGGATATATAAGGTAGGTGATGGAGTGGAGTTGAGTCAGTTTGAATGTTAACGCTGCTTTTTTCATAGTATGTACTGTATGTGCAAGGTGTATGATTATTGGATTATCGCGAATGCTGTGGGTCCGATACATGTACCGGTAGCCAGCGTCTATGCCGCGTTTAGCAAGTAAGCAAGCGACCGTATTCTATTGAGTACCTGTGCCTTTACATGTATTCACAGGCAGATATTATTAATAGCTCACAAAAAGGCGACAAGTAAGTGGGAATGGCAATTGACTCTAGCTAGCACTAGCTAGTATGCGCGATGCTTTTTTAAAAAAAAAACTTTAGGAGCCAGCCAGTGGTTGATTGTTCTCAGAGCTGTTTTCAGTCAGGTCACGCCATCAATGACCGATAGTGGAGCTCAGATAGAGATATAGTCGCGATTCGATCAGCCAATGACCGCGATTCGATTCCATCGAGACAGCACTAGCTACACTCCAAACCTGAAAGTAAGAATCTCCAAATAAGAAAGCGAGTACTCAGATTTTAGAAAAAGATAAGAATTTCTTGATACTGAAATATTACAGACTTGTAAGAAAACCTCCCAGTATTGAGACCTCAAATCATAAGAAATACCAATAGTCTGATACCATGAAATGCTTCAAACTTATGGCTAAATCTGAAAAATTTTCTGCCTGATGGCAGAGGCTGTGACCACCATCCCTATTTGATCCAAACCATTACAAGTCCTGAGCATATTGGACCCCAAGGGGCAGGTGCACTGGGTGTATCAAAATGATAACCTGTTCGATCTAGAAGCTTAGTAAGAAAGTCTTCTATACTGAAATTGGCTTGTTTTGTTAGAAAGAAAACGAGTAGCAAAAGAGAGCATTTTGGTAAGAAAGCTCCAGTACTGGCTCCCAGTTAGAGCTTTCTTATTATTGAGTTTGGAGTGTAGAACTCCATCACTTAGTGGATTTAGGTGCCTCGATCTATGATTCTCACCTCATATTCACATTCACAAGACGACGAGACGGAATGGCCATTGATGAGAAGAATGGGTGATGTTCCACACTCCACAATACCAGGTAGCTAGAGATGCCGATGGTTGATGGTTGATTGCTCCACATTGATTCACAGTTCACAAGACAAGTATTAATAGGAATGGCCATTGAGAATGGGTGATGTTCCCCACTCCTCTACTCCAAAGATGCCGGTTGAAGGATGGTTGATGGTGGATTGCTCAGAGCTGTTTTCAGTTTCAGGATTCAGAGACAGAGCCCAGAACAAATCTTGTTTGATGCAGCGTTATTGTCCATGCAGAATGCAGACTCCCGCCACTAAATTCCTAAATTCCTCTCCTCTGCCCTCAATTGCCATGTTACGAGAACTTGTACTGCGGTACCGGTGGTACGGTACTCTACTGTATGCTGTATGTCCCGTACTGTACCGGTACCCGACGAAAAAGTATCACAGTTCTGTACAGGAAGACACCTTTGAAAGTCGGGTAGCTGCGGTAAATTATAAATTTTATACAAACATTCAGAGTAAAATGTAACTTAACCCTATATTTACCCCAGCTACGCTTCAAATCCGGTCTTCCTGGAGTACCGGGTAGTACCTGGTAGTGGTGCTTATGACTTTTAAAACCCAATTCCTGCAACCAAGAAAGAGGGGAACCTCTCATATTTCTCTGAATGTGTACACTTTTCTCGGAGTATTATGGTCGTTTGTGAAGAAATGAGTTTTAGAGAATTATTGTTTTCTCCGCCTTCTATTTCCTTTTGAGTTTGCATAAGCCATTGATTCTGATTGTTTGTGCTTACACGAAATTGGACTTGTCAGCTCTACTTATCACCCTTTTGTTTCTAATGTTTATGTAAAAAGGCTTACAAAGACGGCGGGAAAGGGGTTCACACGTTCAAACTCCAAAGTCAAAAACATCGAAGCGATGCAGCTCACAAAACAAACTCGTTTGCAAGCTGTTGCCCAGCTTTAAAAGGACGGAAAGGAAACAAAAGTTGCATCTTCTAGCTATTAGATCTATAGTTGACCATGAGACGTGAACGCATCGGCTACAGCAGCAACCACGACGACTTATTCATGTTAGAAGAAGGCATGAGCTCATCTGAAGAAGACTCGGGGGGGTTTGAGATGATGGATTCGAGTCGCAACTGCCACAGCATTCAGGAGGAGATTTCATCGAAAGAGACACTGGCAGTGTTGCGCCTGCGTCAGACAGTGGCTCTCATCCTGATGTTGGCAACGGTCACTGTTTCGTTGTTGATCTACCTGATTAGGAAAAACGGGGAGGCCCAGGAATTCCAGAATCAGTACGATGCTGCCGCGGACAAGATCATTGAATCGTAAGTTAGTTTTCATGGGATGTACATACATTGTAGTAGAACCCCCGCAATCTTCCTGGAGGCATGCAGTTCTTGATCAGGTTCTTTAGTGGCGTTCTCTGATGATACTGTCTTGCTTGTTCTGCTGCTCTACATCAAGGTACGAAGACATCATTCACAAGATGGGAGCCATCAGTGGCCTGGGCGTCGCTCTCGCGAGCCACAGCATGGGTCAGAAGACCTTCTCCGAATGGCCCTTCGTGAGCTTGCCCAACTTCCAAGTTCGGGCAGGAAACGCAAGAGAACTGTCAGGGGCCTTGGCCGTTAGTATCTCGCACATTGTTCCAAGGGGGGAATTCAATGCATGGCACGAGTTTGTGAACGGGCCAGACAATGCCTGGATGTAAGTACCAAAGGATTGCATTTGGTACCTTTTGACCCTTCCGTCCCAGTGCTCACATTCCACTTCTCTTGCGTGCAACAGTGAAGAAAGCTATAGTTACCAGGAATCTTTGGGTACGAATGACTTTGAATACCCCGAGAACATAGAGAAGAGCTGGATCAGAAGAAACGATACTGTTGATGTAATGCACTACTTCGACGAGAATGGAAATCCAATGGCGGAAGAGAGTTCTATGCATTTCTATTTACCAGTCTGGCAAGTTAGCCCTCTATTGAAGACGAATCTTGTGAACAAGAATTCGATCTACGAGGAAGACTTCTCCGATGCCTTGGCACACATCTTGAAGTACAAGACAGCCTACGTGGGCAGGTTCCAGACTGCGACTCCTGGCGACGCCACGTCTTCTGACCCAAGTACTGCTCGATTTGCTGCCCTTCTGAGTATCCGGGAAGGGAAACAAGTCCCCTACCTAGGCGAACCAATGTTTAACATCCACGTAAGATCCAATGATTTGTTTCGTTTCCACCACCATGCAAGTGGCTGCGATGTTCGAGCTCACAGCCAACCTTTCTCTTCTTCGCCCTCGCAAGTTCCCGATATTTGACCAGTTCGCCGCAAAGGAAAGAAAGATAGTCGCTATCATGACTTCGACTGTTTCATGGCGCTCCTACTTCCAAAACATCTTGCCTAGAAACGCCAAGGGCGTTGTGGTTGTTCTAGACAGTGGTCGCGAACAATTCTCGTTCGAGATCGATGGCCACGAAGCCCGAGTCCTTGGCCTCGGTACTCACTATGAACCACGATATGAGAAATACAGGAAGCATGCCGATTTCACTGTTGGCCATGTGAAAGATGGGACGGTCAATGGCATCACGATCAACTCAGAACACTGTCACTGCAACTATCATATCGACATCTACCCGTCGACAACATTCTACGACGAGTACAACACCAATGCACCGGTCGTACTGACCTTTGCAACCGTTGCGATATTTGTTTTCATGATAGCAATCTTCCTTCTGTACGATTTCTTGGTCGAGAAAAGGCAAACAGTCGTCTTAAACGAGGCCACGCAATCGACTGCGATTGTCTCTTCGCTCTTTCCCAAGGTAAGAAGAATGTACGAAGCGAGGGCATGCATAGCAAGAGCCACGAGTTGCTCATCTTTTATGACGTTGACTTGTTATCAACAGAACGTAAGGGAGAGGCTCATGAAAGAAACGCGTCAAAACTTGGGAATTCGAAGCAAGTCTGGTCGTCGCAACTTCATGAATGTTTCACGGACTGAGATGGAATGTGCCCCGATTGCCGAACTCTTTCCCAACTGTAAGTACCTGGTACCCGAAGGTAATGGCTTCGATCGTGCCTATGACCGTCTCTGCTCTATTGCTGATGATTTGCCAATCTTTCAGGCAGCGTCTTCTTTGCCGACATCGCGGTGAGTTTAGACTACAGGCAATTGCAAACCATTACGGCATTGGTGACACCTCATCATTTGTGTGCATGTCTGTGCTTGCTAATCTTTCAGGGTTTTACCGTAAGTCGCTTGTCGCGATATACTTCGATAAGAAGGAAGGAGATCGTTCATGCGTGGCGTCGCCCTGATCATTTGTTGCTTCCGAAAATTCCATCCAGGCTTGGTCATCCACGCGGGAGCCTTCCCAGGTATTCATGTTGCTCCAAGGGCTTTATCAGGAATTCGATAAGCTCGCAAAGCACTGGAAAGTCTTCAAAGTTGTGAGTAGTTTGCTGCATTGACTGCATGCATTCGCAACAGGACCCGTCTAATGTCCTCTTTCTTGTTCCAAAGGAGACAATAGGGGATACGTATATGGTGAGTACCACATTGCTGCTTTCGCTGCGTGCATAGGAAAGAACGAATAGTCTGATGTCTCTGGCTTGTTGCTAGGCCGCAACCGGGCTCCCTCAACCACAAAAGAATCACGCGACAATCTTAGTGGGTTATGCTCGCCAATGCATGCTGAAAATGCGCGAGACAACCGATAAGCTAGAAACGACGCTTGGCCCAGGCACTGCAGCTCTTTCGATGCGTATGGGGGTTCATTCGGTACGTACCAGGTACCATCCTTTGCCACGTCTGTCTCTTGTAATTGCCGCCGCTCCATTCAGAGGTCTCACACTCTTGTCAAAAACAGGGACCAGTGACTGCTGGCGTGCTACGAGGGGACAGGGTAAGTCAGGTTTCGTATCTGAAGACTTTCAGCTGGCAACCAGTTTCACTCAGCTTCGTGATGTTTCTTCCGAACTCTTTTGCAACAAAGGCACGCTTCCAAGTACGTGGCTTTGCTTTCATGCAATGCTGTGACTTTTGATGCAGTCACTAATTAATATGCTAACCATTTGGCGCTCGTGTTATAGCTCTTTGGTGATACGGGTAAGATAAGAAAGCTGTTGAGGTGCATGTGGAAAGATGATCTCTCGAGCTCACATTGCACGGTGCCACCTCGTTTTCCTCGTGTAGTCAACACCGCCTCTGTGATGGAAAGCACTGGTTGCTGTGGAATGATCCAGGTGTCAGAAGCCACTGCAACTCTTCTCAGGCTGGCTGGCAAGGACTACTGGCTGCAACCCCGCCAGGACATGGTGAATGTAGGTCGTCGTTTCATTCTCTTCGGGTTGCAGTCAATTTCTCCATTGCTTACTTGCACGTTCGTTGGATTCTTTCTGCGGCACTACTAGGCAAAGGGAAAAGGTGTGCTGCGCACGTTCTATGTTTCTCCTCCACTGGTCAGCGGATTCACAAACAGTTGGTCAGGCAAACTCGGGAGTTCTACTAGTATTGCTGACGATCATTCGTCGTTAGGAAATATGGACTGGAAAGAAGCAGAACTGGGACATTCTCAGACGGCTGAAAATGCTAGATTTGTGGATTGGATGACTGAACTGCTTCTTGCGGACGTTCGAAAGATGGTGAGTGTGGAATCACCCGTGCGATCTTCACAATCCAAGTTTGACATCGTTGCTGCTGTGCCCTAAGACAACTCACTTCCGTTGGTTTCTCGCCTGTTACAGGTTGCCCATCGTAGACAGCTTGGGGTCAAGGAAGACCGAACATCGGACTTCGTGTATCGCTTGCCCGATGGGAAGACGTGCATGGACGAAGTGAAAGACGTGATTCAAATGTCAACGTTCAACGAAGCTGCACACTGCGCCTCGGACTCGTCGCCAGTTGTCATTGAACCATACATCGTGGAATCACTCCGAGGATTTGTATCAGACGTCGCATTGCTGTACAGAAGAAACCACTTCCATGGCTTTGGTGAGAGGCTCATCGTATTTCCTTTGTTGCGCGACTCTCTCCGCTGTCGCTCACCTCCCTCTCTTTTCTCACCTCCCAGAACATGCGTGTCGTAAGTGAACTCCTGAGTATGGTCTTCGTGCTCTTGTCTAGGCTTGGCAAGCTGCTCAGCGATCTCCTTTTCCAACTCCTCGCAGATGTCACCCAATCAGTTTCGAAGCTGTTGCATCGAATAGTGAAACCAAGTATTCACCCTCTTTGTGACGGAAGTCACCGTGATTTTGCCTTGCACATGCATGATCACACTTACGGAATCTGCAATGATCCTTTGGTGGCGTTCGCCCTCTCGTTCTCAAGCCTGATTCATGACTTAGATCACAAAGGCATCTCTAATGCTCAACTGGCAAAGGAAGCCCCTGTCTTGGCAACGATTTACAAAAACAAGAGTATTGCGGAGCAGCACTCCTGCGAGCTCGCTTTTGAGTTGCTAATGCAGGATCGCTACAAGGATCTTCGTAGAGTCATTTTTGGAACCACGGAACAATTTCATCGATTCTACCAGATCGTTGTCAACATAGTGCTTGCCACCGACATTTTCGATGCAGAATTGAAGGCAAAAAGAGAAGAGAGATGGGCCAAAGCGTTCTCTGAGACAGATTGCAGCATTGCTGTGGGCAACGTTCAAGGAGCAGTCAATGATGTCCGCGCGACAGTTGTTCTGGAGCACATCATTCAAGCCTCCGATGTGTCACACTGGTAAGAACAGCATGGGGGAAATACATGTACAAATACGAGTGAACCAAGGTCCTTGTACATGCTTATGAATGTCTTCCTCCTCCGTCGATCCGCCTGCGCTCATCCTTCTTTTCTCTCTTTCCACAGCATGCAGCATTGGCATGTCTATCAGAAATGGAATAGACGGCTGCTGATGGAAATGCATAAAGCGTACAAGGCTGGCCGAATGGGGATAGGTGAGTGCCACCATTCGACGTGGGTTTTATCCTTGGACGACGCCATTCTAAGCAAAGACGCTTTGAATCTCATGTGACCTGATGTCCACAAAGATCCGTTCACCTTTTGGTACAAGGGCGAGATCGGTTTCTTTGACAATTACATTATTCCCCTGGCTAAGAAACTGAAAGAGTGTGGTGTCTTTGGGGTTAGCAGTGACGAATACTTGGACTATGCCCTGAAGAACCGTGCCGAGTTTGCAGAGCGAGGACAAGAGATAGTGGAGTCAATCAAGAGAGAACTTGAGGCTGAGTCAATCAAGAGAGAACTTGAGGCTCTGGAAACTGCAACTGTGGCCACAATGGACGAGGCCCACATGAACACCAGAAGAACAATTCCAGAACAAGCCTTGGGAAGCAGTTGGGCCCATCCGACTCCTCCATACCTTCCAACACCTTGCCTAGCTCGGGTTGCCTCTGAACCTGTCAGAAGAACAATTCCAGAACAAGCCTTGGGAAGCAGTTGGGCCCATCCAACTCCTCCATACCTTCCAACACCTTGCCTAGCTCAGGCTGCCTCTGAACAAGCCTTAGAAAGCAGTTGGGCCCATCCGACTCCTCCATACCTTCCAACACCTTGCCTAGCTCGGGTTGCCTCTGAACACGCCAGAAGAACAATTCCAGAACAAGCCGTGCGAAGCGGTTGCGCCTATCCAACTCCTCCACACCTTCCAACACCTTGCCTAGCTCGGGTTGAAACTTTTTGAGTTCAAGAAACATACAGATAACTTTCCTACTCTAGCTAGATCCCCTTTATCTTAAAAGAAGGAAGTAGTCGCGGGCTAGGTCTTTGGGGCTGCTAGATAGCGCCATAAGGAGGCTATTTTGATGCCATGCAAGGGGAACGCTCCATTGTACCGGTAGAGCGTAGAGCTAAGGGCAAGAGCTGTTTTTAGCTTCTGCCTTTTTAACCCCAAGTTTATGTAGAGCAATGAGCTACCTCTAATTTACAAGAGAACATCCATGATGAAATGAGACACTGCGAGAACCGTCAGCCAACCCACCAAACAAGTGCCAACAGCCCATCGAGTACGCGTTGGAAGTGGCAACCATCTACTCACTGAGTGGTACTGGCTGGTTGGCTGGCTGACTGACTGGCTGAACGTGCTACTACTGAAAAGCAGATACTTTGGGCATGACAGTAAACCAATGTTGCTCTGGATCCACCACCTTCATTGTTTCCAGTGTCTCCCAAGGTGAGACTTGTTCCCCGTCCACCAAGAACCGTAGATTCTCCGACGACTCCAGATTCATCAGTTTGGCCAAGCAGTCTTCGACCTTTTTCATTTTCGTCGTTCGCTTGACTCGGATGCATGTATCTTGCGTTTTACCATCGATAAAGCATTTGATCTTGACCGTGACGGATTCAGCATTACTGCTGGCGTTAGTTCCTTTGGTGCTGCTTTGCTTGCTGGTGGCGGTACTAACGTTGCTGCTTTGGGGTATTCGATTTTGAGCCATGGGTGTGATATGATGTCGTAATGGGCGCGAAGTGGCAACTCGAAACTCGCTTGAATCAGTGTCTGATAATGTTCCGTCGCGAATGATTTCTGCCTGGTTGTCGTTTCTGCGAGCCCGGGCGGGGTGTTCTTGATCCTCGCGGGCGTCGAATCGACTGCGGTTGGTGTTGGATGCCCCTTGTGGTGGTGACGGGCGTGGTGCTGGTTTCTTGTCCTCTCTCGTGGCGACTGAATCCTGGTTGTTGCTTTCGGTAGTTCGTGGCGGTATCCCCGAACCTGCCTTCTTGTTCGTACCGGATGCCTCCAGAAAATTCCACACGTCGACGTCGTATTTTCTTCCATACAATGCTTTCAGAGCAATTTTGGTAGTCTTGATTCTTTGCTCTTGCGTCGAACTATCGGCGACAAGAGAGAGATCAGGGTCGTAAGCAATCAAAGCTCCACAGTACTCGTCGCACGCTCTGATGTACTGCTTGTTGTAGAGGAGATGTTGTTGCCAAACCAAGTCGATCACTACGGACGGTGCCAGATGCTCGCAATCCCAATCCTCAAAGTTGGCTTTCAATTCCATGAACTGAAGATACCCTTCCAAGGCGCGAACGGTGTATTCCTCATCCCAGACATATAACAAAGAGCATCGAGCCCCGAGATTCTCGGGGAGCTGTAATGAAGGTTCCTGAGGCATTGGTTTGCCGTCTTCTTATCTACTAGTTTGCCGTCGTCGTTACCGTCGTCGATGTTGCTGCTACCACTCTTTCGATATCGATCTGACCATTGCCATGCACAAATTTGGTCTATCGCTTCAATGGTCGCCAGAGTCACCTGAATTGTGTGTTGGTGGCAGTTCAACGCAGCTGGTCGCAGTGCTTGGACTCTCACAGGCTTTAATCACCCTAATTTTTGGAGAGTTCGAGCTGCGCCAAAACGTGACTCCTGCTAAACGGAAGATGCTCGGTGTTCCTTGCCTTGGGCGATGCCCTTGTGCTCACAAATTGGGCTGCCACCAAAACACTTAAGGCGGGGTCACCTCAGGCAACCCAGCTTAGCTACCGCATCATGTCAAACAATAAGACTAGTCTAAATAAGGGGTTTTACGGAGCAAGGGGCTAAGCTAGGGAGAGTGAGTAGGTAACCTGTAACCTGTGGTGGGAAATGGCATGTAGAGGGAGCTGGGGAAGAGATAGTCGAAAGGAGGAAAGGTAGGGGCGGGTGTCATAAGGCGAGGAAAGTTGTGAAGGCGCATGGTGCTGGTAGGGCAAGAATAGCGGAAGAGGGCAAGTGCACCATCCGCATTCCAGAGGGAAAGGCGGTAGAGTGCATAGCAACACGTTGAACACGCCTCCTGCTAGCAAAATTCTATGGGACCTTATATGACTGGCAGCCATCTGTAGCTAGTACACCAGCCAAGCCCAAGTCACCGACTGGCTGGCACCTAGCTAAATGCTGCCACGGTAGGATTCGATTCCTGCTGGTCTGCATGTATATGACTGGCCCCACTGCTGACTGGAGTTTTTAAACAGGCCTCACTCCAGCCCCCTCCCAGGTCCCACATGGATCTGGACTTGCTATACATGTGCACCTGGACCTTCACCTGGCCGGTCGTCCAACCCCTGCTACATGTCGCCTCCTGGATCTACAACAGGCCCCACTCCCTGGACCTGGACCTGCCGGAACTCCTGGCTGGATCTGTAAAACGTCCAACTCCAAAACCTCGCATAAGCGCGGGCACTAAGATCGAACAACCAGCCAACTTCGTGTGGTTCGCGAAGGGTGCTTGCGATGACAATCTGTGGCGCTTACGAGGATGATCCAAGCGTACCATACGATTTGCTTTTGCCTACCCTCGGTAACCAGCAGTTGCTACAGTTTCTCGTTGAGCGACGTCGTTGCTTGTTCTGAACATGTACGTAACTTAATAGACTCAGGAACTAGCTAGTCGAGACAAAATTTCGAGGTCGTGATGGATGTTGTTTTCTGAAACTCTTTGGAATATTATTATTCAAATGTGGATTGGTGTGGGACAGAAGAGTTCCACTTCACTTCACTTCAAGGAAAACTTTTAAAACTTGCGCCACTTTCTTTTGACTGGCAGTGCGCCCACACCATGAAGGTCGATCAATCGATTCGATTCGTTTGGGCATCCCAAGATGACATAGACACGTTCTAGCTAGCTAGATGATCTCCTTGGTTTTGTCTGTCAGTTCCACTGTGGGAGGTTCGATGGATGCCGTTCCATTTTGAATACTGCCGCCGTTGAAGCTATCGGTATGTGCCGTACCCAGCGCCTTACCCTGTGTTTCGGGCAAACTCCATGACAAGGCACACGTGAAGAAACTGACCACGCCCATGATGATTCCAATGGTTGTCATGCTCATACTGGTGGACACAACAAAGGGACTTATGGCACCTCCCAAACGGGCCATGGCATTGGCGGCAGCATGTCCTGTATTTCGAATTTTCGTGGGCAAGATTTCGGCTGTAGCGACCCATGTAGTGCTACTGCTTCCCATCATAAACATTCGCGCCAAGAATGCCACGAACATCATGGCACCTCGTTTGGAACCACTGGCTTCCAACAATGCCAGTCCCAAGACACTAAAGCCACCCAATAGATAGCTCAATGCTTGCGTGTGGACTCGTCCCCAGGTTTCCACCGTCAGTATTACAAAGGTTTGTCCTACCATTTCAGCCGATCCCGCCAGGAGAATGGCCGCATAATCAAAATCGTAGGATCCTTGTGCCATGCCTTCACTGCCCTCGATACTTCCATTTTCGGCAAAGACGAGCGTCACCAGAATGACGGTTCCGTAATACAAAAAGGCAAATCCAAACCACGTTCCCCACAGTTTGAGTGTCAAATTCCTCCATTCCGGTTCCAGCAACGCCATGACGGAATGTACTTCGGGTTGATCATCTGGTTTGACCATGGTGCCCATCGGAAAGACTTCGTCGGGATTGAGTCCATTTTCCTTGGCGGCAATTTTCAGCACTTCCAATGCCTTATCGTTTCGTCCCTGATAGACGAGCCAATGCGGTGATTCGGGAACCCAAATGATTCCGAGAATGGTGGATGCAATACAGGGAATGGCACAGAGCACGGTGAACCAACGCCACTGGCCACTGGGTTCGTCGCCATTTTCATTGTCGCCCAGAGTGATAAATGCCAGAATTGGTACCAGCAGAGTTCCCAAGGCCCAGTAGTATCCCAGATACAGTAGATGATATCCTCTCATATTCTTTATCCAATTTGAGTTGATTCCAACCAGTGCAATTAATATGGTCAGAAAAATGAATAAAATGACAGCCACAATAGCACACTAGCTAGAGCTCAAAATACATGTACATGTATGCAATGAGAAGACAAAAAAAAGACTTACCGTCGGTACAAACTCTGCGACTGTATCAAAGGGCACGACCAAACCACCAACACCCACGCCCACCATGAATCGAATGATGATGAGGACGGCGAGACTGTTGGCCACGGCCGTCAATAACCCAAAAATGGCAATAATGGCAGCACTGAGGACAAAGACGGGCTTTCGACCGAATTTATCGCCCAGTGGTCCTAGAATGAGAGTCCCCGTCATGGCTCCCAAAAAGACCGCCGCCGTGATACTGGACGTTTGTTCGGACGTGAGTCCCCATTCCGATTGAACCACCACGGCCAAAAAACTCAACAAGAGCACTTCCATCGAATCGGCCGCGAAACACAGACCGGCCGCCAGCAATAGTTTGCGTTGAAATCTGCCAGTGCCGACTCGTTCGATGGCTTGATCAATGGAGAGAAAGGTCGTAGGAGGAGGAACTCCGCCGCCGCCGCCGCCGCCATCGTCGGCCATCTCGTCAAAGGAAGAAGCGGGAGAAGCCGAAATCTTGACGATTGCTTGTTTTGTTTCGTTTCGGACCAAAAAGAAATACAAGACGAGACGAAACTCAACTAACTGTGGAGGAGACTCGACTCTTGACGCTGCTGGCTACTGTAGCCTACTAGACTTCTAGCTAGACTGTGTTGTTGGGCTTCGGTTGATCTACCTGTTGAAAGTGGACCGGTGGAAGAGCACTCTTGTGGCAATGCTGCTTTGATGTCTTTGGTGTGGAAAGGGCCGGAAATCACGATTTTATGAATCCAACCAAATTGATCAATTCGAAACCAAAATATAAAACCGAAACCTAAATATATAATCGAAACCAAAATATAAAATCGAAACCAAATTACTATGGTAATTAACTAGTAAAATCAAGCCGAAACCAAAATATAAGATCGAAACCTAAGTATAAAACCGAAACCTAAGTATAAAATCGAAACACAAGTATAAATCGGAATTTGGTGTAAATCGCCATTTCGGGCCCTTTCGTGCTGCATGCTACAGTACCGTACCATTGCTTTTGTGTTGGAATGTAAATTGGGGGACCATTTTTCTTAACAAAGAGGTGATAAAATCATAAAATTTTGGGTCTGTGGGCATGCCTTATAGTATAAGGGAGTCCCATAGACCCTCATTTCTTGATTGTTGGTCACTTCCTGGACCGCAAATTGGTCCCCCCTTTTGAGGAGGGTGCTTGCTGTCCCAAGTCGCCATATCTAAAGGCCCGTATCTCAAACAAAACTTGACCTTTTTCGAAAATTTTTGCGGGGAATGATATCTACTCTTTTAGGAGAAGTCAGAACTGTCTATTATCTTCAAGATAATAGGATTTCTAGAACACCCATATTGCTAGGTGGGTAGCTTGACAGGGTATAACTACCTGAAATATGGTGGGGCAAATCAATTTTGAGTTTTTCACCTTTTTTCTAATTTATTGATCTAAACATCCAAAATGAAAAATCTTGAATTTTTTTCTACATGACACCACTTTACCAAAGGTACGGTATGGTGCAGCTTTGGCTTCTCACGCACGGATACCGTACCGAACTGTACCAGTACTAAAAGACCTCGGAAGGCGTGCTCGGAGAATCTTTTTTGGACCTGGCAAGGCGAAGAGCAACTTGGACCTCGAGGTTTTCGGTTTTCTACCGGCTCTACTGGCTCATCACAAGTGTCTCCTTTTTCACCCAAATCAAATGACATGTACAGTACGAGTATGTACCTGGTACCAAAACAGTTCGTCTAGCTAGCTAGCTAGACTAATGAAAAATACCATACTCATCGAATGATCCGCCCCAAGACCAACGCAGGCAAGGAGCCAGGCTAGAGCACGTCTGTTTCTACCCCAAAATTGTTGTCTTTGGCCGCAACAAGAACAAACCAAGAAGTTGAAGGAGCCACGCAAGCAACAACGCAAACTGCTGCTGCCACTTCATACTCCATACCAACGGAGCAGGGCGAAGCTGCGTGGTTTGTTGCTTGATGATGTCAGGCCACGAGCAACGTAACTTGGAAGACTTGAAATAATCCATCCATTGCATTCTTTCTAAAGGCTGCTTTCTAAAGCCGAGAAAGCAAGCTTTGGCCTGCCAAACTTCCGGACGAAAGAATCGTGATGTTGAAAGGGTGACCACTCTGGAGTGCTACCATGCTACTCGTAGCTATTAATAGAGTAAAAGTTCAACCGTACCCGCCCCTCTTGTTCCATTTTCCGAGTTCTTCACTGACAGTCTTCCAAATTCTTTGCTGGCTGAGAGAAGGAAAAGCCACGTTTGCCAAGAAAGGTGTGATGTGGCCTCACATCAGCTTCATCAACGCCCTCCCCCCGAAAGCAAATTGTGGGCAGCCAATCTCGACTGGCTTGTAGACTAATTCACATCCACCACCTTTCCAGCAGTCACACGTCAGCTCATCATAGACCGGTTTTGACCTTCTTACGTGTCCTCCGAATGGTGATGTCGTCTTTGATCCAGCATAGGAAACGCCACAGTGCAACAGCTCTTTGGTGTTGGCTTGAGGATATCTTGCTACTTCAACTCAATGGGCCTCTTTTTGTCATCTTTATTTAACATTAAATCAAAGTAATTACAAAAGGATTCAATGTGAGCTTCCGAAGAACAATGGCATCAGCACGCACAAGCTGCAAATCAAAAACAGCTTTTAAGTATTTTTGTTCTCTTATGAGGAACATGAGGCATTGGAAAGAACCACATTTTTGTCAAATGTGAGTTATGTCCGCCAATCCTACTGAATGTGAATGCCGTGTGAAGCTAAAAGGCTCGCTGGCAACGCTATTGTGTTGCTGCTTCCCTTGATAACAAGAAACATAAAGCTCACCCTTTTTCAAAATGGCTAGCTGGTAGAAAATAAGGAGGACTTACTAGCTAGCTAGCTAGTACCAGATCTCTTACCAGTCCGTTCCGGCGGAGGTGTCAAATCAACAACAAGCATCACTTTCAAAGAATTAAACAGGAGGCTTTTGGTATCATTCCAGGTAGAAGTTTTGGTACCGTAGTCATTCAATGCTTTTGTTGTAGCTTCCTGCTTTTCCGGAAGGAGTGATTGGATAGTGCGGACTCCACTCGCCCGCATGACGACTGCAAATATGATAAACCTGACGATGATACCACACCAGAGCATACAAAAATTCTTTATATATAGCTAGCTGGATGCTTGGAGACTCTCCCTCTCCTCTGTCTGTCTCAACCTGTTGTTACCAACCAGGCATGCAGATACTCAGTACCGTACGGTACACTGCAATAGAGTATCTAAAACGCAAGGTATAATATTAGAGTCTTGTAACCGACTGACGCGTTGAGTTCTTTCTTTAGCATTCTTCCCACGTACGTGTTTTTGGATGCCACACTGTAGAATTTGAGACTCTCTGGACGCTCTCTTTCCTTCTAAAAAGCGTCTGACGGAAGGGCCACGTAGTGCGCAGTACATTTTGTACGGTCAGCTGCGGTCCACTCCCACTGTAGCAGTCGGGCTGGCTCGCGATCTTTCTTCGAAAGCATCGTGGATTTTGGGAAGACTCAAACCTGAATGATGAAGGCCAACCAGAGGTAGGCGATGACTCAGTCTGCCAATGCATACAACAACCAACTAAAGTAACACCGAAGCCTATCAACAACACTATCATCACTATTCAATAGACCCGCCAACACAACGGAAAGAGGCATCTGCATTTGCTTATCAGAGCTGCAAGAAGAGGTATTGGCACTCGAGCTTTCGCTCTGGAGGTGTCATTGTCTCGGTTTCAGTTACTAGCCAGCGTAGATTCTTCTTTTTTCATCATGGCTTCCGATTTGCTGATGCTCTCACTACCCGACAATAGCGTGTCGCCTGGTGACATACCATGTGGAGACGATGAAGATGTGGCTGGTTATCACGCGATGATGAAGGAGCTACCCACCATTGTGTCCATGTCGGGTCTTTTAGATGGAGATTTCGACGAGCTTCATGGTAAGCAGATATGATAGATAGCTGGTAGATACGCATGGATTCAATCCGGCACTGTCGTTCGCATTGGCGGATTCGAAAATTTCTCAATGGCTGCGTTTATTTGTGTTATCATGATTTAGAAATTCAAAATCTATTAGCTCCAGTCTCCGACGATGACGACATAGATGAAGGCTATGAGGCTGCCAGGAAAGCAGTGGATGCTGCTGAGAGTACTAATGATGCTTATATTCAGGCTATGGTCCCAAATCCGATCCCCACGGATGACTTTTCAGATGGATATGAGGTGTCTGCAAGGGCTGCGGCATTGGATGAAAATTTGGGCTTTCCTTCCGCTGCCTTGATTACACCCACAACCGACTTTCCCACCTCTCTGTCCGTCCGAGCACCAGCCAACAAACGAGACCACAATCAATTGGAAGCAGGTCTGGTCACTCCTGTTCCAACCGAAGCTGTCCTGCCATTGAGAAAGAAAAGCAAGCTCCACTCCCCTTCTACAGCAAAAGGTCCTGCTACCCTTCGGACATCGTTGGACGGTGTCAGTGCGCCAAATCCTCTCTTATTCGGTAGGCCCATCAAGTTGCCATCAGAAACGGCTTTGGTTACTCCCGTGGCTGCTGCCAAGGCTAAAACCACCAAAGTGACCCTCAAGGCCAGATCCTCTCCCAAGTCACCAAAAACCAAAACGTCGAAACAGATCCCTTGCAATCTGCCTCCACCGGTCCTGAAGAAAGTCGACCCCCCAAAGCTGAGGAAACCCACCAAGTTTGTATCTCCAGAACAAATTCTATCATATCCCGTTCCTACAGTCTTGGTGGAAAAAATCAAGGCGGCCAGCAATGCCCGCCGACCTCCACTTTGCAAGTTGGTTTTCAAGGCAAAGGTGGAATCCAAGCTGACTGGATCCACTCACGAAGCCGTTGCTCGCATTTCTGCGCCCCCTCAAAAGACCAAACCAGGTTGTGTTGTCAACAATAGCAACAACAACCCAACCGCCTCTGCCACTGCTTCCAAGAAGAAAGCGAGCAACAATAAAACCAAAAAGAAATCTGGAGGATCGCCCTCCAGTGTTCCCAAAAAGAAAGTCACTGCTGTCGTCCAAGCCAAGAAGAATCCCATCGTAGTCAAGAACCCCCTTGCCACCCAGGTCACCATCCCCGATACCCAAGTCAAAGTTCCCGTCCCCGCTGAGCCTACTGAAGTCGTTGCATCGGAGCCTCGCCCTCCTCCTCCTCCTCTGGTGAAAACTGAAATGCTCATGGTTGCCAATCCATTGGATCATATCCCTCCACCAGCACCAGAACCAACCAAGGTAGTCCTTCCTCCTCCGGTGAAAAGTCCGACACCGGCTGTGTCGACTCCAACGGATTGTCTGACTTTACCTGTAGTGGCCCCTCCGGCGATTGTGTCCAGCAACAGCAGTGCGGCCAGCTTTAGCGATGACATTCCCGAAGAATTGACCTCTGATCCCGCCATGGCCAAGTCCAACAAGTCTCCAGCAGCAAAGTCAACGACGAACAAGCCCTTGTCAAAGGACGAAAAGGTCCAGGCTTGCAGGGATCGGAACCGACAGCATGCGAGGAACACCAGGTTGCGCAAAAAGGCCTATGTCGAAGAACTCAAGCGATCCATGATGGAGCTTGTGGAGCAACGAGATCAAGATCTGGAGAAGAAAAAGAAGCAAGAGTCTCAAAAGCGACAGCATCGGGAAAAGCGCAAGAGAGTCTTACAGGACTTTTTGGAATTGCGAGGGCGCAATGAACAGGACGAAGCCAAGTGGGAAAAGCTCGTCAAGGATTCCAAGACATTCCAGCTGACACTGCCCTTGACAACGTTTCAAACAATGGCTGCGTCGTCGTCACCAAGCGCTGACGAAGATCAAGTCCTCGTGGGGATCAAAGATGTCATGGCTGATGCGGGTCACCTCGCCTCAGTTCTTCAAAGTCTGGGAACATCAGATGATGGACCAGAAAGGACTCCTGTGTATCTTCAGTATCAGTCCGAACAGATGCCGCTTCTCATGGATGGTACCATGGGAATCCTCAGTTGGAAGGCGACATCATTCGGAGCTATGTCTCAGGTATGCTTTTGCTGCGTCTGCATTTCGCTTGATTTGCATTCCTTCTTGTAGATGCAAAGCTAACACTTGCTGCGTTTTAAACAAAAGGGAGCCCGAGCAGAACTATCGTCTTGCGGAACCATCCGGGGTGTCTTTTGCCCGGATACCGACAAGCTTGTTTCTGCTGTGCTTCTCTTTGACACGGGGGCCATCCAAGCACAACTATCAAAGCCACATCACGTGTAACTACCCACTCGTATTCAGAAGGGGGAAACCCTATTCTCCGCTTCTGAATCCCAAGCACACACCACACCACACCACACACACACCACAACATCAAATTTCAAGTACATATTTCAGTCAGGAAGAAATCATTTTCAACTGCGTCTCCGGCAAGCTGTCGCCGGCTCGTTGGTTCTACACCTCGACTTGAATGGGTCCTGCTATTTGGAAAACAAAAACAAAAAAATGCGCATCTTTCACAGTTTTTAATCCTATCACCCTGAATTCGCCTAATCTTCCGTGTACAAGACACACTGTGGGATACATCACTCTTCATTCATTCATCCATCAACTCTTCATCCTATGCTATATCATTCGAATGCTATCACTTCGCTATCGCCAACAAGCCAACGCTAGCTAGCTTACCTCTTCAAGCATTCTGCACGTTTCCATTCATTAAAATCTCAATCTCCTTAAAAAAAGAAAAAAGTACATGTAACTTTGAATTGCGTTTATCGCTGCTTCACCTCTAGTAGCACTTCACCAGCGGACAGCCTGTACCGTACCGTAGCGCAGGGTACCAGGTAGCACACTTCTCGCCAAACAAATCATAAGGCGAGACAGGAAGAGCCGGAAGAAACCAAATTGTAAAAACTGAACTGGCTAGCTAGACATGGCCGTTTGAAACCCTGAGAATGTCTTAACTTTATTCCGCTACAGTAGCTGCGGGACCGGTCGGCATGGTACCAATGGGCAGCAAGATTCTAGTTGGAGCAACCCACAGCACCATGTCCCACAAAAGAGAGCAACACAGTCTACCTTCTCGGAAGACTTCCCTGGTTTTCGTCCATGGAAAATCCATTGAACATGTCTTCCATGTACGTGACATCAATGACGCTTTTGCTTCCGTTGCTTGTTTCAATGCGGCGATAGTCGGTGTTGTGAACAGGCACAAATGCTTCCCAGTCTTCATCGTCCGCTAGACTCACTTCGTCTTCAGTATCCAGGTCATGGCTCCAGGCGGGACTTCTATGCAGACCAAATTGAGATACAGTTGAGGAGCAGTGGGAAGTGGAAGCCGAAGGAGCCCGCTGGGTGAACCTCGACGCGTGAGAAGCAAAGGAGGGAGCCGCAGACAGTTGGCTGGGCGTTCGATAGATGGATTCCTGTTGCTTGGGTGGTGCGAGGTAGCGTCTCCCAGCTAGATTGTTCATTCTTGTTCCGTGGTAGTCGCCTTCATCGTCCGCGTCGTCGTGGTCATCGTCGTCACCCCAGTCAACGGGGTGTCCACTATAGGAGGATGACTCATGAATGGATGAAGCCAGCATATCTTCGTCATCACTGTCCTGCGCTCCAACTCTACCGCTGGTAGTGTTGTCAACGGGCAAGGTGAACGTTCCCGACGCGGTGGAAACGGCATCCCCCTCGCCGTGGATGGATCCGACAAAACACGGAGCAGTACACAAGAGATCATGCACCGTCATAGCAAAGTCGTTCCATCTTGGCTCTTGCGCATGAGTTCTGCCCGAACTGTCTTGTCTTTCATCCGCGACATACATTCGATCATCCGTGATACAATCTCGTCTTTGTGGTGCGACGACGATGGGCTCGTCGCCACGATGGCGACTTGAACTCTTGTTCGATGTCTTGCCTGGTGCATCCTTGCTGATGTACCGACTACGCTCGAGACGCTGGTCCCTGCTAGAATGATTCGAAATTTCCATGGTTGTTGTTTCTGCTGGTAGCTCTTGAATGGATTGGGGCAAAAGAAAATCGAGAACCTCTCACTTTTCTTGCAACGTTGATCAAACAATGTGCTCAGCCCTCCCTAAACGAGTGGGGACGCTGCCATTTTCATGAGTACGGAGTATCAGGACATCAGATCAACTGATCATTTCCATGCAGGTCTCCCCTTTTCAACGCATGCATTTTGACGGCGCTCCTTGGCATCTCAGTGAGTAGAGATGGCCGACGATTGTTGCCAAGGTCCAGTCCCAGAACGAATCTTTTCAACCGAATTCACTGCAAGGTTGCCCATGAAAGTTTCGTTGGGTTCGACCAGTGGCACGGATCTCAATGGAGGAAATCTGATCCAATTTGCCACGGTCAAGAGGAAAGAAAGATTCGATCCTTGCACAACGTGTCGGAGCAACGGATACCCATGGTGCAGCATTGTAGGATTCAGATAGATTTCGAACGACTGCATGACCACATGACAGTCAACTTTTCGGTACCATAACCATTATCTTTGCTTACGCTAGAGAATGGTTTTGGTCGGTCTTTGACGTGATGATCACAACGGATGGATCGGGAACCATTGTTGCTTCCATGCCCTTGCCCATGTTCCAAAAGGAAGCCTGCGGTGGAGCAGAACACACTTTGCTTGCGGTTTTGTCTACCGTTGGGTACCCTTACACCGCTTTGCTGCTTGGAATTTTATAGTACATGTAAGAAGTGGCCGGCACAATACGTAGGCACCAGAGAGTCGAGTCGAGTCGAGTCGAGTCGAGTCGAGTCGAGTCGAGTCGAGTCGAGTCGAGTCGAGTCGAGTCGAGTCGAGTCGAGTCGAGTCGAGTCGAGTCGAGTCGAGTCGAGTCGAGTCCAGAGACAAGAACTCGGCTCGAGTGGCACTGTGGCACTACAGTGCTAGCTAGTAGCTTGCCATTAGCTAGCTAGTAGTAGCTAACTTGCGGGGCAGCAACGTTACGATGCGGAAATCAATGTTAGTGGTAGCTATAGAGATGCAACCTTGTCTGGCAGACAACCCGCTCTACAGCACATATTGTCAGGCTGTACCGGGAACGGGGAACGGGGGGGGGGACTGTTCGCCCTCATACGGTGCTGCACAACGCGAGCAAAATATTATTAAACAAACTCTAAATGCTTGCTTTAGCTAGCTAGAGTTTTCAGGATGCGGCGGGTCTGATGGGCTGGCTCAACCCCAAATCGCATACTTTTCGGTACCGTACGGTACAGTCGTACCGCACGCTGCCCGAGGAACCAGTTGTCCCAACATTTAGATCTAGCTAACTTTTTTTGCCACATAGTCTAGTGCATTCCGCCACTCTAACATTTAGCCAGCTCCTAACATTCTCCTAGCTAGATCCTTTTCTTTGCTGCAGGATCGAACAACTCCGCACCCAGTCTCTGCGGACCCAGCCTCTGCTCCAAACCATCGGTACCACTTTGGCAATTTCCATTCCCAGCTCCCGTCAACATCAGAAGCGAGCTTTATTTTGTGTGTTTATTTTGCATGCTGGACCAGATGGTGGTTCCCTCGTGTGCCAGCCGCCGCGATCATTGTGTAAATACGTGATCTTGTCATTTGCCTCATGAGACACACAGCAAGCAAAAGAGCAAGCAACAGGAGGATTACATACCAATCGCCCTTGGCTCGGGTGAGTATCAAACAATCCTTTGAGAGGAATATTGGCATGCTGGCTGGCAAAGAGTAGATATGCAATGCTACCAGGTGCCCTGCCTTTGCACATCACAACATCACAACCAGCCAGCCAAGGACCCAGCCATATCACTGGTACCACCAAGCAAACGTCACCAAACATCTCCCATCACTTGCTCCTTCCTTTTGATGGGGCTATTCTTTCGAGGAGGGGGTTAATAGTAAAGGCATCAAGCTGGCTGCTAAGCAACGTTCTATACAGCAACTTCTTGGGGTGTTGCTGATTTTTAGAAGCAGAAACTGTGCCACCAAGCTGAATGAACTCCCATTTACAAGTGGGATCAAACAACACCGGACAATTTGTGAATCAGCGCTGCTTGGAGCCTTCAGCTCCATGTTCGTCCCTCCGCATTCGCCAGCAAAAATGGAAAGGTTGCTCAGAACACGAATTAGGACTGGTGAAGTGGTGACGTAGCACCATCCTTAATTAATCACCTGAAGACACTACTCCTGAAGCAACCTAAATCTTTAATTCGGCTTTTTTTCAGCGTTCGTCTCCTGTTTCCTCAGTTACATGCAATCCAGCCATTGTAGCCAGCTACGGTACCGTAGGCAGAGAGTTACATCGGCGACAGTGGCAACAGTACCGAACACACTCAGGTTCCGCTTTACTTGCTACACTCCGTTACTGGTACCTTGCATTGGATCCTTATGACGAATACATGCACAACCGAACATTGTCAATCCAGCCATCGTAGCCAGCTATCGTAGAGTTCATCGATCAGTGACAGTGGCAACAGTACCGAACACACTCAGGTTCCGCTTTACTTGCTACACTCCGTTACCGGTACCTTGCATTGGATCCTTATGACGAATACATGCACAACCGAACATTGTCAATCCAGCCATCGTAGCTAGCTACCGTAGAGTTCATCGATCGGTGACAGTGGCAACAGTACCGAACACACTCAGGTTCGGCTTTGCTCGCTGCACTCGGTTACCTCGCATTGGATCCTTATGACGAATACATGCACAAAACCGAATATTGTCAATCCAGCCATTGTAGCCAGTTACCATAGAGTTACATCAATCCGTGACAGTGGCAACAGTGCCAAACACACTCAGGTTCCGCTTTACTGGCTACACTCCGTTACCGGCACCTTGCATTGGATCCTTATGACGAATACATGCACAACCGCACATTGTCAATCCAGCCATTGTAGCTAGCTACCGTATAGTTACATCGGCAACAGTACCGAACACACTCAGCTTCGGCTTTACTCGCTACGCTCCATTACCTCACCATTACAATGAGTACAGGAATAGTATCAAGCCAGGCGCTACGAGCACTGTTCCCGCAGGAAAATGGATATCGACACAGAAATCACCACCAAACCACTAGGAAATAACAAGGAGGGATGAATCCGGTCCGAGGATCCACTCTCCACTGTGCTTGTGTGTTGTCGTGTAGCCTTCTTCGCTTGACGGCTGTTGCTATTCAATGACTCGACGACGATCCGTTCAGGCTGTTGGTAGGGCTGGAGTTAACAGTTTCCTCCGTACACATACCTCCGTAGCGGTAGCCTCTTCTTCCTCATGTTATTCGGAGCGATCAATCGTTCGTTGGACCGCGACAATGGTAATTCATCGGCCGTCAGCAGTACAGCAGAGAAAATAACAAATAGATATGAGTTTTGTTTTCTGTGCTCAACTGCAGACGACCGGAGACTTACCATTGTTTTTCAAATTGCACCAACTTGGCCGTCATGGGCCGAGAACTGACTGCCATCCCACGGTCCATAGGATTCAATGAGGGATGGCTTTCTGTTCTGCACCGGAGAAGGACGGCTTGAGTGAGGCCTGGATAACAGAGGTGCGACCGATTCGATTCGAATAATTAAAACAACTCACCTGTTGACGGCCGAGCTCGGAATTCTCTCCTGAATACCATAGAAATTCAATGAGGGAGAGAATTCAGCGCTGCACCTTCAACAAACGCTCTTGATAATAGGCTTACCTCGAATCGATTCGATCGAACGATCCTCCTACCGGTACCTCCTACCACCGATATCACTGTTGTCGGCCAAGCTTGGATTTACCTCCTGTTTACCATAGGAATACAATGAGGGAGAGAAATCAGTGCTGCACCTTCAATAATAACACACTTGATAATAGACTTACCCATAATAGTAGTAGTAGCCATCGATCGATCGTTGACGGCCGAGCTTGGAATTCTCTCCTGTTTACCATAGAAATTCAATGAGGGAGAGAAGTCAGCGCTGTACCTTCAATAACAGGCTTGATAACAGATACCGGTACAGTACTAGTACTTCGAATCAAATCGATCGACCTTAACCTTAGTAACTTCAACGGTTCCTTTATCCACGAATGGATCTATTTTTATCGAACGAGAACCTGTTACTTATGGATACACATGACCGTTGATTCTGCAACTGAAGTGCGGGTACACTAATTTACACAGTAAACGCGAGCCAATCGATTTCAGAGTGCAACTGAGGGGGTAACTAAAAGGAGCGTCGTCTCCATGAGACGTAATAGAAAGCACGTATAAAAAAGAAATCCAGAGGACCATTCTTGAGGCAATCTGAGACCATTCTGGTACAGCTCTTTTTCGTGAAAACATTCCGTACGTTCATTCTATTATGTCTTCGATGCACCTCGTCAGCATTTTTTCCACATCTGGCCACCAATTTCTCCGCTCACAATGCAACTTCAAGCGGCGTTCAAGCAACCCCAGTGTTACTACCGGTACTAGTACGTACCGCTACTTGGGCGGTACCTTCCTTGTGTTTCACGTTAGAGGGCTGCAAAACTATTATTGATATGCAGCTCTAGTGTTCTGGAGCGCTAGCAGCAAGCTCACCGCCTGCCCTGATTCTGAACATTCCAACCCAGTTAAAATTGTTCGAGCTAGCCGGTAGTTGGAAGGAAGTTGCATCTGCATCCTTGAGCCTTTGGTTCGATTCAAGACACCGAGTCGAGAGAAAACGGATTTCATCTTAGTAGGCAGATCAAAAGTCCTCTGGATTTGTCACTCCTCAAGAAAAATAGAGGAAGTAAGTTAGTCAGCCACTGGATTGGGAAAGCGACCGCACAGCGGAAGGGAAATAAAGACAATGACTGGTTCCTCAAAAGGATCAAAAGGAGACGCCCACCAAAATACCAATAAAAGCAATCGTGTGTCTCATGCCTCAAGATTCAAGATCTCCATCCCCAGCCAACCACTGGACTCGACCGAGAACTCCACCTCGATGCGCTGAAAAGGGAAGGAGGACATCCGAAAGCTTCCCTTTCGGTATGACCTCTAGAGTAGCTCCCTGGTTTATTAATAGCGTTGCTGACAACAATTAATTTGTGAATGGCTGCTGATAAAAGATCCCATCTTCTTGAGCTCTTTTTAATGAGTTCTGGCTGTGTCTACCTTGTTTTAAGGCTTAAAAGTCATGAGAACACTAAATCATTGAATAAGGCTTCATGTTCCCTCAAAAATGTCCAATGTGAAATCCATGTAATAATTATCGAGAAGGAGACCTTCTCTTCTGGATAGAAACGGATCCTCATTGTTAAACACGTGACAGTCGATAGTCTTCCTGAACATAGCTTGGGCAAACATCTTCAAGTGCTCTACTAGCCGCGAATGAATGAATGGCCTACTGAAATGTGCACACTGGGGTGTGGTGGGTGGTAATGCTGTGTGCCAGGTTAAAACTGTATGCAGACTTGGCCGGTGTGGCTGGTATACACATCGATGAGACCACCACCAATGCAGCGCTTAGACTTCGTATCGTACCGTACGCACGTTATTTCCAGGGAATTCGAAGCGAACCCAACCAGGCCATGCAGCCCAATGTGCGAATAGGTTTTTCTGCTTTGTGCTGGGGTGGGAAAAGGCAAGATTTGATTGATGAGCAATGCAACTTTACCAATTGATAAGTCGTCACACTACGTTGCTTTCAATATCTCTTGCAGCCATCACCTTTAAAACACAGACTCATTACGTTCTAATCCCGACCACCAAAAACAGAGTGTGCAAATCAGAACGTGGAACTATTAGTATCGGATGGACATCCCATGGCTCATAGAACCCCAACCACCCCCACCTTGAGCAGAATTGACTTTATCCTAGAGAGGGTTATGCTTCAAGGGAAAGAGAGCGACGACGATGAGAAAAGGAAGGACGAGAAGAAACCCAGTAGTAGCCGCAAACCGGACCCCAGTGTTTCAGGCCAAAGCCGTAGACGAGGGAGCAATGCACTTTCAGATGCCGCAGATGACGACAAAGGCGAGACGAAACCATACATATCCACGACGTCATCCACAAAGGACTTGCTGGACAAACTAGGCGATGACTTCAAACCAGGGGAATACGATGTAGTTTGTTCACGAGGCAAATGGGCCATGAATGCCCCCGGAAATGTCAGGTATCGGTCCACTATCAAAGACAATCTGGAGAGATACTCCAAGACAACCAACAAGCAAGAAAAGTCAGCCATTGTATCCGGGATAGTCGAGTCCATCAAGGAGCTGAGCCCACAAGGGGGCTTTGTCCGATGCGTCAATGGAACTTGGTTCACGGTTACAGATCACATCGCCAGGGAGAAGACTGGCCAGGTAAGACTCAATGGTAAACATGCCTTGCTACCCTAATTTATACTGGTTCATGATGCTGACGGATGTGCCCCTCTGTTGCCATCAGTCCTTCAGGGATATGCTCCATCATCAGGTAAGTCTCCTTGCAATGAGCTTATGCAATCGCTCGGCCCTTTCCAACTCTGATCTTGCTCTTCATGCATGCTGTGATGTATGTTTTCACCCACAGTATCGATCGAGCACCAAGGCAAAGAGAAGACGACAAAAGGAAAAGGACATGAAGCAGAGCCACGCTTTGATTGATGCTACCCAACGAAGCCACCAGAGCCAATCTCGTCAGGAAAGTCAGGCCACGCAGTCTCGCGAACGGTCTGCTAGCGTTTGCAAAGAACCCGAAGAAGAATCCTCAGACAAGGAAGCTTGGCCGCCGTCAAGACCTAGGCCAGCCAAACGAGCCAAGCGAGCAAAATCAAAAGCAGCTGACCTCCCCCCTTCAGGAGGAACTGGGGATAGTGCCGGGGCTGATACGATGCCAACCCCGTCATTGTCCCTAAGCAGTGCAGCCACCAATGAAGGTAAGTGATTGCATGGATACCGGCATACTCTGTCCAATTGACATGTGCGCACTCATCCATTCCCTCTCCGTTTCCTTGCTGCGGTCGGTGCTCCATTGGAATAGTGTTTCCCAACATTCCAAACCCCAGCTTGTCTGCTGCTGCTTCAGCAGCGGGGCAAGCCCCCCAACAACCGCTTCCAGGGCTACTTCCTCAAATGCCACTTGCCTTCACCGCCAGCGGTATGGCACGACAACAGCAACAGCAGCAGCAACAACAGTTCCTCCAAAACCCCTTCATGTATGATCTCAACCACAATCACACCCACCACATGTATCCTGGAGGCGGCAACATGCAGGTGCCCCTTGCTACCAATCCACCGTCCTTCCAGCTTTCACCCACACAACAGGAACAGCGTATTGACTTGGAGCCCATTCCGATCAGGGAGGCACCGTTACCCGTTCTCCAGGGGCGGCAACCAGACCCTGCAGGGCGGGTGCCCCCCACTGCTGGCCGAGGGAATCTTGCAGCGGTCCAGCCCCCCGAAGGCCAACTAGTGTCACCCTTTTTGCCGACCATGCATTTACATCCCCACCAACAGATCCCATTTCAACAGGCAATGGCCCAGCAACAGGCAATGGCTCAACAGCAGCAGTGGCCAATGCCAATGCAGCCTCATCAATACGGTCATCAACACAACCAGCACCACCTCCAGTCAATGATGTATCAGCAACGGGGACTGACTCATCCGATGCAACCTCTCTCAATGGTGGGGGGCTTCAATCAACCGGCCCCTATGGGTATGGGCCAACAAGACGGCTTGGGAAGACCCATGGAGGGTGGTTTCGGGGATTATCAGCACTCCAGTGCACACGGAGAGGACGAGGAAGATGAACACCACGGCGGACTTGAAGAATGAGAGCCGCTAGGACTTGTAACGTAGCATTCTTTCTACGTTGGGCTCTTTTTGAAACTATGAATGACTGCATCATCCTTTGGTGGAATGCCTGAATGCCTGCAAATTCAACGGTCTAGGTAGCTAGTGCACATTCCCTCTTGCACTGCTAATTCTCTCTTTCATGACGCATCATGCAATCTGCACATGGGCTCGGTCGAAAGAAGGATTAGACGAATCATCCTGAGACCATGCAGTTGATGGCTTCAATCGAATTCACTATTATAGCTTTTATAGAATAGCACAAAGGACCTAATCGCTCCAACCATGCGTTTCCTCGACAAGATTTCCTCAATGTTTCCTCTCCTCTTGTTTCCCTTAGCCCTCTGCGGGCATTGGTCCACTAGCTAGTAGCGAGCTAGCGAAAATGAAATTCATATCATGATCTTTGCCACCGTACGGTACTTCGTGATCTTGAACCCTGTCCATACTATTCTCGGCCTTTCGCATAGTCTATTATCTATTACACGTAGTACAGGTGTAGTTCGAAGTTCGAAGCTCTTGTTTCGATATCCTCCGCGAATACCCCATTCGTAGAACAGCTAAAAACGTGACAGCTCAGGAGCGATCTGCTGACGCTGCCGCGATCACACTTGGACAACTGGGTGTGGGTTGACGGCTGCTTGCACGCCGGATTGAATCGAATCGAATCAAATCAAATCATTCTGAAGCCGCAGTGCCTGTAGTCTACCTACAACAGCAGAGTGGAAGCTAGAAGAGCTCGAGCTGCCGGGTAATATCCTTTGTGAGCCTGAGAACCTCAATGTTGGCTGAGGAGCTCTACCTGTCCCATCAGCACAATAGTTCACACAGGGCGGACCAAAGGGAATCTCCAGTCAGTATCAGTCTCCATTCGGCTTCAGCTCTTGCTGATGATGTTGCTATGTTGCTTGGCTTCAAGGGTCAAGGCAATCACGCACCACTCGTGTTTTCGGAGATTCAGACTTTGGTTTGGAAACCATTTTGCCAGTCCAGTAAGCTTCAAACCAAGTCACATTTGTATTTATCATTATTTCCAGGTGCAAGGATCATCTGAATAAAATGTCTTAAAAGGGTCAACTACCATTGATAAATAATCCAAGATGAAGGTCCAGTCTAGCTAAGTCTTCAAAAACATGTCATTTCCGCTGGTCAAAACTTGTTCACCTTTGCCTTGTGCACTTCCTCCCTACCGGTACGCACTAACACATCCCTTTAAATAATGTTCACGAAAAGCCAAGTGAGTACATGACATTGTATGTATGGCGATGTGGGGCTGATGCGGACGCCGGGGGATCTCTTCAAAGGTCTTTTCCGGCCGTTCTTTCGCGAAAAGTTCACAACAACCGATGGAAGAACAGAAAGGCTTCAAGATGTCCTTTAAGTGTGGTGCTCTCGGTCATTGAGAGCTTCAGAACTTCACCTCCCATCTTCTTCTCTGCTATCGCTTTTCGATCATGTTTCTCTCTATGGCAATAGCTATGGCAATTACAGACTCCGAAGTGGGATCAGGCCAAGGAAGGAAGATCAGCTAAAAGCTAAGGTTCAAGACGTACCGGTACCAGCATCCATAAAATCTTCCAAAGCGCATAATCTCCTCCTCCTTGTTTGTTTTCTGGGCTCAAAACCTTCACACAAACTACTATTAAGAATCACCAACTTTTACCATGGGCAATGTCAACGGCACATCCGAGAAGAAGTGTAAAGAGATTTGCGAGAGCCTCGACCTGACCAAAAGCACGGTCAAGATTTCTTCTTCCCCTCGCAGGAGAAAGAGAACTTCCAAACCCAAGGATCTGCCAAGCAATGCCAGTGGCAATAGCCTGGATGGAATCGACGAGGAATTGATCAATCAAATCTACGACGTGGTGTACTCAGCCAACAGGGGCCAAAAGATTGACGATGTCAAGGAACTGCGAAAGTACGTCAAGAAACAATTGAAATCGTCCAAGAAGATCCAGGTTTTCATCGATGGCGACGAGGAAGATGAGGACATTGACGGCGATGCTCCGGTGAGGAGCGTTGTTGTCATGGAGGACAAGCATCTCAAGTCTGCCACTGCAAAGACCGCTTAACCAGAGCCGGTTCCGTGGAGGGAGACATCCTCTTTGTGTACACTAACAATTTTGCGTTTTCAGTCGCAGCCAATGCCTCACTTCTAACTAAATACACTAGATTCCAGTTTTGATATTATTCCAGTAGTCTTCGTCATGGTATTGAGAAGCAGAATTGGCTGTGTGTCTTTGTTCCGCTAGCTAGCTGTCCTTCCAGGCCACTCAGAGCACAGCATTTCAGCCGAACACCTGTTAGGAAGCCTGTTGCGAAACAACCTGTTTCAAGTCATGCTCCTAACTAGCAGCCCACCAACCTTGCTTGCCCTGCGTTGGACTCTCCTAGATAGCATCTAGATAGATGTCTACAACTACCGTGACAAGTGTACAATGGCTGGGATGGTCTACAATCTACAAGGCTACCGATAGCGCTCCCAGCTCGGCAAAATGCGAATGGAGTGATCGACTAGGGCTCATCGGCAGTTTCCATGCATTGCAGCTTCACCGTCTTGTAATACGTCATCCAACAGCGATCCGCAATCCATCGGCACCCTCAACAACAACAACCAACCAACAAGGCATCAACTTGTCAGAGCTGTTGCTGTTGATAGACTTTGCGTCCAATAATACTGCGTCTTAGAGGTTAATAAGAATGGCTAGTGGATACGGTATCCGAGGTGGCATCGGCCGATGCTATCCGTTCTACGCGGATTTCAAAAAGTGCATGGTAAGTGCTGGAATCTTCACCCTGCTAAGCGATCTTCACCTTGCCAATGGGTGCATTAGTTTTCCAACCTCTGTTTGGTGTTTTATTGTGTATTTAGAGCCAGCGTGATGAGAAGAGTCATCCCATGCTGTGTTTTGCGGAACGTGAGGATTACTTTGAGTGCCTTCATGGCCGCAAGGAGCACAAGATGATTGCTGACATTCAGGCACAGGAGCGGGTCATGGCCAAGCAAGGAAGACGATATGCCGATCAGGAAAAAGAGCTGCAAAAGCTGGCCGCGAAAGGAAGCTAGCCCCCGGAATAGATTGAATCCTATTGATGGCGAGAGGAAAATCGCTGTGCAACAAAGATTTTTAGGAAATCATCAGGTTGGACTCCCAACCAACGCATCTCCGTTCTTTGGCAGTTCATGCCACCAATATTAAGCAAAGCATGTAGCACCTTTTTATCTTCGGAGGAGGAACAAAACAATATTGATGGTGTTGTTATCGTGAGATTACGGTTTGACTGATTCATCCAAAGTACCGTACAGTACCGTATAGGTTCTTGAACGACCCTCTTCGCGATCGACAGGGAGCTAAGCTAGACAACAACACTTCAATTTCAGTCCTCTAGCTAGCAAGAGGGGTAAAAGTGCTGCATTCGAGACACCAAAGAAAATCGCGCTTTCCGATACATGTAAACGGCTTTGAAAACTGTTTGAAACCCCAAGATTAAACCCCGCCGGACGTCCGACGTTCTCGTTGCCAATGGCACTGATGAGCATGATGACGACCGTTTCCGTCAATTCAACCCGACTTTTTTGGACAATCGGCCATGATGTGCTTCGAGTTCGTGCAACGAGAAGTTTGAGGACCGTTTCCAAGTTCCGAGACGAAATCCTGATCCTCGTGTTGAGTGGATACCTTCAGCTCACAAAACTAACTTGCTTGGCTCACAAAACCATCACACAACAGACAATCGATTCTTTCATCTCAACAACTACAAGCATGACATCTATTCACCGTGGAACCAACACAGCCAATGGTTCGAACAACATGAAGTTCTCCTCTGAAACTTCACCTTCCTTTGCTTCTGGTGGACTTGTTCAGCAACGCAAGGACAAGTTGGAGGAAGTGTGCGCTGCTCAACGTGGCCTCAAGATTGTCAAGAAGAGCAAGTGGCATGTCAGTGGATCTGGTTATGGCTCTGGCATGTATAAGAAGAAGACGGTGGTCCGCTTTGAAGATTGCAATGGTAACAAGGTATCCATTGTCAAGAATATTGCCAAGAACTATGGCAAGAAAGAATAGCCATGTGTTCGAAGCACTGGGGTTGGAGTTGATTGATTGATTCACTCCAGGAGCGTTCACAGTCCGTAAAAGTCACAGGAGATGTTCTCTAGCTAGACTACCAATCTCGTAGACTCTAAAATAATATTGATTGTCTCAACCTATGGATTTTCCCTTCGTTGCTCCTGCCTCCAGCTAAAAGGCCGGGAAGATACTAGACTAGCTGCCACAGATCCTGTATCGGTACGGGTAGTGCTCTCTTCGCAACCACAGCTGCAACCACCATGATGGTTCATCCGTCGAAGGTTGACTCTTCGATAAACCAATCTAGCCGCTAAAGAAGCGTTGGAGCATATCTTGGGGGGAAGTTCGCAGAAGTTGACCAGAGATCTGCGACGGCAGACACAGAAACTGAAGGCTTCTCGAGATATCCAAGTTGCTTGAGATCCTGGGCTGGTGCAGACAGTTTGAGTCAACTTGTGGTTACAACCAACTTTGCTATATCTCCATAGCTCTCACCAGTTCACTGAAGCCTGCTGACAGGCCTAGCGGCACCGCCTACTTCGGGCGGCAAATGGAGGACGCCATTTTGGCTGAGGCAGGGTGGTTGCTGCACTCTCGGCACACCGTTGAACTATCTGCATATCCAGAGCGAGATCCGTCATTATATCGTACAATTCCCTATCCAACGAGAAATCTAAGTCAGCCGTCTTTGGAGAATTCTTTTGACGGCGGGACGGTGGCGAAGCTCCGGCAACCAGCCAGGAGCACAAGTTTATTTTGCACTGACATTGCACAAAGCGCTTTTCCATATCTGTGGTACCGGTACCAATATGTATCGAAAAGATTGCTTGCAGCACTTCCGGCTGAAGTCAGCGACAGCTCCAAGTCATCAAGAATGCCAGCACAGCCGCCGCTGGAGCTTGTTCCAATAAACTCCAAAACTTTGTAAAAGGGCTGCTCTGCTGTCGGAAGAGATACATGTCATTGGTTTGCTCAACATTGTAGTCAGAGTAAGTAGCGGTACAAAGGTAGTTGTACATTGATCCTGGATTCGATTCTGGCGGGCTTATTATTCCAAAATAAGCGCGTCCACCGTCCACAAAAAAAGTCTCCCCTGCTCTTGGAACTTCTTGCTGGACCTCAAAGAATCCCAAATTGCATCGATTGACGACCAGGGTTTAACAACTGATGAAGAAAGCAAACACGTACTGCTCTGGAAGCATTATTTACCGGCACTTCACATTAAACAGCTTGCAGCATTGAAACTATCAACTGGACTTGAGATTTATAAGTTGGTCACAGGCAAGAATGGCGTGGTAAAAAGACCTGGAAACACCCACCGGTATTTATTTTACTACCACCTCAGTACACGTACAACATGTTTAAATGTAGCGGTAGCATCAGCTGTCACATGGCGAACTGTTTTTTACAGAAGCCAAAGATTTTGGTTTGGGAAGCTTTTGTGATCGATGAAGGTTTCCTGTACAAGGCATGAAGGTTTTCAATACTGCTCACAATCTTTCTTCTTAGTTCAAAATAATCCCAAGCAGGCAGCAGAAAAAGTCATCAAAATGGGCAACACTTCCAGTCAATTCTCCCCCGATGGCACGGCACAGAAACGACGGAATGGTCGACGCCTGAAGTCCTTTGATGATTCCATCATTCCATCGAGCAAAGATGGACAGACTTCTCCTGCCCGGCGCGAAAACAAGAAGAATGGTAACATGCGACGTACTAAATCTGTGAGTTCGTTTGGAAGGATCGATTCGTTTGGCTTGATCCTTTCCAAGCGTCAAACCGACCGGATCGAGGCGACCGAGTGGGCCAGCGAAGAGACACTTGACCAGATCCTGGAGTTTGTGCAGACCGTCAAAGAGCAGAGCAAGGATGGAGATGATCTTCTGCGCAAGTTTGTGGAGCAACGATCCAAGAAATCCGAGTACAATCTCAAGAAAGCGCTCGAGGAAGATGAGGAAGAGAACATTTTCATTCCTTCGAGCATCAATGTGCCCAGCACATCTCCGGGGGGCCAGCCCAAACCCGCAATCGCCAAAGGTGCCTAAGGGTTTCCTCTTGGTGAGAGCCTTCACTTTTTGCATAGACACGAGAAACCCAGGGATCACTATTATTAGATGTACATATTATCATTTTTGACACAGTGTTGCAAAAACTTCCTCCTTGTACTTGAATCGTAGTACACTGTACCGGCTTGTTATACCGATAGTCAACTATGCCACGTTGTCTCTCCCATCGACAAATCCACATACGGAGGGCAGCGTTCAAATCAGTAGCATCAGACTAAGAGTAGAAATTGGCTGGCTGTTTGAAGGAGTGCGGCTGCCGAGAGTATTGGCCAGGTGAAATCAACTGCTTCAAGTCTCCACTCAGCTTAACGGCGCTACGAGAGCTCGTTGGTGCCGTTGTGGGTGGAAACCATCTCCGTCTCGACTGAGAAAGGATGAACTATGCCCGCATCCACATTAGCCTGCATCGCTGCTCGATGGAAGAAATCCCGAAAGTCATCCTCGCCCAGTCTCCAGGAGTCTTGTGCCCCGGCTCCAATCTGTCGACTAATGGAATCTAACAGAGCATTGTATTGCTCATTGGAACGAGCGTATTCCTCCAGTAAAGGAGCCATTGCTGCTGTCCTCTCCCGTTGCTCTTGGATGCGACGCCGCACTTCCTCTGATGAGTATACGTGATGGCCACACCAGATACTTCGGACAAAGCAAAGGATCAAGGCGACTACCAGCATCATTGCCATGCACACCCACACGGAGTCTTGTGATGCTACCGGTATTGTGAGCGCCAACGCCGTTGCCTTCGTTCTCCTCCTCGTCTTCTCGTTCTTCCTCCTCTTCTGACTGCAGAAAAATTGGCATGTCGTATTGGATATGAAGATAGTACGAGTCTGTATCTTCACTAGTATGGTCATCTGGTGCACGATGTCGGGTCCGTGGTAGATCATGATGAATTTTCTGAACTAGAGTGCCTTGGATTGGAACTGCTTTATGGTTGTAATCTTGCCATTGTCGAAATTTCCCCCACGCTTTCTCGATCACAATCAGCGTCACATAAATCGTCCAGAAGCAAAGCAGACCAAAGAGGGCTCCAAAACCAACATTGTTCCAGAGCCAATTGCCGCTGTTACAGTGAACAAACCAATCGTCGTCACTCCATGCCATTTTTTGTTGTTGCCCCGTCTATTTATCGCACCAAGGTATCTACCGATAAGAGGTTGTACACCCGTCGCACAGTTTGCTTGCCACCGACAGAATTGAGTACTTGTTTGCTTGCTGCTAGCTATAGACGGCCCCAGAGCAAGAGCACTGGTACCGGTAGGTGTTGCGTGGACACACGCAGAGTCGAGTCTCGGAGTGGTGTTATGTCTTCTGTGTGTCGTCACGATCATCATCACACACTAGTTTTTAAATAGCATTTTTATTGTTATTTTCGCGAAGATTGACACACACGTGCCCACGCAGCAATGGCATGAGCCCAAGTTCAACAACCACGAACAGCAGCACAGGCACCACCCTCTGCTACCGGTAGCCACATGTACAGTGGCGGGTAGCAATACATGCAGTTACCACTGCACAAGGAGGAGCTTAAGGACGTGTCGGTTTCATCTCTGAACAGCATACGCACATATGCAGGATGAAACGGGTCTACCACTTCGTGCTTCCCTTCTTGCTGCTGCTCCTCAAGCAATCCTCAGGATTTCAAGCCGTTCATCTTCTACCGGTACCAACCACCGGTGCTTCCTCTCAGTGTCTTTTTTCCACACAAACCAATGCTGTCGAAGAAACCAGAGATGGTGATAGCCTACGGATACGACCTTTCAACTCCACAACAGATTTAGAACCTCTGAAAATAATCTGTCAATCAGTCTTTCGCGGGACAGATTATCTTCCAGCAGAGGCACGCCTCTACGAAGAAGATCCTGCCTGCGACTTTCAGGTTCTGGTAGTGGAAAGCAGCCAAGAAACACTACTAGTACTGTTGGCCGTGGCCAATTTGCGATCCCTTTCACCACAAATTGGTTGGTTGGAAGCAGTACGGACCAATCAAGAGCATCGAAATCAGGGATATGCCACTCGATTGATATCCACCATGTTGTTGGAGCAGAAGGATCGACGACCACAACTAAAGCAGCGCTACAAAAAAATCATGGCTTGCACCATTCGGAGTAATACTGCCATGCAGCGAGTATTCGAACGAGTGGGAATGCAACAATCTGCAGTGATACGCATGTCCGATTTCAGAACCATTGCCAAGCTTCCTGGATACCGCATCAAGGAAGCAGGCGTGCCCTGTCAACACTTGTTGGATGCTTTGGGCATGACACCGCAGATCCCCAAGGAGGCAAAACAACAATGCTGGGAGCCCATACTAGACACAGCATCGCTCCAACAGCAGTTGGAACAAGTGTCACTGAATAACTCTGGAGTGATGCCTGGAGTTTGGAAAGTGATGAGTCCAGAGACTCCACTCTTACAAGAGAGCTTGCAATTTGGGTTGGTGTATTCCTTACGGCGTCCAGGGAGTCATAGCAATGCAGATACCACCACCAGCGAAGCCATCATGGCCTTGGTTCGAGACAAACCAATGCCAAGTCTCAAGTCATCTTGGGTTCTGTGCTTGGCGGGGGCAAACGAGACACATCTGTATGCTGCACTCTGGCACGCTTGCTTCTCCAAAAGGATTCAAGAAACATTGCTTCAACACAACACGTTGACCGCCAACGTCTCGGAGGAGAAGGGTGGTGGCGACGAGGAGAGCGCGGTCGGGTTTATGGTGGCCATAGACGGCAGAATAATATCACTCAAGACAGGCGTTTTGGAGGCCAAATTTCCATTGCTCGAGGAGGCAACCATGGTGTACTCAACACCAGTCTCATGACAGTACCGTACGCACCAATGGTCAGATTTAAAGGCAGCCACTTTGCAGCTCTTAAAAAGGCCAGAGATGCATCCAGTCATTATGGAGCGGTACTAACAACAAGTTACAGAGTCAACCTGGAAAGGACAGGCCAGAAAGGTAGCCACAGTAAGCCACCGCAGTTTTTGCATGACTGTTGGACGGTCAGGTACCTACTAAAGTGGTTAGGCGCCTCAAGCGCAAGCATGCTGGCAGAGCTATCAGACGGCTGGAAGGTGTCAGCAAGGAATCGAAATTTCAAAGGAAGAACTGAGCTTCGGTAGCCAAAGCAGCAGCCAGATCCCTTTGACAACTATTGTACGATTACTCTCCTACTAGCTAGCTAGCTAGTACTATTCTCTAGAGGAGCAGTACTACGTGTGCCACCTTTGCCTGGTCAGCTGAAGCTTCATGCCAAGTACATGTGCCAAGTACGGTGCGTAGCTACATGGGGTAGGATGCTTGGCAATTACGTGCAGGTGGCATACATGTACTATCCTGAGGCTTGATGCTCCTATTATCACCAAGTTGACAGTAACTGTTCACAGTTGCGAACCGCACCTGTTCACAGATTTCTTTTCGCTAGCTAGTGGCACCCTACTAAATCGGGTACGATATGGTCTTACTCCCTTGTTCCTTGGGAAAATGCATCTTGTACCAGGTGGCCAGCTGTACGCTGCACACCCGCAACATCCTTGGAGCTTGGCTAGCTAGCTAGCTAGTAGAGCTTCACACGCTGGTGGTTTGTGGAGTGGAATCGAATCGAATCGAATCGAATCGAATCATTCGCACTTGGCCCCAAACCGAATGAATAGTCGAGTCCCAGCCAAAGCCGTTCCTGATGGTTGTTTGGAGTTGCGGAAACGGCACGGTACTGGCGTACCATACCTGCTGAGCTAGCTAGCTGGCTACGGTAGTACTGTAGCTGTTCAGAGTCGAGTGTACGAGAGTACGATACGTGCAGTTTTTTACTAGTATCCGGATAGTACATGCGCATGTGGAGAAGCGAACAAGCTAAGGAAGCAGGCTCTGGCATCATGATGTGCCGGCGGAGGCACCAAAATAAGCATGTGTGGCGTCACTACCGAAACTGTGATTGCCATCACACATCACACATCACACACATTGCCATCACACAGCTAGCTAGCTAGCTACTACCAGTAGTAGTTATTTGCTGTTGTCAGCTGGAGTCGCCCCTCCTGTTCCGTCTTTTTACCCCCTGTTTCAGTGACAAAGCACCAGCCATTGATCGTAAGAATGGTTGTGAATTAAAGTGGGCGGATAGAATTTCGAACTATTGCAATATGTTGGCAAGTGGGATCAGGGTGCTAAGTACTAGTAACTGGATTTGTCCAACTCTGGTGTACTTCACCTTATTGCCTCATTGCCAATGCTGGTTACATCATGTTAAGACTCTGGTTTTCCCTGGGTTTTCTATGTTAAATCACTAGTTCGGCCTCCAAAAGAGTCAGAGAATGACTGGAAAGTTGCACTTCTCGACTTAACAATCGCATTTTTGTCAATCTCGTGGCATTAGCTGCGACCACTAGTGGCTTCTCTCTTTCCTGCAAGCTCCTCATTCGACTGTCACTCGTACACTCGGTACTGGCACCGGTACACTCGTACACATACATGTTGCGATAGCTGCAATATTTTATTCCGAACGATGACATTAATTTTGCAAAATGTCCAATGCAAGCTAATGCATAGTACATTGTTAATTATAACTGTGTTTTAATGCATGACAACCCTTCTTTCACACCACTACTAGTATGAAGGGCCTATGAACACTTACTTGTAGTACCGGTAGATGGCAACTTACTGGATGCGATGCGAAGGCCCTTTGCTCTCCTTCGCATCTTTTGCAACAACCTCCAGAAGTGGGATTTGCCGACTGCCGACCTCCACTAAGTTTCGTCAACTACTTCACTTTTCTCACAATTTCGAAGTCGAGAAAACTAAAACACAATCTCCAACCAAAGTATCTTCTTTTTGTGTCTACTAAAACCAACATCAACACAATGGGCAACTCTCCGAGCGTCGACCAAGCTATGATTGCATTGAATGAAATCAAAGTCCAAAAGGCCAAGAAGCGAAGCGGTATGAAGCGCGCACCCCCACGTCGAAGCAAGAGCATGGGCAAGAAAAAGTCCATGGACTGTCTCGACAAGGGTTCCAATCACAGCCGAAAGTCTGCGCCAGTGGATATCGGCAACATGATGGATGACTATGATTTGGATGACATTTATGCTATCGTGAAAGAACTCAAGCGCAACGATCAAGGACAGAAGCTGTTGGATGAGTTTGTGGACTTCCAAACGGGAAAGTCCACTCGCAAGCCTCGCTTGCTTGATCTTGTGGATGACAATTCCGACCGCAGTGATGATGAGTTTGCCATTCCCACAGAGATTCAATTCGGCAGTTGAGAGCGATTATTGCAACCATCCTGAATTCAAATACCCCTCTCCTATACACCTACCTGCATGCCTTTGAATCGAATCGAATCTCCTCTTCTCTTAGACTACTCTCAAGTTCCAACCCAGCTATCCCTTTATCCAATAGAGCCATAAGCCATTAACTGCACATAATACATTGAATCCAGAACATAAGAACGAACCCTACTTTGAGCGATTGAAGTAATCTGGCCATGCTACTAGCTAGAGTTCATTGGTTCATAGGAGCACCGACGGACAAGGGCAGCGACAAAGCCTACACTCTCACTCTCTTGGAGCGACTGAGGACTCTTTCGGTCGTATGCCAGGGTAGAGGCCAGCCATGACCGAGAATGCCCTTCGCACCCTTGCGGAGACCACAGATGGAGAATTCTGTGATTGTCAACATGAGTCGAACAAGGGCTTGGCATTTCCACGAGCTACTACTACAAGGCCCGGGCTATACAGACCTGTAGTGAATGCTATAGCCGCAGCCAGAGGGTAGCGGCCTCGGCTGTTCTGCCTTCGTGTTGCTTGAACTTCTCACAGATTGCTTCTTTTTTTTCAAAGAGGTATCATCCTTGCAAGCAAGTTGAAGTGATGCAAGGAAAGGGGTTGGTTGCAGCTCTATGGTTGCTTGGTTGGTTGGTTGGAGGCTGCTGTTTCTCTTGGTTGCTTGATGGAGCTAGCCAGCTGCAGAGGGTTGCCAGCCACCTCGACTGTTTTGTCTTCCTGTTTCTTGAACTCCTATCAGATTGCTTCTTTTCTTTCAAAGAACTATCATCCTTACAAGCAAGCTGAAATGTTCCTAGGAAACCAATTGGTTGCAGCTCTATGGTTGGCTGATTGGAGGCTGTTTATCTTGGCTGATGGGCTGCTGATGATCAGTGGTCGGAAATACGATAGTACTCGACGGTGGTGTTCGTTGGCTGCTGTGCGAATGAAAGGGGCAAGGCAACTGGTGGTCAAAGAATGTTCTGTACGTAAAAGTTTGCAGCTTGGCATTTCCACCATCCAGCCATCCTACAGCCCCACCGGTTCCTATAGTATCAGAAAGCCCTTCAAGCGAGACAACAGTGCCAGCAGTCAGTAACCAGAGCTGATTGGCGGGGGCGGTTGTCGAAGATTTGGCGGTGGTTGGGGGTAGAAACGCAGCTGCCCGACTAGCTGTGCAATTGACACTCGTGAAACAACAGCCAAGATTCAACATTTGATTAGCGTTGAAGCTATGAAGCTATAGGTACCGGTATTAGGAAGCCTTCCACTTCCCGCCAGCACCAATCACTCACTACATCTAGCTAGACTATCTATGGTACATACGATTTTAGCACTGTACATGTACTTATACCCGAAGCCCGAAGCACAGCCAGTGCATCAACCATATCGTCGTCAGTCGTCAGAGCAACTCGCTCGAAATGAATCCGGTTCCAATGGCGCGATGCCGAACTGCCCACTAGCTACCCATTCTTGAGTAGAGGGGTGCTAGTTGGATTGACCGGATCATTCCAGTTGACAAGTGCCAGACAACGCTGTTGTTCATAGATCGAATTGCAGCCCAAGCGTCCAAGAGATGGAGTGACATGTTGCAGTGATGCTGAAAAGATCACTTGGAGATTCTGAAGCATTGCCCATGAAATCGGATTTGATTCATTGCTCTTTGCCAATACAGTTAGTGGTGCAAAGCAAGCAATCCAATCCAATGGCACAGGGTGCAAGCTCTCGTTTTCTGACTAAGAAGGTACGGTGGATCTTGAGTCTTTCTAATGGTTCAAGACAATAGATAATGGCACCCCTGTTCTGCCAACTTTTCAGGTCTTTCACTCCCATGAAATGCAAGGGATCCGGCTTGCAGAGCTTCCATCATGGGTCAAGGGGACACCATCCTCTTTATTTTAGTGAATAGAGCTGTGAATATGTATATTATGTGTGCAGTGGCGGAAACGCGCAAACCTCAGGGCAGCAAATGCTTCTCGTCAGTGCGCTTCCAAAGCGGTCATGGCGGCAATCCGCCCATAAATCTTTTCGACAAGCGATCTATCTTGAGAGTTATCTTGTTCACTTCGTCTCAACTCAAGCGGTTGAACGAAGCAACACGGCAACACAGAACTGCTTGCCAAAGGTCCAGCGACAGAGGTCTTGTCAAGAACCCTTGGCAATGTCTTGACTCGACTCTCTCGTAGAATCACCTTTCAGGTCTACAAGGTACCGTACAAGCTGAACAACGATCGACGCTAAGCTTCTAGCTAGCTGGTAACTTGCATAAACATGGCGACGCCATCTCCGAGGGCAGCAAGAAAGACGAGGAATCTCTCCAGCAAGAGCAGCCTTGCTCCAGCCAGAGTAGATCGACCTCGATTGCAACGAAGTCATACCGCAGATTCCGCTGGAGGAGGCCCCACCCCACCAGCACGTTCGGCTTCCATGGGCCGTAGCCGTCCGATGACAGCAGAAGAAGAGTCTGAATTGTTAGGAACCAGCCTCAATTTGGGCGACGCAATCAGTGGTGGATCTAGTAGCCAGAAACGCGAAGACCTCATGGGAGGAAGCGAAATCATTTCGACGAGTGCCAGACGATGGGAGACAGCGTCTGCCATGGCCAGTGGTAGCGCGATAGCTCCCGGTAGTAGTAGCCGTCGACGTGCCAGTGCCGTGGACCCAGAGACTGTGAGACGACATGCCAAGTCTCTACTCGAAACCAATTGGAAACGCACAAAATCAACTGATCCTCCCCGAAGTGGAAGTGCCCACAAGAAGGCTATTACTACTATGGAAAATGCTGCGGATAGTAGCAGCCATGACAACACAGAACCCATTGCAGAAGATTCATTTAGTAGTCTACCCGGTCTCACCGACTTGAAAACTGTCCCAAAGGCACTCCCCATGGGAGCTTCGTTGCGAAGCAGTGTAGCACAGCGGTTCCTCGACTTGGATGATTCCGACAGCGACAATGGCGGTGGAGCCTTTGATTTGGGAGCTTCCATGGGTCTGGCCAAGTACACCGACAAACTTGCGCCTCTACCCAGCAATGATGCGGCCAGGCTCAGCCAGTCGTCGCAACGAACATCGGGTGGTGGGTTGCTGGAAACCATTAGCAATTCGCTGCATTCGCTCCAAAATCTTCACATGTCCCAAATGACGCTCACAAACAAAGGAACGGAGGACGTTACCAGTGATTCGGAGGATGATCTTGTCGATTTTGAAGGAGAAGAACCCGATATTGATGAAGTCTTTGAGAATCCATTTGCCAAGCGTCATAATCTGCGTGCGGTCGATCAATCCGTCAACCTCATGAATGCCGAGGCGGGACAATACGATTGGTCCAGTCGAGGTTCCAGAGGCGGCAAAGACCAGCAAAAGCGAAACAAGACCATGGCCGAGTTGTTCCTGGGAGAAGCTGCTAGTTCGACGAGCAGGAATACCGAAAAAGTTGGAAATCTTCCCAAGAAGAAGAAGAAACCCAAACACAAGCGAAAGAAGAAACGTTCAAAGTTCTCTCTCATGTGCCATATGATTTGCAGCAAGACCGTCTTGATTGTGGTGGGCATTGCTGTGGCTATTTTCTTGCTCGTGTCGCCTGTCGTCTGGAACAAGGTCGCGCAAGAATCGACCAGCAACGATACTTCTACATCAGTTGCTGTTGCTGAGGTACCAGAAGCCAAAGAAGAACCATCGTCGTTAGACAAAACCGACAGTCCCTTCTATTCAGCGGACATTATCCAAGAACGAAGGCAAGCACTCGAGGATCTCCTCTCGTCTACCAATAACGTCGACGCAGTGACCGACAGCGCGGCAGCTCAGGAAGCAATGTTGTGGATTACGACCTATGATCCCGCGCAAATGGACATCCCCAAAGAAACCAGTGACGACGCACAACTGCTGTTGCAGCGCTATGCAATGGCCGTCTTCTTCTTTGACATGCATCCGAAAGTCCCGGCCAGCACGGCTCCTCACGTTATCATTACAAGCCGAACTGCTATCAAGCAAAAAGACAAAGACGATACTCGGCGACACCTCGCTCGACTCGCCTTTCTTGACTGGATGACGGCCTCCCATGTCTGTGTTTGGGAAGGTTTGACATGTGATGCTCAAGATTCCATTGTGAGTGTTAACTTGTCCAAGTCCAGAATGCGGGGAACCTTGCCACCGGAACTGGGTCTCCTTGGAAAGTCGCTTGTGAACCTAGATTTGAGTGACAACCACCTAAGTGGTCCCGTTCCAGACAAGGCGTGGAGCAATCTCAAAGCATTGGGTAAGCAGTGTATTGGATTTCCCATGTTTTGACGGGATCTTCCTTTGGTGGAATTTCTCTTGCTCATTCACTTGTTTTTCTTTCTTTGGCCGTAGATTCTCTGAAACTGCACAAGAATGAACTCACAGGGACAATCGGCAGCGACTTTTGCGTGTTGCCATCCCTGAACACGTTCACGTCGGATTGCCTACTAGACGAGCTCGAATGCGATTGCTGTTCAACGTGCTACTAACTAGCCCGACGGGTCACCGAGTGACTGACCGTAGACTTTCAAACCCTTACATAAATGCATTCTACATGGGGAAAGAGGTACCGAGGAGAGATCCTAGGTCGTGGAGGCTTCGACGTCCATTCTATTACGGTGCTGTACCGGTAGAATGTAGTACCCAGCTACATCATCGAGAGGCAACCTGTTCCACCCACGCTGTCGATGCAGAGCAAGCGCCAGTTTCCTCTCGCATCCGTTTCATCCCGTTCACTGCGTCAGGCTCTGTTTGGCGCCCTATCCTATCCCTTACGGATTGTCTCTCGACCCTGCTAGTGCATGTTGAGGATATATTATCATCGCCTCGAGGAAAGGTGCTCGGCCTTCAGTTAGTCAGATACCGATTCCTCTCTTATCTGGGGTAGCTGAGCCTTGGCATACGCCATAGTACCGGTATCGTACCAGTATCTGATAGCTTGGCCATAATACGAGTACATGTACCACGGAAGATCCACCACCAGCCATGCAGCGACTCTTTTACGGGTTGAAGGCCAACCCTAATCACTCAAGTGGTACCGTTATCAATAGCAAGCAATCGACGTCGTGGCAGATGGCAGATCAGATCCAGTAGTCTTCGGTACACGTACAGGGCTGTACCGGTATATGCAAACCCTGCCACCAAATCATGTACCATCTCGGGCATCGTGCAAGCAAAGCTGGTTAGCTCGTCGGAGTAGCCGCCCCACTCATCCTTAAGATAAGGGGTAGAAGATAGAGAGTGCAGAAATGGTTTTAAAGGTAACGTTGAAATACTTCGACTTTCTCCAGAATCACCAGAAACAATGATAAACACACCCAACGAAATCTGCGGCGCCTGCTGACACAAACCAAAGTTTCACAAATACAAATACATATATCCTATCCCCGACGGATTGTCTCTCAACCCTTCTATTGGAGTGCATGACATGTTGATCGATCACCGTCTCGAGGAAAGCTGCTTGGCCTTCTGTTAGAAACCTCTCTCATCTCGGGTAGCTGAGCCTCAACTTACAAACCAATGGTAGCAAGCAATGTTGCTGTGAAGCTTTCCATTAGTCAGGTGTCTGAAATCTTGGCCATTACGAGTACACGGAAGATCCACCACCAGCCATGCAGTCGCTCTTGATGGTGAACCATAACCATGGCACCGGAACCGTTATCAATAGCTATCGTCGTGACAGCGTGGCAGATCGAATAGTCCTCAGCACACCTCCAGGGCTGTACATACATGAAGCCAACCATGCACCATGACGTGCATCTCGCCCACCGTGCATTGTGCATTAGCAATTAGCAATTAGCCATTTTGGAGGCTTGTTGGCGTACTGGTACGTACAGTCGTACCGTACATGTCCATGTACTGTACCAGCTGCAGGTACCGTACCAACTACTAGCTAGCTAGCAGCTAGCTATTAAAATACAGTATTAATAGTTTTATACCATACTCGTACTCCGTACGGTACCGTACGGTACGTAGCTGGTCACAAAGCTGTCACATCTTACTAGTACAGTCGTAGTAGGATCCGGGAAGTCATCGCGAAGTTCACTTTCCACAAGTAAGTATGATAAGTAAGTACTGGTAGTGGAGCACACCGAAGTCTTCGTACAGCTTTTTTAAACCTTGACTATCAAGATGGATCCATGAATGGGTTGGAATTAAAGGAGCGAAAAAAGAGCATTCTACGAGCTTCATGATTTCAAAATCATTTAACAAATCGAATTACCATGGGCACTATACTCGTGACCATGATAACTCACTAGATCCCTCAAAGTGAACGATCCACGACCAGGGATTAAAGACTCAACACGTGTAGAACGTGGTGGTCAGCCAACAGCCAATAACATCCAACTCCCTTGGACATCCTGTTCCGAAACGAGAACGCCAACGACAACCTGGCAATTGTGAAGGGGTTCTTACTATAGTTCCTGCCAACTCAAATCCATCACTGACATCTGCCGGTTGGCCCCTGACACAATACCGGTACCTCGAAGCGGTTTACGTGGCTTCATGCCCTCATCATCACTCACCATTCCTCACCATTTCATCCTGGCATTCCAATTCGTTGCAAGTATATGAATTCTCACAATTCCAAGTTTCACAAAAACAAAACCTGCTACTCAAGCAAACCAAACTCATCTATCAACCATGGGCAACTCTACCTCTTCCCCCAAGACCGACAAGGCTTTGATGGCTATGCTGGACAAGAACAGCAAGAAGCAGAGCCGACGCAGCAGCACTGCTAAAGGACGCAAAAGTGGCAGCAAAAAGACTCATTCTGAGGACCCTTTGCTTGCCAAAGTTCTTGAAAGTTGTGATCTCAAGGATATTCTGTCCATGATCAATGAACTCAAGAAGGATGAGGAAGGTCAAAATCTCCTCAATGAGTTTGTCAAGGCTCAGGCCAGCGAAGCTTCCACCAGAGAATCCTCGGAAATACTGGAGCTTTTGGACGCAGAAGAAAGATCTTCTGCCAAGTTTCCCATCTCCGAGATCCGAATCGGAAGGGCTGCATAATGGGTATGCGCAGACCACCACCACCACCACTTGTACTGTACAAAGCAAACCTCCTGTATCATAATATGAGGAACATCACCATGACCTTCCGCTCTCGAACCACCTTCTTCACATAACTTGGTCATAATAACACAACGTAAACTAATCACTCAGGGAAACTAATACTAACTAATGCCACAACACATACCAATACAAAAGCCATGCCACTACTAGTATATAGGAAGCAGCAAACGACAGATGCCACATGCAATGGAAGTATTTGTAGAAAGCTGGCTCTCGGGGTGCGTGGGTGGCGAAACCGTACGAAGTATTTCGCTTCGAAAACCGAGCGGTACTCCAGGCAACAAAAAGGACCCATGGCCCAACGCCAACCACACAACCACCAACGCCGACTTCTTGCTAGCTAGCTTGGCTTGTCCTTTGTGTTGTCAAGTGGGAGATTCGATGGTGTTACGTCTGTTGTTGACTCTGATAGCGCTACTGGCAGGGAGCAGGCTTATACCTTGCTCTCTGGTTTGCGGGTTTGCGTCTACTGCTGGCCAGAAGCACTCAAGAAGATGGATTTCGAGACAGAAGCGTTCTGCCACAGCCAGCCACAGCAACCAGGATTCGCTGACCGACCAGGTTCAAGTCTTTGACAACGTCGTATCTCCAGAAGTGTGCCAAGAACTTCACTACCTTGCGACGGAGCATGCGGAACGATGCGGGCCGACTTCGTCCATCTTCCACTGGACTGACGACAACCCCTTTATGACTCCCCTGGAACAAGCACTATGTAGTATCCTTACAGAACTCATGCCACTACTGTCACTGCAACAAAAAGACCAACAACAGCATCCAGACTGGGTTGTCGAATACTGGAGTCGTGATGAGTATATCAACTTGGATGCTCATTCCGATATCGATGAACAGTTGTTGTTGCGGGAAGGTAGCATTCGGTGCCCAACGTGGGCACACGTCCTGTATCTAGATGTGGTACCGGACTTGCGAGGGCCGACCTGTGTCTTTTCTCAAATGGGTGGTTGGAACGGCCAAACAGTTTCGGATGCGGCAACGACATCGGTGATTTCAGTCCCGGCCCTGCCAGGGCGACTCCTGAAATTCCCAGGGGCTGCCATGCATGCGGTACCCAAACCAACCTCACTATGGTTCATGAATGAAAATGACCAAGACGAGATGCTGGCAAAAGAAGAGGAGGAGGAAGAAGAAGATTTTGACTATGATGATGATGATGATGACAGGACCGAAAGATCGGTTATACTGTTCAATGTGTGGCAAGGTGACGGTCCTGGTGGAGTGCAAGAGGACCTGATTGAAAAGGGGATTCTTCCAGATGGAATTGGGCTAGCAGCGGATGACTCCAACGACAACTACATGGCAAAAGAGAAAGAACGACGAGTAGAACTATGGAACGAGGATTACGGGGCGGGTTGTCGTGACTTGAAGTGTAAACCCAGGACGGAATGGCAACGTGTGGACATTGTTGACTCCTCCAACAAACAAAATACGAAATCGGAAAAGACAACAATTCGAGTGCCATTGATGGGAAACAAAAAACGCCACCTTCATGCCAATGGTCGTGCCCATCTGACTTCACCGGCAAGACTACTGAATGCTTTGGAGGACAAGAGTACACCTCATCACTTTGTTTTGCACCAAACCGGCAGCGGGTGCAGCAAATGAATTTTCGATAGTTGCCAAACATATCTGGGGAGGCAACTAGGCTACTAGCTAGCTAGCAGCTCGCACTTTTCTTTTACCTGGTGGCGAGGTGCCAAATCTTCCTTTTGGTGAGAGCAAAATACGAGTACAGTACCACTAGTAGCCAGAACATGAATCAATCGACTCGGAGATTTGTTTGGTTTGTCGGACATTCCTTGTGGCCGCCTCCCCACATCGGCTTCCCCGAAAGCGTTCAGGGCCTGCTTCCAAGAGGATTGCGTTCTCGTTCCTCTCCGAGAAACGGTGGTATGTGTGTACAGCTAAGCCTGAGACCGGTACCGGTACCAGGTTCAGTTAACAAAAAAGTACGTAAAGAAAACTTGAAGTTACCTTTTGGTAAACTGTGATTTACCTTTCTAGTATCTGAATTTGTACTATTGCTGTTTTTTAAACGTGCTTTGGTCTTTTTCTCCGAACGTTCGGATTTGGGATCTGTTCGATCCTCGTTCGCGGTACCGGTAGGCTCCCCTCAAAACTCATCTTCTCACAATTCACAATCATCTCATTGAAAGACTTGACCACTTGACCTACCCATTTATTTTTTGCAATTGATCTTGTACCCTCAATCCCTACTGAATATCCAGCCAACATCATGGGAAACTCCCCTTCCAACAGCTGCGATCTCGACGCTGATACACTTGCTTTTGTAATGGAAAAGACAAAGAATAAGAGAAGTGGCTCCAAGCGAAACGGCAAGGGACGATCTTCCCAGAAGAGCCGACGGAGGTCTTCTTGCCACCAGGCTTCATCTTGTGCCATGTTGGACGAATGTGATGTGGATGACATTCTTGAGTTGGTACAAGAACTGAAACGAGATGGTCAGGGCACAGAGCTGCTAAAAGAGTTCCTTGACTACCGAATGGGCAAGTCAAAGCGGGAACCTCGAATCTTTGACCTTTTGATGGACAGGGCCGACAAGTCGCATCCACAGCCGCCGCCGCCGCCCATTTCGGAGATTCAGATAGTCTTGGACTGTGGCTATACCGGTAACGGACACGGGGACCTGTAGAGTGAGTCAAGAACACCACGACAGCAGGAAAAGCAGCCCGGCAAGGAGACAAAACGATTCTCAACAACAACACCAGCCAGTTGATCAGGCACATATGTACCAGTAGGGGTCTTTACCAATAGAAACAATTTTATCCTTCTATCCTTTTCTACACTATCTTCGCAGTAGAATGCTCAATGGTAGCTTCCTGTAAAGGCGTGACAAGCAGATTTTGAGGCAGTCGTCTCGGACATGGCATGATGTTGGGCGGTGACCTGTCCCAGAGTTGGCCAGATTTCGGGTCTTTAGGTCCAGGAGTAGGAGAAAGGGATTGGCGTTAGTACAGAAAGTGAGCTTTGCTTGTCCTGGAATCCTCTTTTGGCACGATAGGTGCAGGTGTTGCTGTGGGAAAACGACTCTTTGAGGTTCAAACGTCTTGAGTATAACAAGATTAGGTTTTGGGATTGATCCTGGTATAGTCCAGATGTTTATAGGCAAGGGGTTTTGTCTAGCTAGGTAGTGTAATCTTGAGTTGGGGTTGACTCTCGCAGGTCCAGGTGGTCTGCCATGTCCCAGGAGCCGAGCCAAATCCGGGCTGAGCCAGGCTGAGCAGAGATCCTGGAGTTGGCCACGCTATCTCTCATAGTGGGGGGATCAGCCAAAGCGAGAGAGTTCGGACAAGTGGTGCATGTTGACTCAGAGCGAGAGTATCATCTAGTGCGTTGATACTACAGCTGAAAGTCAGAGGAGGACCATCAAGCAAGCAAAGGGAGCCCAGTACTACATTAGGAGCCAAGTCCCCTCTCTCCTCACTCGTACTACCATCCTAGTAGGTGGGAGCGAGCTGGGCAGGTAGCTCCTTCAGTTTGGCCTAACATATTACATTTTCGTTGACCAGCAGCCAGCAGCAACCACCAATCCCCAATGCTCCCTGTTTCCCTTTCATTTTTCAAACATGTAATCCAGATCTGCACTTTGTTATTGTTACCACTTTCTTTTTGAGGGGCGAGACACCAAGTAAGTCATTGTTATATATTATTATATCATACAGCTATCATACTCAGTACAGCTGTTTTCCCAATAATTTAGCAGCGCATGTGCCTCTCGCGCAGAGGTGGTGCAAACGGTACTGACAATCTGACAATCTCTAGTACTAGTACTACCAGTAGACTACTCCTTATGTCTGAATGCTCTTTTGACTTCTCCGTCGGACACAATAATATGTCGGAATTATATCTGTTTTAGTATAGCTAGTAGACTAGTAAAATAAGTACCGGAACTTCTGTTCTGTAATCGTCACTGAGTGACAGTCACTGAGTAATGCCGCGTTCTAGTAGCTACAGTAGTAGCTAGCTAGAGGGTGGCTCTGCAAAAGAGCTCTCCGAAGCTACTGTACAGTACTACTGACCACAGCTCTGATTGGTTGCCACACTGGATGTCGGAGATATTTGTACGGTATAAAGTACTCAGTAGCTAGTAAGTAATCAAGAGCTCCAGAGAAGGAGAGAAGGTGAAACTGTTGGCAGCAGCTCGAACACTCTCCCCTCTCGAATGTTTAGAAGAGCTGCAAATAATGGAAACGACACCAATGTGCAGTAGCGGGTGAAGAAGCAGGCTCAACGAGATATTCGGAGTTCAAAGTTTACCCGAGCTCCTGAGTTCGCCGAAGGATGGAGGGACAGTACGGTACCCCACCTCAAGGAACACTGAAACTTTAATCTCTCAATTTATTAAAAGCCATAGTTTGGCATTTTTGAGGAATACAATGACTTCCTCTTGCAGTATGATTTAAAAGCAGTACCCACCAAAGAACGCCGAAGTCACTGAATGGTTGAAAAGTACTTGAGCTGTACTCGTAATGGTCAAACTTCAAATTTTTCTTTTTTTTCTTTGCTAGTAGCTAGCTAGATGCCAGACCACAGGGTGTGAAGTCTGAAAGGTCCCAAGGTCCCTGTTTGATCGTTTGCTCCTTCATTCAATTTTTCAGGATCATCATTAGCTTTGTCGAATGGCCTTAGCTTTTTCGACCATCCGTCTCTGTACCGTTTCCAGAACTCCAGGACTTTTCAACCATACAAGGCCGGAAAATCTTTTATTCTCTGGCTTCTACCCGTAGCTCCAGTCCAAAGATTTCTCTCAAGTTTGGAGCTCACAATTCAAAATCCAAACAAAGGGGAAAGCTCTCGGAACCAAACTACTTCGTCTACAAAACATTCAAGCCATCATGTCGCAAACTTTCAACAATATCTCAGAGGACTGGTCTGAAGACTTCTCTTGTCCTGATATCGCTTCATACTCTGATAATTCATCACAAGATGACGGGGCCCATGCAGAGCGTCAAGTTCTCAGTCGAGCAGATCAAATCCGAAGGAAACTGGCCAAGGTCCAGGCAGAAAGGAGGCGCAAGAACAGGAAGGCTGCCAAGGCAGAACAACGCAAGAGCCTAAAACAACAAGGCAGTGACAAGACTGCACAAGCCAGTTTGTAAGGCGCAAAGGGTTGCCTTCATTTATTTCATCTTCTTCCAATTTTTCAAAGTCTTTTGCTATTCAGTACATATTTTATAGTGCAATTTTTATTCTTCAAACTCCAAATCACTTAGTCTTGACTAGTCTGTAGTCTGTAGAGAGCAAACCAATGGATGTGTCGCAGCCGAGCCTTGAGAAACCCCCCAAGCCCTAGGAAGGGTCCATCTCACAAAAGGCAGCCAATGGCATCCCCACCGCCAAGTTCAATCGTGCATAGTTGATGTACGGTACGGTACAGGAGCAGTTCTGCGTGCCGTTGCTGCAAATCATGTGCTTGCCCACGGTGAGTCGCAGTTGGTGATACGTCCTTGTTGCATTCCGCTTCCTTCATTCAAAGGGCTGTGGCGATCTGCTGCCTGTTCTCCAACAAGAGCGAGTACCGCGCCACGAGAGGAGGCCAGAATCCTCTGGTGTCAGGATACCGGCGGAGTTGCTGTCATTGGACTCGATGAGCACCGCCTGCTGGTTTGAGTTTGCCAGTTGCTGTCATCTGTATCCACTCCAATGGAGCATTTCTTTAGCCTGTCTAGCTAGCCACAACATCCGGCACGGATCGGTACGTACCTGTTGTTCTTTGGTCGAAATGGCTGTGGCCCACTTGATGATCAGACAGGAGAACAGAAGAAGGCGTTTGATTTGGATCCGCTCTCCAGCAGAGATGCGGGCTGCGTTCTCGTCGGTCCACCGGAGTCCGGTGTGGGAGTCAAAGATCTCTCCGTGGTACAACACGTCGGATACCGGTACGCTTCCAGCAAAGTGATGGGAAGAGAACACTTCAACACAGAAATCCGACGACATCGCCCAAGCTCCACAGGCATCATTTGAATCGAGCTTGAGTTTCTGCTGGTTGTGAATGCTGGTTCCAATCACCGCAAAAGATCTCTCTCTTCTCCATCAAGCTCACAAATACAAACTATAAACATTTCGCAAGCACAAAACAACAAAGCACAAAACGATGAGATTCCCATCCTTCTCCTTGTTTCTCGCGCTCGGTCTAGCTGCCCAGTTCACTGAGGCCTGTGAAGATCTCGTTGAGGTTTCCCAGGAGGATCTACAATCCTTGCTCCCAAGATCACTTGATTGGAATGACACCAAGAGCGTTCAGGAGTTTGTCGTCAGCGATGGCTCATATGTGACGCCCGCTGAAACCACCGACTTTCAAGAGACCGCCACGTATCAGGAAGTGACAGACTTCTTTTCTAGACTTGCACAGGAAAGTGATGCTGTTCAGGTCCAGTCGATTTTAACAATGCCAAATGGCGAAGAGCTCTGGCTTGTCACAGTGTCGGGTGAGCAGCGCTTCAGCCCTGATGATATGCAAAACCCAACAATCTTGGCCACTGCGGGCATTCACGCTGGTGAATCTAGTGGAGTCAATGCGGGGATGATGTTCGTTCGAAACTTGGTGTTCAACGAAGAATACAAAGAGCTCCTCAACTCGGTCAACTTTTTGTTTGTGCCGGTCTTCAATATTCAAGGATACCTTCGCCAAAGCCCTCAAGGAAGGATCAATCAGCATGGTCCCAATACTTCTGGACGCCGGGCCAATGGAAACTGGAAGAATCTCAACAGGGACTTCAGCAAGTTGGACACCGAAGAAGTGCGGGCTGTTGTTGGCATCATGAGGGACTACGATCTTTCGTTCTACACTGATCTGCATTCTACTGACGGCATGTCATATCAACCAGACGTGACATGGTGCGATAATGGAGATGCAGGGCTCTCCAATGAGATCCATGGTTGGCTCCGTGGCGAAATGCAACCGGCGTTGGAGGCCTTCGTCGAGAGTTACGACCACTTTCCAGCTGTGTGCTACTCTGCCAATGACAAGATGGATCCAACCAAGGGATTCTACCCTTACTTCAGTGATGGTCCCTCGTACAGCACCAACTACGCTGATCACCGACAAATCCCATCTTATCTCTTGGAAATGCATTCGTTGAAGCCAAACAAGCAACGCGTCCTTGGAGCTCATGCCTTCTTGCTTGGTCTTACGAAGATTATCTCTGAGAAAGCTGACTCCTTGCGTGTTGCTGTTGAAGCTGATCGTGCTGCTCGAGCTGGTAAGTCAAATCATTGAGCAAGCTGTAACCAACGTTCCTTCTCTGGCCTTGCTTAGCATAGATTGACGACATATTTGCTGACCCTCCTCCACCAATGGTTTTGTTCAGATCCCGTCCCCGTCGCTTGGGGCTACGACTCACCAGCCCCACAGGTGGATTGGCCGATTTTCGAGTATGAAGTTGTCAAGAACCCCGTGTTGGGCATTGACCAAATTGTGTGGTCCGACGTCCCCATGACCATTACAGTAGAACAATCCACTCGCTCGACACCCGTCAATTCGCCCAAACGCCCCTATGCATATGTTGTCCCAGCCGTTTGGGAAGACGTCATCGAGGTACTTGACATGCACGGCGTCCAAATGGAGGTCTTTACGGAGGAAACTGTTTGGGAGGTCACCAACTATCGCACCGAAGACGCCAGTCTAAAACGCTTGCGGGAAGGTCGTCCCGAGATCAGCGGCGTGGGCATCCCCGAGAATTGCACCCGTGTGTACCGAAAGAACGATGTCTTGATCAAGACGGACCAACCTTTGGGTACTCTTGCCGTGGCATTATTGGAACCCGCTGGCGAGGGTAGTCTGTTTGTTTGGGGGTTCTTTTCGAGTATGCTCACCAGTCATGAGTATCCTGAGAACTACATCATGATTCCACTCGCCGAGAAGATGTTGGAGGAATCTGAGGAACTACGAGCGGAGTGGGAGAACTACAAGGAAGAAAATCCCTCCTATGTGAATGAAACCGAAACTACCCTGGACTGGTTCTTCCGTCGCTCTGCTTACTATGATGCGGAGGCCTACATGTACCCCGTGGGGGTCATCTATGAAGAACCAGCTGAAGCTTTTGACTTAGAGGAGTTTGATTCTTCGAATGATGATGCAGATGACAATGACGAAGAAGAGCAGGAAGGTGAAACTAGTGTTGTGGGCCGCTCTCAATGGTGGCCCCTTGGCAGTGATGGAGGACTCAGGCGAAGGAAGAACTGAGGTCAAGGTGTGAAGTGGGCCACATGCGTGATAAATAGTCAAGCTGAAATAGTAGTTCATTGAGTGTCCTAACTTTTACCTCAATACGGTAGGCAGTAGCTTTGTCCATATGCATGCAGAGAATTGTGTGTGACATGTTGGGCTCCTTCACTGCAAGTAGCTATGCATATGATACTAGTACCGGTAACACCCGGTACGGTACCGGTACTACATTTCTGCAACAGTAGTTGCACAGTGTCAGTATGTGCTTCCCCCTACTACTATGTGGATCTTACATACCCTCAGGATCAATGACAGTATGCTACGTAGAAAACCTATGGTATTGGCAGTCATTGAAACAAAGATCCTCTCAATAAGACTCTCACTATTAAATAAACTGCAACACATGAGATATAACACCGGCATTAAGACCAACCACATACTGAGAGGATTCCAATTTCGCCCTAAGTACCACAACACATACCTACTCGATTCCCACAAATCCAATGAGATCCAGTGGATCGTTCCGATCCAACCGTTGCCAGCCAAAAGATCCAATCGTTGCAGAGTTGCCGTATACTCTACCGCTCGAATCGTATGGGTTGACGTATACTCAAGCCAAAGAGGCAAGCAACGTGCGAATCCTGTGGGATAGATCGATCGTCTCAGTACGGCTAGCTATCGGTAGCACTTCAGTTTTCCTCACTTTCAGCTCATTATTTTCATTCCTTCAACTCTATAAAGGAACTCTGCCAAAATTTCAGCTCAAGCAGCCAACCAACAATTGCTTAGTTGACCAAACAATTACTCCACCATGGCCAACAATGCCAATGCTGGAGCAGCCTTTGGGTTGGAAGACGTGCCGGATTTGCCTGAAGCACCCACGGAACAGCCCAAGTACAACCGGGATTACCATCGTCTCTTCGTCAAATTCATGAGCTGGCTGCACAAGAGGACATACACCAAGGCGGCTCGCTTCCAACCTAGTGCTTTGGCCGGCATCCAACCACACCACGTTGCCGACTACTTGAAATGGCGTGCGTATGGTACGACCGATGTTGACTTCAAAGATCTTGAGCAGAATCCAACTTGCCGCTCCTCTACTCTTGAGCAAGACAAGAAGGCTATCTCCTTCTACATGCCCATCAAAGGTGCCACATGGAATGGAACCTCCGGCAATCCAACCAAGTCCGATCCTGTGAACGAAGTGGTCAAGGAAGTCAAGAAAGCGGAGACTCAACACCGCGGCAAGAAGTCCTGTGCCACCAGGGATTTGACGGAAACTGAGTATCGCAAGGTGGTCCATGAACTCTACGGCAAAGGGAGCTTTGAATCGACCATCCGTACAGCCTGCATGTTGAAGCAGCAAGTCCATCTCATCACCAGGACGGACGACATCTCCAAGTTGAAGTATTCCGACTACAAGCCGCATCCAGACTTCCCTTTTGCGCTCAGTTGCAAGGTGCATTGGTCCAAGAATATTTCGGAAGAACGACAATGCCCTGACCAAATCATTCTTGGGTCGATGGATACCGACTTTTGTGCTATGCTCGGATTGGCGAATTACATGGAGGCGTCCTTCAACTACGGGTATGGCGCCGCTGGTCGGGAAGATGCATTCCTCTTTACTCCCGAAAGCGATCCTAAGTTGGCTCCCAAGCACTGCAACGCAGCCTACCGCAACATTCTCAAGGCTGTCTTTTTGTCGGCTCCATTTTTGGCTGTGGCGCTCCTCATTGCTGGTGTTCTTGGGAGTCACAGCATTCGGAAGTTTGCTGCAACTCTGGCAAGAGGGATGGGTGCTACTGCTGACGAAGTTGACATTCGAGGTCGCTGGAAGGCTCGCTTATCTGGACGGGTTGTTGATGCCTACATTTCGCCTGAACAGCCCTGGATCGACGCTCGTGTTGCCGAAAAGCTTTGCATGGGGGCTCCTATTGCCTACAAGCTACACCCGGATGCCAAGAGAGTGACTCCCGACTGGTTGATTGAGCATGTGGTGCCAAGGACGCATGCGTTTTACGACGGTGTCAACGACATTTCGCTTCACTTGGCTCTGCCTCTTTTGTGGGCTGCTCTTGACGAATCTTGGGAGGAGAGGATGGAGCCTCCCGTTCGTGTTAGGATCCAAGATGCGTACGAGCGCATCAAGGCCGATGTTCCTGTTGGCGTCAACCCTGTGGTGAAAGTGCCTCTCTCTATTTGGACGCACAACACCAAGCTCCACATCAACGAAATCGAGCCGATGGATACGGGAGGCGGCGGTGGGACGGCTGGTGGCACTACGGGAACGACCGGCCAGGCAAGCACTCGTCAAGTTGCCAATCAGTCTCGGCAGGTGACGGCTATGCAAACGCAACAACAGGTACGAACGAACGAGGAGATTCTGACAAGGATTATTGCGCAGCACAACCAGCTCCAGCAGCTCATTGCGCAGAAGGTAGGACCCGCGACAGTTCGGCTGCTGCTTTGAGAGGTTGGTTGGAGACTTGGCTTGGCGCGGAGCTGACGAAACTGAATGGAAATATTTGCAGGTAAGGTGGACTTGTGTCTGTTGGCTATTGCAACCATGGCTATTATTGCTGCTAACTCTATATTTTTGTTTGCTTTTAGGATTGCTGTTCAGCCTCCAAGGATGGCAACACCTGATCAGGTAGATGTAATCTTTTTAGAAATGGGTTGACTGTGGAAAGGACTCGCCGGAATGGCCAGACTAGCCTCAGGTACAGACAAGCTGTGGCCACCACCCCTGCTGATAGTAGGCCTGCCAAGCTAGCCAAGTACAGAACTGTTGGCTCTGCTTGGCAAGAGTGGATGCATGGTATTGGTGGCAACAAGCCAGCCAAGAACTTCACTGCTGATGATATCAGGGCTTGCAAGTCAACCTACTCCAGGAGGAAGCCACTCTGGACTCTATGGCTACACTTGTCAATGCTCAGAAAGCTCCAGCTTGGGTCATCTCCAAGATTGAGGAGCATTACAAAGGAAGTGTTTTGAATATTACTGCTGCCATCAAGCAGGACACCATTATGGGCAGTCTGCATGAGGATCTTTGTATTGTTCGTGCTCAGTAAAGTTGACCTTAGTTTAATCAGCATGGTAGCCATGCCTTATAGTGAGTCTGTTACATGAGGACTTATTGTGTTTTCGTTTTCGTGGACTTGTGCTTTTCGAACGGATTTCGAGGACTTGTGCTTTTTCGAACGTATGTGGGTAGGTAGTTACTAGTAGTAGCTAGTAGCTAGCGAGCGATTTCGTGGATTCGTGGACTTGTGCTTTTCGAAAACGTAGAAGAGGTGCTTTTCGTTATCTTAACAGTGAGTAGTAGAGGTGCGAGCCTCATTTTTCTTACAGTCGAGGACGTGACCTTCACTAGGTCGACACTGGTATTAACATCGATCGATCGACCTTGCATACACCAGGTGTTGGGGGTACGATGGATACCTCTCCATACCTCCTGTAGGATCCCCTACTACTCGTACAGGCTCTCAGTATTCCTCTCAGTTCTGGGATATACTTTTACGGTACCGCTAGAAGTGCTGCTGGCTTCAAATTTCGTCTCCATGAGACGACGCACCTTTTGGTTACCCCCTCAGTTGCACTCTGAAATCGTTTGGCTCGCGTTTACTGTGTAAATTAGTGTACCCGCACTTCAGTTGCAGAATCAACGGTCATGTGCTTCGAAAGATTTAGATCGATTCGTGGATAAAAAGAACCGTTGAAGTTACTAAGGTTAAGGTTAAAGTCCATTATTGAAGGCGCAGCACTGACTTCTCTCCCTCATTCAATTCCTATGGTAAACAGGAGAGAAATCCGAGCTTGGCCGACAAGAGCGGTGTTGAATCGATCGATCGATCGATCGAACGACTGGTACGGAGGTAAGCATACCTATAATCAAGAGTGTTATTGAAGGTGCAGATTCGAAAGCCATCCCTCATTGAATTTCTATGGACCGCGGGAAGGCAGTCAGATCTCGGCCATCAACAGGTGAGTTGTTTTATTTATTCGAGTCGATCGTTCGCACCTCTATGATCTCTACCGGTATTATCAAGCCTCACTCAAGCCGTCAGTCTCCGGTGCAGAATGGAAAGCCATCCCTCATTGAATCCTATGGTCGGTGGGATGGCAGTCAGTTCTCGGCCCATGACGGCCAAGTTGGTGCAATTTGAAAAACAAGAGTAAGTCTCCGGTCATCTGCAGTTGAGCACAGAAAACAAAACTCATATCTATTTGTTGTTTTCTCTGCTGTACTGCTGACGGCTGAGGAATTACCATTGTCGACGATCGATCGCTCCGGATAACAAGAGGAGAGGCTACCGCTACGGAGGAGGAGGCTCTGTTAACTCCAGCCCTACCAACAGCATGAACGGAGGAAATCGTTGTCGAGTCATTGAAAAGGCAACAAGAGGAGGAGGCTACACGACAACTCGAAACGCACAGAGGAGAGTGGATCCTACTACTGGATTCATCCCTCCAGTGTTATTTCCTAGTGTTATGGTGGTGATTCCTGTGTCGGTACCCACTTTCCTGTATGCACAAGTCCTCGGGCGAACGACTTGCTTTTTTCGTACGACAAAGATAGATAGATAACTCGTAAGATAATAGATCATCGATTACCGACCAATAGACCACTCCTTTCATTACACATAGATAGACACCTTATAGATCAATAGGATTGACAATCTTCGGTTGTGCATGTATTCGTCATAAGGATCCAATATGAGGTACTTGTACCGGAGTGTAGCGAGCAAAGCCGAACCTGAGTGTGTTCGGTACTGTTGCCACTGTCGCCGATGTAACTATACGGCAGCCGGCTACAATGGCTGGATTGACAATCTTCGGTTGTGCATGTATTCGTCATAAGGATACATTGAGAGGTTACGGAGTGTAGCGAGCAAAGCCGAACCTGAGTGTGTTCGGTACTGTTGCCACTGTCGCCGATGTAACTATACGACAGCCGGCTACAAATGGCTGGATTGACAATCTTCGGTTGTGCATGTATTCGTCATAAGGATACATTGTGAGGTAACGGAGTGTAGCAAGCAAAGCCGAACCTGAGTGTGTTCGGTACTGTTGCCACTGTCGCCGATGTAACTATACGGCAGGCCGGCTACAATGGCTGGATTGACAATCTTCGGTTGTGCATGTATTCGTCATAAGGATACATTGCGAGGTAACGGAGTGTAGCGAGCAAAGCCGAACCTGAGTGTGTTCGGTACTGTTGCCACTGTCGCCGATGTAACTATACGACAGCCGGCTACAATGGCTGGATTGACAATCTTCGGTTGTGCATGTATTGTCATAAGGATCCAATACGAGGTACTTGTACCGGAGTGTAGCGAGCAAAGCCGAACCTGAGTGTGTTCGGTACTGTTGCCACTTCGCCGATGTAACTACGACAGACTGGCTACAATGGCTGGATTGACAATCTTCGGTGTGTGCATGTATTTGTCATAAGGATCCAATACGAGGTACTTGTACGGAGTGTAGCGAGCAAAGCCGAACCTGAGTGTGTTTGGTACTGTTGCCACTGTCGCCGATGTAGCTATACGACAGCCGGCTACAATGGCTGGATTGACAATCTTCGGTTGTGCATGTATTCGTCATAAAATCCAATGAGGTACTGTAACCGGAGTGTAGCCAGTACCGGAGTGTTGCGAGCAAAGCCGAACCTGAGTGTGTTCGGTACTGTTGCCACTGTCGCCGATGTAACTGTACGGCAGCCGGCTACAATGGCTGGATTGACAATCTTCGGTTGTGCATGTATTCGTCATAAGGATCCAACATGAGGTACTTGTACCGGAGTAACTGAGCTGGAACTAAGGAATCAAGAGACGAACGCTGAAAAAAACCGAATGCAAAGTAACGAGTAGATTCGTAGGGTTAGGGGCAGCTACGCGTCAAATCTTTCCACTGACTGTTCCGCGGTGCTCAATCCCACTCCGACCAGATTGCAGCTTCCCCACTTGTGCCAGCTCCTTACCGGTATCATTGGCGATGCGACGGGCTGTTGTTGGTGTTGTAAAAGAGAGCAGAGCGATTGACCGAGGTATTATCCTCGAACGGTGAAGTTTCTACCCGGTTAGAAGCGAACCTCATATTACGCCGTTGTGGCCGTTTGCGAGAGATCTAGGCTAGTCATTGACCATTCACAAGTTAGATTGGATCTTTTCCCCATTCGATTCAAGAAAGGGACAACCAACACATTTAAAATTGGTTTAAGAAGAAGAAACAACCCACAACTCATTAAAAATGGCATCACATGATCTTTCCTTTGATGTTTCCCACAATGGCGTGTCTCAGCCTCCTTCCCATGATCATCAAATGGCCATGAGTGGACAAATGGACGCGGGCAATGGCAATGGCATGGGCGGCAATGGATCTGGCATGTTGGATCGACTCAAGACAGAATCAGCCCATCCCACTGTCTGCATCTTTCACTGCGTGTTCAAAGCAGTCGCCGTGTTTCTGTACATTTTTGGAGGCTGGTTCACAGGCAATGGTCAAGGTGGGACCAGTGGATCCAAATTTATCATGCTGGCCGTGCTGTGCATCCTCTTGTTGGCGGCTGATTTTTGGGTGGTCAAGAACATTACAGGACGATTACTGGTGGGTCTCCGATGGTGGAACAAGGTGGAAGGTGATACCACACGATGGATTTTCGAATGCGCCGATACTCTGCCCAATGGATCTACCATTCAGCGCAACAAGTTTGATTCCAACGTCTTTTGGATGATCCTCTACACTACTCCCGTCATCTGGAGTGGTTTGTTCCTTATTGGACTCCTCAAATTCGAGTTGGGATGGTTGATTCTTGTCGTCATGGCTCTGGGCTTAAATTGTGCCAATGTCTATGGATACTACAAATGCAGCAATGACCAAAAGGCAAAATTCCAACAAATGATGCAGCAGGGAGCTCAACAAGGTGCTCTGGCTGTTGTTCGATCAAGTTTTCTTGGGGCTTTGACAGGGTCGCCCACAAATGGTGCTGGGAATCCAAGCAATACATATGTGTAGGAAAACCAATTCGGTCAACCACAATTTATTTTAGAGGGAGAAGAACCAGAAGAAGAATTCAATAATTGTCCTTCTTCTCAGGTTGACTTCTTTATTATTGGTCCCTGCCAGTGCATGCATGCATTATACTTGTAGTAGTACAGTGCCAAAAACAAAGCTCGTGGTGCTGGAAGGACCCAACCGTACACCTCCAGTGGTCTGGACAACTCTCCAAAGCTCCTTACTATGCGAATAAAACTGAAACTACCCTGGACTGGTTCTTCCGTTGCTCTGTTTACTATGATGCAGAGTCCCACATGTACCATGTGGGGGTCATCTACAAAGAATCAGCTGAAACTTTTGTCTTGGAGGAGTTTGATTCCTTGACTGATGATAAAAAGAGGACTCAGGCAAAGGAAGAACTGAGGTCAAGGTGTGAAGTGTGCCGTTAGTGACAAATACTCAAGTTGAAATAGACTTTGTAATTCATTGGTTGTCTTTCGTCTCTGAAGTGTCTAGCTAACCAGCAATGCAGTGGGTTCGTGGTTCTGGTTGATCTTGTTTTCCACGGTGATATGGTGGCAATACCACAACCCGGTGCAAGAGCAGCTTTGCCAGTATTTTCCTCACAGGTGTAGCCAATGAAAACAGGCCCAGCGTCCACCACGCTTACGTTTGATGACGAAGACGGACGGAGACGAAGGTCAAACGATCTGTGGCTTGGTGGCTTTTTCTCAATAATTGTGTGTTTGCTGAAGAGTGAGGAGGAGTTTGAGCAGTGAGATGTCAAGGAGCTGCCATCAAGTGCGCACTCTCGAAATCGGACCAAACTTACCAAATCAGTCAAGGACCACAAAAGCGCCCAGAACACCAGCAAAAGTGTGGAGAAGCCAAGCCACCATCAGAATTGTATATCTTTCCTTGCAACCCGTGGCCCGTGGCTTCGCTTCAAATAATCAAGACAGAAAAGAATGGAGGAAGAAAAGATGAGAAGCAACGGCAAAATGCGTCAACGGCAGTGTGCAGATGCAAAAATAAGGAGAAAGAGGCCACGGCTTCGGCCGCTTCAACTTTATGCCGTTCCAGTCTTCCTATGTTTGATCAAGATGCTGGTGGTGCCCGTGGATGGATTTCATTCCCTTCCACTTGCAACTGTGAAACTGCGTGATCCTTCCTTTACATCATCCTGTCGAAGTTTGAGCCGGTGTCTCTCTTTGCTACAGAGATCAAATTTTAATGCCAAGAGGCAACAGCAATGCTACGGTTCTTTGAGGAATCTTGTCTGTCTGCAAGGGGTGGAGTCAGATGCTGCTGCTGATGCTGATGATGACGAGGAAGATGGAGAAATTAGAGGGAAAACCGATGAAAGCTTGCTTCGTCAAGTGGAGCTCCAACAGCAGCAAATCAATCAACTCCTTTCAATGATGACCACTCAACAGGAACAGAAATCAAAGCCAGAAGAAGACGAAGAGCCTCCACCAAAACAAGTAGAAGAACCAATGCCTCAAACCGATCCCAGTCCAGCACAAAATTCACCTCCTAGAACGTCTTTTTCTCAGCATGGAATGCCTCCACAGCCATTGCAACCACCACCACCTCCTCAGAGACATCAGGCTCCCGTCGCTCCTGCAGTAGCCACCACGGCCATGAGCCCCCTCAAAGCCATGCTCTTTGTGGACGGAACCTGGCTGTACTACTCCATCCATGAACGACAAGACTATCTCTGTCCCATCATCAAAAAATATGGACGAGGATGGCAACGCAAGTACTATTTTGACTGGTCCGCCTTGCCTCGAGTCATCTGTCAGGCACTCTACGAACACGACGACGGTTGGGCCGTCCAATCCCGACCCGTAGAAATTGCCCGTGTCTCTGTCTTTACATCATACAAAGCCCATACCAATCCCAACTCGTACCGCTTTCAAATGTACCAAGACATGTCCAAGGCAAACTTTGATGTGCACATGATGGAGACGGTCGGCAAGAGCGAAAAATGCGTTGATATCAACATTGCCGTAGAAATGTTGCACTACGCCACGGTGCCCAATGCGTACGATGTGGCGCTTCTCCTTACGGGAGACAAGGATTTCATCCCCGCCATGATACGAACCCGACAAAAAGGACGCAAGGTGGGACTGGTCAGTATGCGCAGTGGCTGCAACAAGGCATTGAGTGAAATACCCACCGATAGCAACAATCACAACGAACACAATCACAACATTCGAGATTATGATGTAGTCTGGATTGAAGATTATCTCGATGAACTCATCAAACCAAGGACCGATGTCAAAATTCCTGTGGATTGGGGTGCTCTGACTCCCTTTACCGCCATGAAAGTGATTAGTGATTTCATTTCCCAATCGGGTGACTTGATGACAAGGGGTGTCAGTAGTAGAGATTTGGGGAGATACCTCAAGCGACTGGAAATCGGACATGGCAGCAACAAACGAACACTGCTGGATGAAATCAAGATTTCCTACGGTGGTCTCCATCAGTACTTTTTTGCGTCAGGCTGCTTTTCGACGCATGCCCTGAATGATCAGGAAATGGACCTTGCCGGACAAAGCGACCGGTCCTATTGGGTCCGGCTCCGAAGTGATGCCGACATGACACTGATGCGGGCGGCCAAGGCGGATGAATTGTCAGATATTGAAAAAGAATTCTTTGACTCTTATTCACTGGAACCATTGGAAGATAAGAAGGAATCGTACTTTCATTCCCTTCTGTTGCAAAGGAAATTGCAAAGCTCCGAAAATAAAAATCCAAACTTCAATCCTTATGAACCAGATTTCAAGCCGGACGTGAACCACCATTTCCAAGCAACGAATGGAGACGCCAACAATCATCAGCAGGAGGCACAAGAAGAAGAATTGGAACTTCCCGAAGAGCTCACACAGGACTTTAGCACGTTGACAGTAGCAAAACTGAAGGATTTCTGTCGAGGCAATGGGCTGAAAGTATCTGGAACCAAAGCGGAGCTGCTCGAACGCATCCAAGAATTTGTGGATGTTCGAGTAGAGGAACTTGAGAAAGAGCACGAGGAAAAGCTGCTGCAGCAACAGCAAAGTCGCCAGGTCGTGATGGACAATCCACAAGACCCCATGAACGGGAGCGAACCGGTGGCCCAAGACGGTGATATAGGATACCTGGAGGCTCTGGTGATTGAATTTGCCAAGGCCAGTGGTGGCAAGGCCAACTCCAGAGAATTGGGCAGGTACCTGTCAGCAAACAGGGCTTCGCCCAAGAGAATGCAATTGAGCAACAATCAGATCCGAGTATCGGCGTTGCAAGAACTCAAGGAAAATCACGGCTCTATCAAGGGATTTGTAGCGAACAAACCTTCTCTCTTTGAAATGAAACCGATTGACAGATCCGAGTTCTCGGACCCAGATGATCCTCACAACAGGTACACTTTCTACGTTGCATTGAGGGAACCGCCATTGACGTCCAGTGTATCAGCAAGGCCACAAGCCACTGAGCAACGGGCATACTAGCTGGTTTCTCGTTATGTTTCTATCTGTACACTAAGAAGTACATATATAGATCGCCGCAGCTATTATCATAGTCAACATCAACAGTTCACATGGTTATCCTGTGTCGAAGCAAAAGAAAATCGGACCCCTGGCTACTCCTGACTTGCCCCATCCTCTTCTTCGTTATGATACACTTCTTCTACCTTTCGTGGCTGGGTCTGTATCTGTAGAAACTTGACGTGTTCGACAAAGAAGGCGTCAGTGGTTTGAGAGATATTTGTGACGAGCGGAGTTGTTGTGGACGCATCATCTTCGGGGTCCCATTGAGACGAGACTAATGAGTCAAGACTTTCCAAAGAACCCGAGACAGAGTCCTCTTTGCCAGATTGATATATCTTTAGAGACGACGGCGGCGAAATCGGGTCTGTTGCTGTTTGTAACTTCGTTGGCGGTGACGGAGTGACGACTGGTATGGAGCGCACTCTTGGCGGAGAAGCCTCCAACGAAGCTTCTTCATGAATTGTCTCTAACATTTCTCCTTCATCAGTGGCCGAGCCCGAGTCAGATTGGTTGTAATCGTAACGGTATTCATCGACTTGGTCGTCGTTGGATGTCAAGTCGCCAGCATCGTCAGATTCCGATTCATTGTTCCATTCATCAACATCTTCCTGTGGGGGTTGCTGTTCCACCTGTGATGGCGAAGGACACGTTTCCGTTTGCGTAATGATCTCATCCTTGTGAAATGTGTAGAATTGTCTTCGCGTCCACCAATCAATGAGTCGAGCCAAGACCCCTCGTTGCTTCCTCGTTTCTCGCCTTCGCCACCATCTCCAACGTCGTCTCCCTCGAAACTGTCTTGAACGAAACATCACACACTGCTTTTGCTTCAGTTCAAGCAGGAACGCAATGTCGAAGCAGTAGATGTGTTGGTTCAATGGATTCGTCGTGGCGAGCTCATTGCTGATTCTGCAGCCACAATCGGAGGTGGCTGATTTGGATGCCAGGCAATTTCTTTCTAAGTGCACTGCTCTTTCCCTTCTGCAATGCCAATGGCCAGTATTTGGATAGTGCATTCTGACCCCTCCAATGCAGTCGGAGTTGGTCAAACAGAGGGGTCTCACTCTGAAAGAGGGACAACGGATCGTTCCCGTGCGTTTCAGAGTGGAGAAAGATCATTCCCTCGTGATTCGTCTTCTCTATTGCCAAAGTAAGTGAGATTTCCAAGAAGCATAGCACTTTCCGAGCTACGTCGAGTACGGTAAACAGATTCGATTCATCGTTCCTATTAACAATGCAAAACCTGCAGCTACAACCAAGCCGTGCAGGTACCGGTACCGGTACGGTACATACAGAGGACTTTTAGTACCAGGTACCATGCATAGTACCGTGTAGTTAGTCCCTGCCGCCGACGACAAAAATGACGACCACCTTCATTCACGAGTTTGAGTACCTACTAGTACTGTTCTACTGTACATACATGCAACTCCGGCGACGTTTCCGAGGCTCCAATCCTCTCCAACACCTCATCGATCAAAGCGATATTACATTCAGTATTATACAACACCATTCCGCGTATTATCCCCGCTCCTCTTTGGCCCGGGGTCCACGATCTCTAATTTCGAATTCAATCGAGTTGGGTGAAGTTTTGTGTAGAACCAGCCTTTTTACGACGTCGGAAACCGAATGATTCAATCTTTGGCACTCACATCCAAGGAAGAGAAGTTTGTCATTGGGAGGAGGAAAACTTCCTTGGATCCGGCGTGCCTAGGTCGTTATGGATGCACCGCATGGGTGAACTTTTAAATAGAAAACATGCCAAATTTGCCTTTCTATTCGTCTCCCATGTGCGTTTCCTATTGCGTCAGTCTCCGCAGCCGAGAATAGCAAGCAGCTAGTTCCACGTGCTCCCGCTACCTCGCCTGCTCTTTTGCGGCTTTGTTTGTGGGAGATTTCTTTGGTCTGCCTTCGCTAGCTGAATCCGACTTTTTGACGACCTTCTTTTTGACAACCTTTTTCTTCGTTCCACTGCTGTGCTGGCTCTTCGACAAGCCGTTGGGGTCTTTCCCCTTTTTCTCGAGGGGTGGTGGCGCCGTCAAGAATCCATCTCTGTCAATGGTGGTGCTGCCAACGGCCTTTTTCTTTTTCCCAGCCTTGGGAGATTTTGTGGCAGCACCACCCGCGGCAGCTTTTCCTTTGGTTGTAGTTTTTTTCGTGCCCTTTTTCTTTGGCTTTCCAGTGCCACTACTAGCTGCACTAACTCGACCACTCCCATCCAAGTTTGGTTCTGGTGGGGGTGCTCCATTGGGATCTGAAAAGGGCTGCCATCCTTCTGGTGGTGGATTGAACGCGAATTCTCCGGGACCATGAGCAGAATTGCCGGCCAATGGTTCGCCCCCCTCCACAGGCACAAGGGGATTGACAGCAGGACCGGCAATAGTGGTTCCGTATGGATTCTGATGCAGTTTTGACATGGTTTGTTGGTAGGTTTGTCGTCGTTTGGCGGCGGCTCCTCCCGGGCCGTGGTGACTCCCGCTCATGCCCGCACCACCACCAGCAGGCCCCACCCGCATCGGCACAGCTCCCCTATTTGCAGCTGCAGCTCCAACTTTGGAAACCAGATTTTTGCGTTTGGGTGGTTGAATCATCAAGGGAGGTCCTCCCTTTTCACCCTGGGCCAAATACATGGATGGTAGCATATCTTCGTATTGTTCCTCGTCATTTACATGAATAGAACTGACCACAGTGGGAGTTGTCATGTCACTCACAACGGAGCAATCGTCACTAACTCCTGGTCCCACCATGGGATAATCAGCATCTTCGTCAAAATCATCGTCTTCTTCGTCTTCGTCATAATCGTCATGATCGTTTTTAGGAGGCTCTGGTTCTTCAATAACTTCTTCTATGTATTCGTCTTCTTCTTCTCCCACCTCTTCTCCATGCGCGGCTGATGCCAAGTGTTGTTTGGTATGTTGCTGATAAGAACTAGCAAACGCTGCAGGATTATAAGTTCCACCTCCTTTCTTCTCCTTTTTCTTCTTGGTACGTTTCTTGGTACCTCGATTACTGGTACCACCATTCTTTTGTCCCACGTAGTCTTCCAAGGCTTCCATTAACTGCGGTGCCTGAGCCTGTGCTTGCTGCAATTTTAGAATCATGGCTTCAATTTGGTCATCATTCAGCTGCTTAGCTTCCGGAACGTCTGATGGAAATACAATGGGAGCCCCACTACCGTAGTTCTTCAGGGCAACCGAGGCTTTCTTCATTTCTCGATTGTCCACGGCAGAAATCCCCACTGCAGCCAGCAGATTCATCAGCCCCTCCAGTTGTTCCGCTAACGCTCGGTCCTCCATGGTGGCCGTTTTTTCTGTTGCTTTCGACGAGTTCGTTCCGTGATTCTCCTTCGGGCAATCCTTGCCTATCGGTGCCCAATCAGCCAAGACGACAAGCAACAACTACCACACTGAAAGGCCAGACCCCTTAGGCTGGGTGTTGGTGTTACAAACACACTTGCAAGGGAGAGTGCTATTATCCAGACACGCTGTGGTTGCTTTTTGTCAGTGGGTCGGTGGGGGGTATCCGGTATCCAATCTGTTGCTTGGGCCGTTGCTGGCTAGATCAGCGTGGAAGATTCATCATGCTTCTTAAACTCGAGGTTGGAAGTAGCTGTCGCTAAATGATGACGTCACTGAAACTGGAAAGCAGCGGCTCTCGAGTTTACCGGTAGGTTTTAAGCCAGCGGAGCTGTGAAACCTCGGCAGAAATGTTTCAGTGTAGAAGCAGATACCCCTGGATAGCTAGCTAGCTAGAAGCAGATACATGTAGTGCTTAGCTAGTGCTTAACTTGCGCTTAGCTAGCTAGAAGCAGATCCCCCCCCAGCTAGAAGCAGATTCCCATAGCAAGCTAGAAGCAGATACCCCTAGCTAGCTAGAATACTAGTTATAGCTTTCACTAGCTTTAGAGTTTTTCCTGGTAGGAGCAGATCCCCCTACTAGGATACTAGGATGCATGTAAATAGCTTTAGCTGGTTAAAAGCACCATCCTAGGATACCTATTTAGTTTTTGCTGACTTATTTGTAGTCTAACCCTACCCTTATACCTGCAGGGACCACCGTAGCAGGAAAAACAATTAAAGGGGTTGAGGGCTCTGGCAGCAAGACTGCCGAGGTAAACTACTGAAATAGCAATCTGTACTCTCACTCACTGTTGTTGTGTGTGCTCCCAGCCAAGCCTCAAAAGCCAGTGTTTAAGATCTCCTTTGTAGGACACAACGAGCCCAACAGTCTTGGAAATGGACATCCGGCCCCTGATTCAATGCTCCTAGGTTTCAAATCGTGCAACAATTGGTGTCGACGGTATGCTGGATTCCGGATGGTAGCTGGAGCAGAACCGGAGGAACTTGATGAATTATCAGAGGAAGGCCAGCAAAACTTACAAGCCTACGTGGAATGGCAATCTGCCAGTGATGAGCACAAACAACACAATGATATTATGAATCTATTTGAACGTGAAAGGCGCATTGAGTTTTGAACATGAAGATTGTGCAATTCAAACATTTTTGCCTGATTGTGCTTCTGAACCCTTCATTGCCACTAGACTATGCTATCAGGGGGTATCCGGTACCGGTATCCATCTCTTGCTTGGAGCCGTTGGCTGGCTTCATCAGCGTGGAAGATTGATCATGCTTCTTAGGCCGGTCTCTACCGGAGCGACTAAAGTAGCGACTAAGCCATATTTCATAGTTTAGTCGATAGTTTAGTCTCTGGGGGTGGTGTCTACCATATGGACTAAATGTCATACAGACTAAAGGCTTTAGTCGAAATGTTCCTTCACCGACTAACGGGAGGCTGGTTAGTCGGTGAGTGAGCGTAACGACTAAAGCCTCTTTAAGAACTCTTTAAGAACAGCACTTTTAGAACAGCACTTTGAAAAAAGAACAGCACCCTCATTGCACAGCCTCACTATCAGAGCATCGCGACAGAGCTGATAGAGTAGAGGTGCAACCGATCGAACGATCCAAGAGGAGTATCGGCCGATAGTAGAGGTGCAACCGATCGAACGATCCAAGAGGAGAGGTGCAACCGATCGAACGAACGATCGAAGAGGAGTATCGGCCGATAGAAGAGGAGTATCGGCCGATAGTAGAGGTGCGATCGAACGATCGAACGATCGAAGAGGAGTAATAGTAGAGGTGCAAACGACAGAGGAGAGGTGCATTGCAATGGTGTGTTTTGAGTCTTGTTATCTCAAAAAAGTAATCACTTCTTTTAAGTCTTTGTTTGAGTCCTTTAAATCCACCATGCTGATAGAATATTGGTAGCCCACCAAGTGATCACCTTTGTTAAATCTTTTTTGAGTCCTCTAAGTCCAGTATTGTTCCCATGAATTGTTTATTTAGTCAATTTGTTTAGTGCTCTGGGTAGACAGGTCCAAATGACTAAAGAACTGACTAAATTGTTTAGTCCGAGATTTAGTCATCTGCTGGTAGACACCACCATTACTAAAGGATAATGACTAAATCTTGAACTAAACAACCACCTAAAGGATTCCTTTAGTGGCTACTTTAGTCCCTCCGGTAGAGAGCGGCCTTATTTTTAAAAAAACTCGAGGTTGGAAGTAGGGACCGCTGGAGCGCTTTCTGATGACGTCACTGTCACATTGGATGACCCTTCATTTTTCCACGACGATGATTCAATCGATTCGATCCTCCACGGTGCAGTATCTTTTTTAAAAGGTTCCGCGCTCTCTCGACCACGGTCACGGCTCAATAATCTGCGGAGTCAGGTTGTAGTCCAGAGACAATGACCGAAGCCCCAAAGCCGAAGCTCAAGAGAAAACGTACCGGTATCCAGGAGAAAATAGAGGATGGCGCTTCATGGTGGTACAGGATCCTTTTTGCGTGCTGCTGGAGCGGTCACTGCCATTGAGGCCGACGAAACGAGTCTCTGTGAAGCACATTGACAACTCTATGTAGATTCCATCGCTACAACATGGGCACATGTTCATGAATGGTATAACTATAGATATGTATTTCATCTTTCTCCGAGCAAAGTCGCATGCCAAAAATCTTCATTATGTAGGACCCGACACGGACCATGTGCAAACCAACATCCCGACCTTTTCAAAACAATTCGGTTATGATTCACTTCCCAACAACCCACTCTTACTCTTCATCATCTTCGTAGACATCGCTGTCAACTGGCTTCACTTCGTTCTCGGAATCCAGTTGCCTCTCCAGTTCTGCCTTTTCCTGCTCCCGAGCAAGGAGCACTGCTTTGGGGATGCGCGTTTTCTTTCGCAATACGAGCCGGCACAAGTGACGCTGTCCTCGAAAAAAGTATGGATGGGAATAGGCTCCTTTGTCCTTCCCGTCCCCCTGACGTTGGAAATTATAGAGGTTCAGCTGTTTGAGAAAGGTGTTGGTGCGACTGCTGCCTCCAAAGTATCGAGGCATGATATCTCGAAGGAACCGATCGCGGTCGTGGACCTTGAAGGCACGGCCATTGGGCAGGAAGGATATGATATCTGAGAATCCATTCCTCTCCGCTTCGTAGAGAATACGATAGAGCCGGAGGGGGAAGTTCTCTCGCAACCGCTTCAAGTCTTGATCAGTCCAAGCCAAGTGGCCCGCGGCTCCTCTATCGTCTTCCTGGCCAAAGTACTCTTCGTCGGACTCCATAACATCACTGTGGCATTCATCCTGTCTAGTTCCTTCTTGGCTTGGGCACTTGGGAGCGGCGTTGAGGCCTTCGACGGGGGACAATCGAAGCTGCGGCGACAAGGCAACGGGCAGGAATTGTCTCTCAAGGGTAGACAGCACCTTTCTGCCAGCACGAGGTGGTCCGCTCGCCGTGGTGCCAAGCCCAGCAATACGATAGTCAGTCGAGGGCTCAAACCGCGTAGCAAGGCTGCTGCGGAGACGGATTTCCTGCCTGTTTACAACCATCTCCAACGCACGCTGCTTCTGCAATTCCTCGTGCAGTATCATCTCTGCTCGAGCATTGATAAGTTCGTTCCTCGTGATCAGGTTCGGAGGATACGTCACCGTCTGCGCCCCGAAAGACAAAGAGGCCAGAGGAGATTCTCTCTGAAGTTGCTGAATCTTTGCACGGGTGGTGAGAGACAGTGGAAAGACCTTTCCCCTTTCCTGCTGCTGGTGCAACAGAGAGACGGAAGAGCAAGCTTGCAATCCAACCGCCGCCGGGTACTGATACCTTTTCGGTGGGAAAACACTGCTCGTGAACAGGTTTGTCGACATCCTTCTGTGGCCAGGACGAGATGATGAGGGCGAGTACATGTTGAGGCTCATTGCAAGAAAAGAAAAGCAATTCTACGTTTTGACGCTTCTGAAGATGTGATATCCTTGTGTTTGCAAACCCAAATATGAGATGCTTGAATGACTTCCAGCCTCTACTGTTTGTGCGTGCTGTGTTCTATTCGCTTCGCCCAATGCCCAATACGAAGCTGCGTCCTCAGGTCCCAGCTGTACCGCTATGAGAATGATGCCGAGGCTTGGAATTTGAACAATATTATTGATAGCTGAACTGAACTCGAGCAGCCTGGGAGGAAGCTGGCTGGCCAGCTAACTACAAAAGCTCGAGTGGCGGGCGAGCCAGGGCGAAGGCGAGTTCGGCCTTTAGCCATCAGCCAGAGGTATGCATTATGCATAGTAGCTAGCTCGTGCTCCACTTTCCACGAGGCTAGATCGAGTTCACAGCGTTCGTCGCAGCCATGCTCACTCGCTTTGAAGTCTCAAATCTCAGACCACTCAGACCTATAAACGCGCCTACATGTGTTTCTATAGAATTCATGAGGTTCTTTTCTTGTTAAACAAATTTCCCAAGCATGAATGGATGGTTTAAATGTTGAGGCATCATTGCTCTTGGCTCTTGGCGAGAAGATAGATCAAGGATTTATTTCCAATCGGTTCGTCCAAATTACACGAGGATTTCTTTCCTTTTAGGGGCCTGTGTCGTTAATGCAATAACTAACTTTGGTTCAAGCACAGGTACCGGCTTGCCAGCGTGCCAGCGAAATACTGTACTCAAACATGATGCACTGCATGTCGCTTAGAATGTCCTCGCCCGTAAGTACAAGCCTTCACCTTGTCCCGCCGAATACTGGTACTTTTGCTTTCCGACCATCTTCCCATAACCCCATAGAGGGCTGCTTGTAAAGACAGATCAGTTTCTTCGAACTCGCCCTGCATATGATGTGGATTGTACTGGCGGTTTCAAGCTGCGTTCACCTTTCACAGTGTACCGGTTAATGGCCTCGCGTCTCTTGCTGTGAGGCGGCTGTGAGACGCCGAGACGCCGAGAGACCTCCTCCAACCTTCTCCAACGAGGGGCATTGCAGGAGCATTATGTCGTTCATTGTTAGTCACAGTTATTAATCAGAAGGGCGCTCAATCGCGTTGCGAAAGAGCTTACAGAAGTAGAAAAGAGGGCACGCTGACAGAAATAAGCTCTGAAACTTCAGCAAGTAAACAATAAATCTTCTGATGACATGAGACGTGATCACGCATCGTGCCGATTAAAATCAATTGGCGCCACAAGAATGAACAATAAATCTTCCCGTAAAGTCCTTGGCGGGATTGTCCACAGCTGATCTTGCCCCCCTTGATGTGTGACTGGAATTGCTTTCAGACCCACAGAGAAATGATAGCGCTCTTTTTGGCTCTAACTGAACTATTGTAGTTGTTTATGGTGGGTTGGGCCTACGATTTAAAACGGATTGCTTGGATTGTTTGACTCGTCACTCCAACACTCAAACCATCAGCTACCTTCTCCACTGCAATAAACTAACACCATACGCCTTACCGGAATCAGTCACATATTGAAGTAAATGTATGATTTAATGATCACATTTATGACTCTAACCACAAGCAGAAATTCTCCGAGCAGAACAGCTCAGATAGCTCTCAGATCTATGCACACATATGCATACCAGGACACAGATCTACCAACAGTGCAATCACCCTGTCTCGGAGTACTAGTACCCGTTCGGTATTCATCAGCTTTGACCTTTGACATAATATTATGCATACTAGCTAGTAGGATCGAAGGCGAGGCGATGAGGGTTGACCAGTTGATCTTGTCAGGATTTATTTGATTGATCATTCGATCATTCGAATGAACAATCGATTCGACTCTAGTCTAGGAATAATTTCTAAGGTTGAGATCAGCCCGCAGTTTACTTACAAACTGTTCAACTGCTCAGTGAGGGCTGGAGTTGTGGGAACAAGACCGTACATGTTGGTACGGCCTGGAACATTACCTCAGCTTTTCAGAGCGAGGCCAGTTTGTTCAAACCATTGATGAGCCGTGAGAGTGTTTGGTATCATCGTGGCCTCTTTCAACTTTAGTAGGTGCCGCAGGAACACCTGCCCTCGACTCTGGTGAACCTTGTGGGGACCATCATTCATTATGAGTATGCCATACGGTATTGTTGAATGCAGCCAAAGCTGGAGTCATCCAATTCATTCATTTAGTCATTAGCCTACATGTAGCTAGCGAGATTGATTCCAATTCCAGACTGGCTGTCACGTCACTCCGAGATACTAATATACTACAGTACACGATGCAGGGGGTTTAGACTAGGGAGGATATCTACGGAAGCCATCGAGGGCCAGGCTCGGGCAAAGAAGTACATGATGCCGACAACACGATGATTTGGTACCACTACTAGCCTAGCTAGTAGTTAGCTAGTACCGGTACTGGCACTGGAGCCGCAACCCTGGAAAGTGGAAAGGAAGATACTGAACAAGAACATCATGCTGTTCAACCGGTTATGCTGGCTTCTAGCATCTGGCATTCTGATGCTGCAACCAGCTGGCTGCTGAACCAAAGCGTCATTGCGAAGTTCCGCAGAATTCTGCCTTTGCCATTGCCATCGGCATTTTTGATGGATACAGTACGATGGATACAAGCCACATTCTGTTTTAGGTTGGATTTGTTATTACAACTAACTTTTGTATTGAAACCATGGTGTCTTCTTGCAGTAGACTGTGGATCACTGTATTCCTTTATTTGGGTTTTTCTTTCCCTATCCAAGCCTTCACAGTAACTGTCAAGCCCAGGCTTTCCTCTTCCCACCACCATGTCCGTGGACGACATCATCTGTCACCTTTGTTTTCTGCCGCCAATTCCACCCTGATGGAAAAGTCGTCACTGTCGTTGGAACAAGTACAAATTGAAGAGCAGCTCTTGTGGATCTCGCAGATGGAGGACGATCAAGACCGTCGGGAACGATTCGAGTTGTTCCTGACTGACAGCATTGGTGCGGAAAAGAAACAAATGTCCAATGTTCCATCATCATCATTATGGGATCGAAAGACCAGTCCATTTGTCCAAGAAGTGCAAGAACAATTGAAAATTTTGGGCACTGCTGTTCAGTCCCAAGCGTGGGACAAATACGTCACATCAGGCTTTGAAGCCCCCACCAACCAAAAATCGCACTTGTGGGCGTGTGTGGATATGACCGTTCAGCTTCAGGTAGTTGTGAGGAAACTGGAGGATGATCTCAAGCCTTGATTGTATGGTGGATTCCTTCATGTTAGAACTCGACAATCCAAAAGAAGCTTTGGCCAAGAGCCAAGTTGGGACGATTTTTTTCTGTGAACTCGAATGGCAATCCAATTTTCAAGCAAGGAAAACTACTAGAAAGACAATAATCAAAATGTCCTCATCAATTCTCTTTACTACTGGTCCGTGTTAGTGGAAATCATGTGTTCTTGAATCGGCTTCCTCGGCGGGGTTGTCATGCCAATGCATATCCTCACCAAACCTGTGGAGCCGTCTATGAAGCTGACTCCTGGGTTCTTCTCAGTTTGATTAACATCGAGCTACGCTAGCTACTACATTAGTAGCCCTATTATCTTCAAGTCAAGAGAGACATGCAGAAAGCTACCGGTAGGTGGTGACTGGCAACGCGTATGCCTAGCTTGCAGCTCTGTGATCACGTGTCGAGAAAATGCGCCGGATGGGTCAAAACGTGTGTTTAGACAGCTCGCAGACTGACTTTTGATGGACTAACCCCACTTCTACGCAACAACGGGTTTGGGACTTTCCTCCTCTCCAAATTTCTCGTTTCTTGGACGTTTTTGGTGGTCCCACCTACCTGACCACCACATGACCAGTCCTCACAGCAGGAAGCCAAGAGAGACAAGTGTCCTCGTCGTGAATTGATGCCTCTTTAGTAGAGTTACTTCAGACAAGAGCTACAGATCCTTCGCTGTTGAGTGGATTGATCAGTGGTACTGTAGCAAAGTTCAACTCGCATCCTCTTTTCTGAAGGTACCGGTACTGCAATTAAAGATTCGATTCCGCCAACAACGTTGAAGGCAGCACGAGGACCCATCGCATTCAGTTACCTCTAGCTAGAGCTAGCTAGTAGGGCAAGGTACTTACTTATTTTACATAACACTCCCACAAACCATGGCGAGAGACGACAGTGATCGTGAGTCATCTCACGAAGACGACGAGGCTGATGACAATCACAATCAGAACACTGGTGATGACGATGATGGAAGCACCAACAGCAGCAGTGATCATGCATCGAATACTGAGGACGACGATGATGACGATGATGACGATGACGACGATGATAATATTGGGAACGATATCGAAGACGATGGTCGGACAGCTCCTTCGTCTGGATGCCTCGACGATGATGATGAGGTCGACGTCGACACCAATCACAGTGCTCCCTATGCGTATCCTGCCCGAGATGATGACAGTGACGAAGAAAAGAACGACACGGGCGATGGATTCAATGATGAAGATCCGTTGCTGAATCAAGCTAGATCCGATGATGACATCGATAACGATAACAACGAAGATGGAGCTGCGGATGCGACAGAACAACCCAAAAATGAGATTACAGATCCCATGATCATGCCACTCATTATCTGCATTGTCGTGGCGGTCGTTCTGTCTGCCATTATCTTTCCCATTCTCTTTTTGGTCGTACTTCCCAAGAGCCATGAATCAGCCAATGATGAAAGCAACAACAACAATCAAAACAGCAGCAACAACAATAATGAGAATACAAAGATACCCACAGCACCGCCAACGCCGCTTCCCATTGACTGGACGGTGCTGGATGTTCCTCCGAACATTAAGGATGTCATTCAAGCGGATGACAGCTCTTCGGCAGCACGGGCATTTCGTTGGCTCATGCAGGATCCCAACCTATCCGACTACCCACCCGATCGTCGGGAACAACGATTCTCATTGGCGGGATTGTATTATGCCACTGGAGGAGACAGCAGTTGGAGTTTTAATAATCAAGACACAACGACAAGTTCTTCTTGGCTCGAGTATACCACCAATGAATGTCAATGGGGTGGCATTACGTGCGCCAGCAAATTTACGGGATCATCGTCCAACAGCAGCAACAACAACAACAACAACAACAACAATGCAACAACGAGCAATAATATTTTTGGTTCGAGAATCCGTCGTCCCGACGACAGTCATTACTTGGTAAGGCGTCGGCAGTTGCAACCAGCGGGGGGTCCATCACTGGCGCTGGCATTGGATCGTGTGCAAGAATTGGCGCTGACCAAAGCAGGACTACAAGGGTCTCTTCCACCAGAATTGTTTCTCTTGACACAACTACGATCGATCCTCGTCAATGACAACCAATTGGGAAATGCGCTCTCTCGAGCGTTTGGATCATTGACCAATTTGCAAGTACTAGACATGTCCGCTAATGTCTTATCGGGAGAAATCCCCACAAGCTTGCGGTACCTGCAAAACTTGCAAGAGCTCCGTTTGCAGGGGAATGGCTTGCAAGGGAATCTTCCCAGCGAATTGGGTGAACTGAGCAGTCTCCGAACCTTGATGATGGGACAAAACAACCTTACGGGTTCCATCCCAATGCAGCTACAAAATATCCCACTCTTGGCGCAATTGGATGTATCCGGGAATCCCGGTTTGACCGGAGTCATTCCAGTGGGCCTGTGTGCTCTGGACAATACTATCGCCTTGACCTGTGAACAGGATCCAAATATGCAAACGTTGTGTGGTTGCGACTGTGCCTGTGTCGGTGCAGGCCTCCAAAGTGCGGGAACAAATAATAATGGGACAGTGCCAGTAGTGGTAGGGAGCAGTTCCAACAACACTTCAACTGCAACTCCCACAACTGTGGTTCCATCTACAACAACAACGACAGCAGCACCAACAGCTACAGCAACATCAAACACGACAAGCCCAGTGGTACCAACACCGGAAGCGACAAGCAATCCTTCCACTATGGTTCCTACTCCACTTTCCAGTATTGGTGGGACAGCCAGTGATGGAGGCAACAACACAGCAATGCCAACCAATGAAACAGACGTGGTTGTGGCTGCTGCCACTGCTCCTCCCAGTAATGAAACGATGCCTGCCACTGCTGCTTCCAGCACTGAAACAATGCCTCCCACAGCTGCCACCACTGCAGCACCCTCAACGGCAAACTTTACAATCACCAATGCCAGCGGCACCAGTCTGAATACAACAGAAGATAGTACTAGTGGCAATTCGACTGGGGTCGTCTAAAATTTCCCAGCAAAGGGGGAGATCGGTGGCTGGCTAGCGTTGACCCTGCTCCACATCCAACGTGGTTTCCTTGGTCTACTGTGCTTGTCCGCTGCCGACTCGACTCCTCGAACAAATAATTCAATGGGGCTTCCATAGATGGGGTATGGTTTCTTTTGTGTCGACGAGCACTTGTGTCATTTTCTCTGTGTTACCGGTAACAATAGTGTAGGAATTGTCATGCACACCGAGAGCAGAAACTAGCTAGGCAATGCTAGGTAACTCTGGCCAGAGAGCCCGCGAGTAGCGGCAGATCCAGCCCAGGAACGACGAGAGTTATACTGGCTTTTTTGTGCCACCTGCAATTCGATTCCTCCTTTTTTTGGAGACAGCAGAGAGGGTATGGGGCATAAAAGGTGCCGACCAAAGTTTTGCACAACGCGGTTGCCTTCTTATCAAGATAGTTAGCTAGTTTGCTGCATTCTCTTGTCGGTTCCCAGGCATGTTGTCTTGATCTGTTGGCCAAGAAGGACGACCCACAACAAACAACCTCCCACGCGCAGAGTCCAAATCCTTGGCATGACGTAGGGCCTGAGTTCTTCGCTTCTTTCGAGGAGTGCCATCATCGTTGGTGGGCCTTTCTCTAGTTTCTGGTTCTTCCTCGCTGGCTTTCACGTTGGCCTTATATCGATCGCTCTGTTTCAAGCGCTGGAGCATCCGTTTGCCAATGCACAGACCCGCTGATCTGGAAAGGAAAGCATTAAACTTAACACACTCCCCACTCTGTAGACAAGCCGGACAGCCCAGGTCATTGTTATCTTGCTGGCAGGATGGACAGCTCTCCAAGAGCTCCACGGCGGATTCAAGGAGACCATTGGGGATAAACATCGATTTCCACAGCTCAGCACAAGTGCCACTCCCTCCAGCTCTCTCGTCAAACAGACATACACGAGTTGGGCTGTAGGTGGAATGGTCGCACTCCAGGTCTGACCTAACACATGCTGTGAACAGTGGTGATACGGCGAGCAATGCGTGTGACAAAGCATGGACACCAGAACCATAATCGTTGCCAAGGAATGCCCCAAGGGTTTCGGGTTCGGCATCAATCCACAACCCAAACGTATCATATTCCATTGGCGGCAAGCTGAGTTCGTGTCTGCTCATTTCTGAACGGGTAATCAATGAGAGCTTCTTGTACCCATGCACCGTCCGCTTGGAAGTCACCACACCACAGCCGGCAAATGACCCGTCGTTTTGATCTGGGATACCAGCATACGCATCCACGACAGACACAGGCGATACCTTGAGCTCGCCCTTTTGGTTGCCTTCCAACGAAGGGGATTCCTTTTGTTGCTGCTCCTCCCGGCTCCCTGGCTTGGCGGAATCCTCCATTTTGTTGTTCCCTTCTTCTGCTGCAGGACTGCGAACATCCACTCTCTCGATTTGCTTGACGATTGTTATCGTATTATTACTCAGCGGTCGAGTCATGTACTTCTTCTGGGTCGGCCTGGCAAAGGCAGCTAGACTCAAATTCCTTGCATAAGCGCAGCTCGGGTCATAAGGTGGAGGCCTCGTCATTGACAAGACCTCATACTTCTGTCCTCTGTGGAGAATGATTGCGCCAGGGAAAGCATGGTAGAACACGCGAGAGTACGGCAGGTTGTCCAACACCGCGCTCTCATCCTGAATTGCTTTCATGTTCCCAGCTTGCGCTGGATGTGCAATGTCAACGATAGAGAATGACACGGGTTCTACTGATCTAACTGATACCCGCATCCATGGTTTGTCCTCGAAGGCATGCGCCTTATACGCTTGCAGTTGGCCACCGGATGCAACTGGAGCCCGGAATGGAACTACCGAATTCCTTTTGCACAATCGAGCCAAAGCTTCGGTGTATGCCTCCTGAGACCCAAAGAGCTGCTCATCTGGCAAGATTTCACTGGTACCGGGTGTGTCCTCCTCTGGATTAGATGTACGAAGGACACTAACTGGAACCTTGCCCGTCAAAGGAAATTCCTTGCTCGCGCACAACAAGTGTCCCTGGACAACCCCAGCATTGATCGGAAACGACCTTGGGGCCGAAATACCGCGACTCAAAAGATTCAGAGGTTTCTTCCACAAGTACTGCTCCGAGGGTGACCCAAAACAAACAACCACCGACAAGGATGGCTTCCCCTGCGCTCCTACACCACGCCCCGCTCGACCTGCCTGTTGCAACAGACTGGAGATGGATGTAGGATAGCCCGTGTGGAGTGTAAGCTCAATCCCCCCAATGTCTACTCCCAGCTCCAGGGCACTGGTAGCAACAACCCCTAAAAGCTCCTGGTCGAAGAGCTTCTTTTCAATTTCGCGGCGATCGCTGAGCTTGTACCCTCCTCGGTACGGTTGCACTTTTTCGACTAGATGCTTTGTGGATTCCTCGCGGCGTAGAGCTGCCACTGTTCGTTCGTAGACCCATTCCACTACCATTCGTGTCTTGCAAAAGGCGATGCATCGCACATTGAGAGAAATAGCACGCGCCAACAACAAGGCCGTTTCATCGGCAGCGTGCCTTCGGCGAAAGCTTTGCAAGATTGGGGTTTGTGCATTACTCGTATATGGACTATCCGCAGAATCGCGCAATCGTTTGGGTACAGTTGTTGATTGTTGTGGATCGTTCTTTTTCTTGGAGGATGCTGGTTTGGGATAAAACACAGAACCAGTGGATTCTCCCGACATGTTCAACAAGGGTGGATTCCACACAAAGAAATGTTTGGCCGATCGTGGGGATCCGTCATCTTTGGCAGTCAGCACATTGACTTTGCTAGTGTTGGGGATGGGACATAACAGCCTCATGTGATACTCCGGGTATTCCAGAGTGGCGGAGGAAGACAAAAAGGTGGGAGTCTTTCGTTTGGCTTGGTCATCATGGTTGCACCGAGTGACCACACAGAGTCGTTGCAGTCGCGACAGTATCAGTGCCACATGAGTCCCAAACATGCCTTCGTAGACATGAGCCTCATCAATGACTACATACTTTAACCCGAGCAGTATTCGTTTGTAGAGTTTGTTCCATTGAGGCAGAATGGCGGCATGTAGCGTATCGGGGTTGGTGAGAATGACATTGGCGTGTTTTGCGACGTGGGATCGTTGCGCATGCGGACAATCTCCATCCAATGTTGCCGGAACAATGTGTTTCTGGAGTTCCTCGTTCTTTTCCAAGAGTATTTTGAGTTTGTTGAATTGGTCCTGTGCCAGTGCTTTCGTTGGGAACATGATTAGCGAAATGCCCTGTGCACTCGATGCAGTGTCGTTTTCGTTGTTGTTTTGATGGGCAACACTGGCATTGTAGGCAGCCGTCAAGGCGGGAATCAAAAAGCACTACATGAAAGCAAAGAAGAAATGAACATCAATGAGCTACCTACATCGAGCCAAGATGCACATCCGGTCCATCCATATGTTTGTGTTGTGCTGCACATGCGGTACTTACCAATGATTTGCCACTTCCCGTGGACGTGCATACCAACGTGTGACACTCTTGTAGTGCGGATCCAATTGCATTGGCTTGATGACTGTACAACCGGCGTCGAGAGAGCTTTTGTTGTTGCCCCTGTGATCCTCCCAGACCAAATGCGGCCAATACGGGAGGAGGAATCATGGCTTTGGTGGCCGCTGTGAGTTCTGCATAGTTGGAAGATTGTGCGGGTTGTGATCCCGAGTAGGCAGCCTGTTTGGGGAGCAGGTATTGTGGAATGATATTTTTCATGGTTGTCGTCGTGTTCTTTGTGTTCTTGCTATTTTGTCCCTTTTTGGGTCGTTGTTGGAATGAAAACATTTGTTGGAGTCCCGCTCTCGCTGCTTTGGCTTGATGACAGAGTTCTTCTTCTTCTTCCTCCTCCTCTTCCTTTGCTCCTTCTACTTGATCTGGTTTTTGATAAGAGTCAAAATCCCAATCCTTCTTGAGGTGGCTCCCAGAGACTGCCTCTTTGTCTGTTCTGTCATTGGAGTTATCTGTTGTCCCCTTTTCTCCCTGATTTTTCTTTTTGGTTGATTGATCATCACCTTTTTGTTTGTCATTTGTTTTGATCATTTTCTTGAGTGCCGTCAATCGTCGCTTGGCGGCTGTCTTGGTGGACCCTGACAAGGATCCCGCCTGTTTGAGAGTCTGCCGGTTCTTCTCGTTCCCCTTGTAGTCCTCGAGAGGTTGTGGGGTTGGAAACCCAATTTCCGCTGTGGCAGAGTCCCAGGATGAAACATCATTGTTGTCCGTGTCGGGTTTGAAGAAGAGTCGCAGGATTCCCCATTGATGGAGTTGGAAAATGTGCTGCAGCAATGTGGGATGACGGTCGACTCCACCAGGTAAAACGTTCTTCAACAGCGTCAAAGGAACAGATGTCTTGCCCGATCTCTTGGTGAGAAATTGAAGGAGAGGGTCCACCAGACACAATGACTTGACCAGGGGATCATCCTCACTCTTGGGCTTCTTGGGCTTCTTGTTTGTGCTGTTCTGGCTATTAGTATTAGTACCAGTAGTACCTGCCATGGTCCATCGATGTGGTTTGCTGGCATGGTTGTCCTCTTTCGCCCTTCTTTGAACGAGGAGGTGGCATGAAAGTTGTTTGTGAGTTTGATTCGATTCAAACGGCAGACGGACAGACCGTAAGATCGTAAGATCCAGAGGTCGATTTTGTCGGCAGCTTTGATTGTTTATCAGGGAAAGGCTCCATAGTACAGTACCTGGTAGTAATGTCTTGTGGATGAGGAAGTGAAGGAGAAAATGAATAAGGTACTCCTGTTTGCTTGGTTTTTGGCGTCGTCATCGTTCTCTGTGCCAGGATCCTTTGTCATTGCGTGGGTCCAACACCATGGCTTGGTTCACAGATCAAGAGGGCTCCTCTTCGCGACCCCACCATGGTCTGCACAAGATGGCTCTGGCCAGTACTACTCGACGCGATTGGTAGTGTCGAATGTCATTCCACAAGAAGAAGTGACGACTCTGTTGCAATTGATGGAACTGTCCACAACAGACCTTGCTCTTCCAAATCGACAAGACGTGATGTCTGTGAACATTCCGTTGCCGGATCTGCCTCCTGGCGTTACAGGGAGAGCCGCCATTCTAGAGGTCCTAGTAACGACACAAGAGCAATCTGACATGGACGATGATTTGCGTCTAGAAAAAGAAGAAGAATGGAAAGCTGCGATTGGTCACTATATAGATGAAGTTGCCTTTCAAGAATACAATCCAGAGTTGCCGTTGCGGCAACCCGTGCTGCTTTCCATTGTCACCACTACTACATGTAGTAGCGAACAACAACAAGAGAAGAAGGATTACTCGGAACAACTCGTTTCGATGATCCAAACGCAAATCCAGGACTATGGATTGGTGGAGGCTGTGGATTGCCATCATGAATATCATCACAATCCTGACCAGAAAGACCCATCAATTAATACGACAACAATCCAACCCACTCTTCACTACCAAGTCGATGGGGCCTGGGTGGTAGATGATGATGATCATGACAACAACAAATCAGATGTTTGGGATACAAGTTCCATTTTGGTATTTGACAATCTACTGTCACAAGACAACTTGCGACAACGCTTGCTAGATGTCGTCCTCGGTCGCATCGTCGAGGATGATTCTACTACTGAAGCTTGGGACGATGTGCAGCATGGACCAGATCCCAAACGGTGGCAAGAAGGCGGCTTGGTCGATCTACCAACAACCACAACAACAAATGATGATGATGATGGGAGTACTACTACTGTTCCAACATCCTACGGATTGACAGAGGATGCGTTGGACGAAATTTGTGCCGACGCGCCTCCTCCACTGCCCATGCAACAAGTGGAATGCATACTCCAGCAACTATTTCCAAACTTTATTGTGACACGCCTCCCAGAGGCCGTCCTGGGAGCCAGTGTCACACCACTGACGGCCAATGCACCATCCTTTGGACAATCCTTTGACTATCATATTGACGCCGATCCATTCTTTGCTCCTCCGTCGCCGTGGACCGATGTCTATGGACGATATGCCAATCGGGCACGAGGCAAACCACGGTTCGTGAGTTGTCTGTTCTATCTCAATGACGAATGGAAGGTGGACGAATGGGGGGCGCCCACACAATGTCTCGATGTCGCGACGGAAACACCCATTGACATTGCGCCCCAGTCGGGGAGAATGCTATTGATGGATCAAGACATTACCCATTCCGTTGTGGCACCCACGAGCGCGGCTGGGGCGCGTCCTCGTTATTCACTCGTTTGGAAACTGATTCTACATCCCAAACAGCGCCAGCAAGATATGCGACAATCGTTGTGTCAGCCAAACTGGCCGGATGCCACTCGGATTGGCAGTGCCAATGAATAAAAGACAACAATAAGTGACTGGATACAATGCAATGCAATACAGGGACATGCGACGGACGAGATCGTTCTTCAACAGCGGGGGGAGTTCGACGGATCAGTGACAACCGTGCCCATCCAGTTCGCTTCGAGAACGGATCAACAAATAATTATGGTCGCTATCTAAGAAGTTGCCCTATGGCTCCGGGTGCCTCGCCTGCGAAGTAACACTGCACCAATCCCAGCAGACACAGCAATGGCACCCACGAGCAGGCGGCTCTGAAGCCTACGTCGTCTCACTTTCTCAATCACCGTATCTGTGAATGCAAGAGGAAACACTTCTGCAGCATCTCCAGTGCACCTCTGCCTTATACCCATGAGTCTGTACCATGCCTTCTCCAACGTGCGAGGGAAATGAATTGTGCGTTGAAGAATCATCTTGACCCGGCTGGTTTCCACTATCAAGAGGACTCCGTTTGCCTCTTCTGCCGTGGCTTCGAAAAAGGCCCTGTCGAAACAGTGACGCGCCTTGCTGTTGCTGGATGCGGACGCAGGGTCTTCAAATAGAAGAAGCATCCCTGATATCCACCGGAACAGCCCTGGACCCCAGCCATCAGAGTTGTCACGTATCTTACGCCAGTACTCCAGCATCTTTCTCAAAGCATCGCAAAACTCAGAGTTGCGCGGTGCGCCTGGTTGGTCTAGTTTCAACTCGTATCCACGTTGGATAAGGGCGTAGCAAACTGTAAACGGGAATTCTCCCCAGGGAAGCACGTCTCCGTACTTCATGAATCTACCGTGTATGGCAGAGTAGGGCACCTTGCCTTTGATCACATCCCAGTAGAGCAGCAGCAAGTTCTTTATGCATCCATGGAATGGCGGCAGGGCAGATAAGGCATCATCGTTAATGGCGGCTTCGAATTCTCTGAGCCGTCCATTCCAGGCAAACATTTGAGCGACGCCCCAGACGCGACTATGGGCGATAGAAACTGGCTCGTCCGTGAGAGTTCTTCCCGACATGGCAATGGATATTGAATCGGCGAATTCACCGCGAAGCCAAGCGACTTTTGCTCCGAATATTGTGGCGCAAGTTTCAGCATTGTGGCCCAGAACAGATTTTCTTCTGTGTGGGGTCAGAGACTCAAGCACTGGGTCCAGGAATCTCTTCATGTCGCGAAGTCGTCCCCGACGTCCGTATTCTGTCCAGATCACGTGGCAAATCTCTTTTTGGGTCCAATCCATCGACTCTGGGTTTTCAATTGTTTCCGGATCAATCGCCAGTTGCTTCAGTTCCTCGGTGTAAGCAAGGGAACGCTTAGCACCCTCTTCTGTTCGAATGTTTGACATTGCATTCATCCAGAGCCCCGTTAGAGCCATAATTTCTGCTTCAGAGCCTTGACCACGCTTCGTGAGAGAAAGCGCTGTTTCGAACAGTCTTCCGGCCTCCTCAGCGGCAAAGCCCACCCAGGCAACAAACACACGCCCTTCATCCAGTGCAATATTCAGCTCCAGCTCGCGCCTTACTTCAGGGTCTTCAATGTGTTGTAGCAATGACCGTGCCTCTGCCCATCTCGCACGCGCTCGGTTCAATTCCATCGCACCTAAGGCCATACGATCACGAGTACCATCTGCCATAGCCTTCACAGCTAGCTTGGCGCGTAAGGAATTTGGTGATGCAATTACAGCTTTGACAAGATGGTATTCCACAAGTTCAGGGGAGTGCACAAGGGCTGCAGCTTGGTCGTGCAGTCCTGCCACCTCTCCAGCTGGGATCAATGAATACGCGGCCTCTCCACCTAGTCCGTGGCTGAAACGCAGCGTTCTTTCATCGCGCCTTTGATTCGCAGCTATTCTCTCAACAAGCCCAGACGAAAGAGCCATTTCCACCAAGTTGTTTACGCCGTCTTTGTTGCAAGAAGTCTGCAAAAGTTTGACCGTGGCTTCAGGGGAGAAAGCACGTCCAAACACTGATGCAGCTTTCAAGAACTCAATGCACGAGGGAGGCAGGGCATCTATTCGAGATACAAGCACTCCACGGACAGTGCTCGGGATGTTTTTGATATCAGCGAAGCTCCCTCCAGATGTAGCAGCTTTTAACAGTTCAGTGAAGAACAGGGCGTTCCCGCCGCTACGTTCAAAAAGTGTGGCAACATCTGCTTGGCTCAGGTCAGCGTTTATAGTTGAGGCAATCGAGATTGCATCATCCTTTGACAGCGCCCGCAGTTCCAAGGTCAAAGACACGGATCTCTGTAGCGAAGGCGGAAGATGTCTGGTTGTTGAAAGCACCGAACTTCCACGGTCACCAGCTAGCGCTTGAAGCACGAGGAGTGATAAGTCATCCATCCAATGAAGGTCTTCAATCACCAGAAGGGCTGGGCCAGGTTCTTCAGCGTTGCCGCGTGCCAGGCGTTTCACGATGCTGGCCACAGACTCCACTGCCTTTTCTCGCTGTGCTTTGCTGTTCAGTTGGTCGCATTGAGGGTTGGACGCGACGGGCGCCTCTAGCAAAGGATTGATCAATGGAGCGAATCGAGGATCGAGACCACACATTCGAAACAGTCGCTCCGAGCCACCCTCTTTTCTGCATGCATCGTCAACAATCAACTTGAAGGCGAAAAACGGGGTTTCTGTTTCAGTCGAGTCAGTCGCAGAGTAGAGGACTCTCGTCGCCACGCCCGATTCGAGTGCATGCTCCGCAAATGTGCTGGCCAATGTCGATTTGCCTGATCCGGCATCCGCTACGAGACAAACGGAACCACCCGGCATTTCCCTTTCAATAGCTTTCAACTCTTTGTCGCGTATCAACATGCCTTCTTGCTGTTCTACGGCATCATCGTCGTGGCTGCCTGTTGAACTCAACCTACTGCTACCGCTGCGCTTGTAGTATGATTTCTTGAGGAAAGCGGACCCTGAAGCTTTGGAGTTGCCCGACGAAGCCGTCGAGGGAACGTAAGCATCCTGCTCACCCGTTCCTTTGAGCGTGATCGTTTGCTTCTCTTCAAACTCCAAGGAACTGCTGGACGTGCGAAGAGCTGATTCGTACGTGTTGCTGCACACAAGAACTGTTTTTCCCACCTTGGAGCAGGCACACATCAATCTCGCACTGAGATTCACTGGGCTTCCGACTGCCGAATATTCACATCTTTGCTCAGACCCCACAAGACCCACCAATACATCTCCTGTAGCCACGCCCACAGCCCTGCATGGTGTTTTTGAAGCTATCGCCAGAGCAGCTTTCACGGCCCTGGCAGCATCATCCTCTCGAGACCTAGTGGGAAGACCGAAAACGGCAATTGCAACAGTCCCCTTATCGTCCCTTAACAGTTGACGCATGTTGCCCCCAAATTCGCTCAACGCCGCCTGCAGTGTTTCTACAATTGTTTGAGTCTCATGAAACGCCTGCTGCCACGTGCCGTCCCCACCAGACACGAAGTCTGGCAATGACGCAAACAGGATGGAACATTGTCGGAATTCGGCTCCAGTTGGAATGAAATCCAAGGGCGTAAACACTTCCAATCCTTTGTTGAGCATAGTCAGAGTAGAAGCGTTTTGTTGGAAAACAAAATCAAGCTGCCCACAGGAAGTAGAGGCACAACGAAGCTCCTCGGTACGGGTTGCTTGGTGAGCACAGAAGCCATTCGGTTGCAGCTCACCCACAAGTTTCCCGTCATGTTGCAAACCTTGCAAGATGAGCTTTGCGGATGGATGAACCACAACTTGATTCGATTGAGCTGAATCCACGGCCTCTCCCAGTACTTCCAAGGGAGATCCAGAGATTAAATGCTCAAATCTGTTCGACACGCCCCCAACAAATAGTTCCACAAAGTCACTATCCTTGTCGTCTGGTGACAATGAAGTAGAAGCTGCTACCCCTACATGAAGGGATAATTGTGGAATGGATGTGTCTGTTTCACCGGTTCTCTCCTCTGCTCCCACTCCAAATACCTCTCTTTGTACCTCCAGAGAGCAGGCAACGGCTGTCTCAAGGGCCAACGCCACATCCGCATTGATGCAAACGCAAAGAAGCGCATCTCCGCAAAATTTCACAATTTCACAATGGCGAAAAGAATGCACAATATCAATCATCGGCCTAAATAATCCGTTGACAACTCGGGCAACTTCATCGGCCCCACCTTTGGCGCTTCTGGCGAACTTTGTGTATCCCGAGATGTCGAGCAAAAAGACTGCACCCTTGCCCAAGTTCACATATTGAGGCTCCAACGGCCAAGCTAGCGCATCTGCGTCCACATTATCGCCATCGTCCTGTTCGAATCGAAGGAGACTCTCTGCCAGGCGAGTAAGGACACTGCGAGGTACATAGGGTGCCAATGGCAAAGCTTCCACCATTTTATCGTTGTTGCTTCCTGATTTTTGGGCAAGAAGGAAAAGTGAGGAAGATCCTTTTGATGACCTCGATCGCTATGCAGCTTTGCAGCTTACCGGTATTAACGAATGCCATCCTCTGAAGTTTACTCATAAGAATGTACAGGATGACTTCTTTTACCGCTGACAGGTGTAAAATGTGAGCTTTTTTTATGGTTATTTTTCGGTTTTCGGAAATAGGAACCCAGAAGTGGTCATTTCGCGAATTCTTCTTGTTTGCGGCCAGCAGCAGAACAGAGAAGAATAACAAAGAAAAAATCAATTTTACCACCATGGCAACAGTGTTGGCCAAATGGTCTCTAGCTCTACCATTACATTGTTCTAGCTGAGTCTGTCAGAGCACTAGCTCCCCAACACACTCACAGAGCCACAGCTTGAAGGGACTCAGCTATCTCCAAGGTTTCCTATGGAGCATCTAGGAAAAGTCAGGCTTGGATTCCATTTTGTTGTCATTCTGCCATGCATTTCTCCATGGGAAAGGTGCTGAAACCATCACTCCAAGCACCCAATCTGCACTGTATAGTCATGTAATTCGATGGGTGGCTTTGCATGAAGACTGGAGCACCCATCCCAAAGATTCAAATGGAATTGTTGGCTTGATGTCCACAAAAATGGAGCAGATTTGTTGTTTGTTGTCAGTCAACCAGTCAATACAGTAGTAGAGAACCTGCTGCTTGTTGATTTCGTAGTAGCACTAGCAGAGGCTTCACGGCCGCTACTACTCGTACGGTACCGGTAGAGGCGTCGGAAGAGTCGTCGTCGCTCCGTGCAGAATCGAATCGAGCCATCGAGCCGTCGAACGGAAGAAACTTGTTGCCAGTGCCAGTTGTCGAGGCGTCGCTGCCTGTTGCTTGTTGCGGTAGTGGTAGTCGCCTGTTGTTATATTAGCGGTAGAGATGGCGTCATGGTCGCTCCGATCGTCGATCGCTCCGTGAAGAAGTCATCAACCGAATCGATCCGTGGAACGCTCGCTGCCGCTGTTTCCACTCTAACCTCTAACCAAACAAGAGGAGCCTGTCATGGTGGTGAGTAGTAGCCTTTGCTTATAGGAGTAGCCGCTATAGAGGAGTAGCATCATCTTGATAAAGTCAATAGAGAGTAAAGATAGAGGTATCGAAATAATGAAAGGTGTACCAGTACAGTACTGGCTACGGCTGTAGTATGTACGAGTGGCTTGGATCGAGCGATCCGAGTGATGTCAGTTGAGATTAAGGTCCCTTAAGTCTTTTCGAGGAACGTTCCAAGAGAGACCGGTTCGCATTCGAATGTCTTACCGGGAGCGGGCTTGCGTTTGTCTTGATAGCTTAGATTCAGCCTGTAGAGTGTCCCAATAAGAGTTATTTCGAACTATGATTTCATGTTTCTGGCCAAAATTGTTATTACGTTTTTTCATTTTCATGTGTTTTGTCTTTTTCTCAATTGTTGGGTTCAACCATAAAAAGAAGGATTCAGAATTTGAATTTCTAAGTAGAAACCATACAAATGTAAGTTAGAACCATCAAAATCAAAATGGAATGCGTATAGTTTCGTTCGAATGTTTCTCTTATTTCGGACGCTGTAATGAAGAGTAACTATTTACTGCTCTGACAATTAATGTTTTAATAGGTCCACCGGTGCCCTCTGTGCTGTCTTTCCTCATCATGCCGCCTGCTGTTCCTCGGTACCGGTACTGTATGAAACTTTGCTGGATTCGATTGATCATTCGATTTGATTCTTCAAGGGCGCTATTTTAATAATGACATACTCGAGTAAACGGACAAGCCCCCAAAAGCACGCACTTTAGAGGAAGGGTTATACTATACAATACGTATCATATATATCATAGGCATGATACGTATCATACGAAACACAATTATCATAAAAACCAGATGATATAATATTATGATATATATTAACCATATGATATATATGATATATGATATATAATATATACAATATGTATCATATGATATGACGAATTTTTGCCAGTTCTCTAAGTTGCCAGATCTCTAAGATTTGAACTGAAGCACCCACCAAAGTGTCACAACAACCAATATGGATACCTATCTTGCTGAACTGAATGATGTTGCCCAATATGATACCAATGTAGAAGAGTGGATCCCTCCTTCTATTAGTGTAGCTGTGGCAACGTCTCTAATAAATGAAACTCCTATTACAATTGACATTATGCAAACGCTTGGCCAGCTTGGCAATGCTCAAATTGACAAGACCGACGTGTATTGGCTGCCAAGCAAATTCAACAAAGATGACAAAAAGTTTATCAAAGAGGAACTGATGTCTGTATTTGCACTTGCATGCAAGGAAGCAGGCTTTAATGTTAAAAACAGAGGCTATGACAGACGAAGAGCCTACCTTACTGTCGTGTGCCCGAGACATAGGTATTATAAGGAGGAAGCACCATCAAAGGCAACCCAACACAGTCCTACTACCCAAACTCAGTTACCTATAATTGGAAAAGACAAAGTTTGTCCTTTCTATTTTAATGTTTACTTCAGTAATGAGCACAGGCGATAGTTCCTGCCAGCCAAACAAGGCGGAAGCACCAAACACATTGGACATCCGAAGCTCGACCCTAGCCAAGTGCCTGAAAAATCACTGGCCTCCCAGTGTGATAAAAACTTTGCTGTACGAAACCACTGGTGCTACCCTGAGTTCAAAGCAGCTGGAAGGCATGAAGCGGAATCTCCGGCAAGGGATTGTGCTCTCGATAATGTCAGCTGATGGTGTTGAAACGCAAGTCCCTGCTGATGAAGCAACAGCAGCTGACCGGCTACTCGCACGGCTCCAGTCAGATAAGACAAAGACTTTTGTAGTCTTGTTTGCCGATTTTGTATGTCAGCGAGTTAGATGGAGATGACTTGGTCGAATGGGAAGTGTTAGTATCATGGCTGTGAAGATTTGCACGATATGAAACCGAGGGAGAATCCGACCTATCCTTGAAGCTGCTTACCAAATATCTTGAAGAAGATGCGTCTCTCCATCGGGGGCAACTGGGGGAAGCTTTGAGAGACAAATTGAAGGTTTTCATAAACGAGTCATTTCTTCCCCGAAGGGATCTCCTGTTTGGGTATCATCTGAATCAAAGAGCTCACTTTGGAATGATTACGAGTACCATAAGTGAAGTTGAACACTCTGCCATGAAGAGGGATGCTCTCGGTCCCAAACCCAATCATAGCATCGACATGTCTCAAGAGTGCATTGATAATCGTGAAGGTAGACAACACAGAGAGAAGGACATAGCTGCTGCCAAGAATCTCACCTCTTCTTTCACTGACAACATGGATCGTGAGATTCATTGCAGTGAACTCCTCAAAGAAGCCAGCATTCAATTGATTCAACAGTGGTCTCAGCGATCAAATTACTCAGCATTCTGTGTTTCCCCGACTTTGTACTATGTCAGAAGAAGCAAGGCAAAGAATTCTGTGGTGGATGAGACTGGAACTCTGGATCACTGGAGAAAGGTTTCCATCAGGAGAAATCATGTCATACCTATCTTTGTGACCACACGGAAGGTTCAAGTGGTGGAGAGATTTGGAAACCTCTGCTTCTTGTTGAGCAGCTGCAGCACGTCTATCACGGACATTCTGTGCAACCCCATCAAAACACTTGAGACATTTGCTTTCCTTAACACCCTTAGTCTTACCCGTCTTGCCCATGCAATGCTGGTACAATGACGTGCCTGCCTTGTGAAGCTTGAGGGACTGGGGGTTTAAAGGTATCTGGTCTTCGGGTAAACCAATAGCATGAGCCACACAGTCCAGACAGTAGATTTGATCCTATGGGTGTAAGATAGTATGAAGCTGAATCTTGCCCTTCTTCTTGGGATCAACATAAGACCTTAAAACAAGGGGAATCTTGTCCTTCACACACTCGACAAGCTGCTCTTCAGAGATTTCCCAACGCCAAAAAGGTCCACAATTGTCCGGGCCCGCACTTCATCTATTTGCATTTCTGCTAAGGCATCGTCCCCCATGGGGTTAGTGTCACCTTCAGCCATGATACCTATGAATAATGCCATATACAAATAGCAGAAACAAAGATTGCAGTCAGTACAATACAGAAATATGTATGATATACATTATACATATAATAGATATCGTACATACGATACATACGATACATATCATACATACGATACATATCATACAAAAGGTTTATATGATATATACAATACATACCATACGTATCATACGTACGATACATATTATATATATCATACGTACGATACAAAGGGTACTTACAGGATTTCAGTACTGTGATCTACTGGTGAAATGGAAATGTGCTGTTTCTTGACTTCCTTGACTTCCTAGGTGGTGTCCTGCCTTGTTCACCTTGTTCTATCAGTCTATGAATAGTAGAGAAAGAGTGAAAGCATTGTTGAGAGACTTGGGTATGGCATGGAGGGAGGCAAGAAAAGAGGGTGATATGACATCAACTTTTGCTCATCTGATGAATAGCTACTCTCTCTGACCATTTTACAAGCAAGAAGCTGAGTAAATGTACCTGATAGTAGTGGTAGAGATGGTGTGATAGCTGAATAACAACAGAAGCAACAATAGCAGGAGCAACAAGAGGAGAGAAGAAGAAGTGTGGATGGTGGTGTTTTTGTTGTTGGTGTGGTTTTTGTTGTTGGTGTGCTTTTTTAAAAATGGCTGCTGCTGATCAAGGGAGTTCTCATTGGTCCACGTTCGCGCGTATAATACGTATAATACGTATAATACGTACGATACGTATGCTACGTACAATACGTACGATACATACAATATGTACAATACATACAATACGTACGATACATATTATATGCATGATACCCTTGAAACTCAAAACCTTAAGGTGCGTGCTTTTGGGGGCCTCTCAGTACCGGTACTAAAAGGTACCAGTAAAAGACCGGTGCAGGGCAGGTCGGATCTCGCCCGTATCTCGGATTGGCCTGATCCCGCTCCCCGAGATCGAGATCCGCGACTCAGCCTCTGACCTCCGCAGCTTCTCCGCCTTCCTCCTTCATCATTAAAATTTGTTTCAGCATCTATCTGAGCACCTCCGTGCACCTCCCGGCTCCCGGTAAAGGAGCTTTACAACCGATAAGCTTTGATATCGCAAGGAATGCAGGATCTCTGAAGCTTTTGATTCGCGCGGTACAGTAAGGTGTGGTGTGGTGCCCACAAAAATTGTCACGAAAATTGTCTGCAAAAATCCTAAAAGACTGTTCACTGATCATTCAGAAGTAATACTTTACAATACTGAAAGTGTTCGGGAGCAGTGTTGGGCAGAATTGTTCCCAAATTTGCAGAGGAATGCGATTCTCAGCTTGCCTTTTGATATTTCCAGAAAGCTAAGTAATTTGTATTTGTTTCTTGGTAGGATCCAAGAAGATTACTGGCTTAGGAACTGCTCGACGTACCAATTGATCATGAATCTACCTTGTATGATTTCCCTCCAGCAACAAAACTGTTGTGTGCTTTCTCCTTTGTTTCGGCTGCCTTTACGCCCCTCAAAGGTCTTGAACGAGATGCCGTTGCCTACGGTATGGTGTCCAATCAACCTCTCTTTGGAGCTCGCTCAACAATGCCACGATGGTCTACCCTAAACCTAACCCGACCACTACGATGGTCGCGCTTAACACTGACGTCAGGGGGGATGGCAGAAACTTTTAGATCAGGATTTTGAGATCGGATGTAGCTTGCAGCCTCGTCGCCTGTCATCCCAATACGTTCTGGCCAGGGCCCCAGTCTATTCGCCGGGGCTTCTACAGCCAAGGTTAGGTGGGGCCTCCAACGCTCGTTCCAAGCAGCTTCTGTTTCCGAGGCAAAAGGCGACTCGTTCTCCAAGGAGAAGGAAGTGAAAACGTCCATCAGGTCTTGCTCCCGATCAACTGTAAAAAGAGAGCATTCTTGATAGTCGCGGTGAAGAATAGCATTGGCATAGCAAAACTCGTAAGACCCTGCTCGGGAAAATAGACTGGCATCGATCTGCAATACACCCTTGAAGCGATCGTTTCGACCGACAGCGTTTGGGTCCGGAACAAAGTCATATTGCTGCACATTACTGGGAGTTCCTGCGAATGCGTTCCGAGCCCCGAGCAACGGTACATTTTTGTTGGTTCCTAGCTCGCGAAACCACAGTGCACTCGTCCCGGGGTGTCTCAAGTCAGATTCACCGCGTGCGTCAAGGTAGAGCCATAACATATTGCTAGGACGGTGCCACTTTATGCAGACTACCAAACAGCAGTAGAAGGACGTCGGGCTATTGTTGTGACAAGGGCTTTTCCAGAGACCATGGAGAGTCGGTAATGCCCCACGACGATTGTCATCCCGGACCATATCTTTGTAACTGCCATACATGGAGCGTGTGGAGCGAGCTACGCGAGATCCATAGTAACGTCTGGCCAAGGTCTCCCAAAGAGACTCATCGTTCGCCGCTGCCTCCAGCTTTCGCGAGACAGCGGCCGCTTTCCCAATGTCTTTGGGCCCCAACTGAGATAAGACAGCCACAACAAGGCCTTGCGGCAAGGAAACGAGCTTCATGACTTGTCCAGCCCAAAGAAGAGAAATCTTTTGAGTAAATGGATCTGTTGCATCGTCGATCGTCCATTGCCCTCAACTACCAGCTAGCAAGCTGAGGGCCTTTTGAACTTTATCTTGTGTGTGTGTGTGTGTGTGTGTCGCGTACATATGGTCCGGTTTCCCTTGCAAGGTTAAGGCTAGCGATCAAACCAGATACATAAGGTGCGGTTTCCCTTGCAAGGTTAAGGCTAGCGATCAAACCAGAACCCTTCCTTGGCCTTTTATTAAGCAAAATGCAAGTTGAGGGCACTGGCCTCCGGCTGGCTGTCCTCATTTACCAGTGGAGGTACGTACCGGTAGCCATGCACCTTGGATGCGAGAAAAATGAGGATGAGATGATGAGATTCGCACCTCTTACGGTACTACATTTCTGCAACAGTAGTTGCACAGTGTCAGTATGTGCTTCACACTACTACTTAGTGGATCTTACATACCCTCAGGATCAATGACAGTATGCTACGTAAAAAAGGTATGGTATTGGCAGTCATTGAAACAAAGATCCTCTCAATAAGACTCTCACTATTAAATAAACTGCAACGGCGAAGATATAACAGGGGCGCCTGCATACATAAGACCAACTCACTTTCTGAGAGGATTCCAATTTCGCCCTAAGTACCACACAACATACCATACCGTTCCAATGCGATCCAATCGTTCCAATCGTTCCGATCCGACCGTTGGAGGTACATACTCAAGCCAAAAGATCCAATCGTACGTCGTTGTTGCATACTCAGGGAATCAATCCCGTGGGTAAAGAGGCACCAACTTGCTACCGCTAAAGAGAGCAACAACGCAGAAATCCCGCGATCGATCGATCGATCGTCTCCGTACACTCCAGTTCAGTTCAGTTCAGTTCAGTTTTCCTCACTTTCAGCTCATTATTTTCAATCCTTCTACTTTGTAAAGGAAACTCTGCCGAAATTCCAACTCAACCAACAATTGCTTAGTTGACCAAAGAATTCATCCACCATGGCCAATGATGGAGCCTTTGGGTTGGAGGACGTGCCGGATTTGCCTGAAGCACCCACAGAACAGCCCAAGTACAACCGGGATTACCATCGTCTCTTCGTCAAATTCATGAGCTGGCTGCACAAGAGGACGTACACCAAGGCGGCTCGCTTCCAACCTAGTGCTTTGGCCGGCATCCAACCACACCACGTTGCCGACTACTTGAAATGGCGTGCGTATGGTACGACCGATGTTGACTTCAAAGACCTCGAGCAGAATCCAACTTGCCGCTCCTCTACTCTTGAGCAAGACAAGAAGGCTATCTCCTTCTACATGCCCATCAAAGGTGCCACATGGAATGGAACCTCCGGCAATCCAACCAAGTCCGATCCTGTGAACGAAGTGGTCAAGGAAGTCAAGAAAGCGGAGACTCAACACCGCGGCAAGAAGTCCTGTGCCACCAGGGATTTGACGGAAACTGAGTATCGCAAGGTGGTCCATGAACTCTACGGCAAAGGGAGCTTTGAATCGACCATCCGTACAGCCTGCATGTTGAAGCAGCAAGTCCATCTCATCACCAGGACGGACGACATCTCCAAGTTGAAGTATTCCGACTACAAGCCGCATCCAGACTTCCCTTTTGCGCTCAGTTGCAAGGTGCATTGGTCCAAGAATATTTCGGAAGAACGACAATGCCCTGACCAAATCATTCTTGGGTCGATGGATACCGACTTTTGTGCTATGCTCGGATTGGCGAATTACATGGAGGCGTCCTTCAACTACGGGTATGGCGCCGCTGGTCGGGAAGATGCATTCCTCTTTACTCCCGAAAGCGATCCTAAGTTGGCTCCCAAGCACTGCAACGCAGCCTACCGCAACATTCTCAAGGCTGTCTTTTTGTCGGCTCCATTTCTGGCTGTGGCGCTCCTCATAGCTGGTGTTCTTGGGAGTCACAGCATTCGGAAGTTTGCTGCAACTCTGGCAAGAGGGATGGGTGCTACTGCTGACGAAGTTGACATTCGAGGTCGCTGGAAGGCTCGCTTGTCTGGACGGGTTGTTGATGCCTACATTTCGCCTGAACAGCCCTGGATCGACGCTCGTGTTGCCGAAAAGCTTTGCATGGGGGCTCCTATTGCCTACAAGCTACACCCGGATGCCAAGAGAGTGACTCCCTACTGGTTGATTGAGCATGTGGTGCCAAGGACACATGCGGTTTATCGACGGTGTCAACGACATTCGCTGCATTGGCTCTGCCTCGTTTGTGGCGCGCCTTGACAAATCTTGGGAGGAGAGGACGGGAGCCTCCCGTTCGTGTTATGACCAAGATGCGTACGATCGCGAATCAAGGCCGATATTACTGTTGGCGTCAACCCTGGCTGAAAGTGCCTCTCTTTATTTGGACGCACAACACCAAGCTCCACATCAACGAAATCAGCCGATGGATACGGGAGTGGCGGGTGACGGCTGGTTGCACAGTCGGGAACGACCGGGCCAGGCAGAGCACTCGTCAAGTTGCCATCAGTCTCGGAGGTGACGGCTATGCAACGCAACAGCAGGTACGAGCACGAACGATGGGATTCTGACAAGGATTATTGGCGCAGCACAACCGCTCCAGCAGTCTCATAGTCGCGAAGGTGGACCACGCGAAGTTGGCTGCTGCTTTAGAGGTTGGTTGGGGAGATTGGCTGGCGCGGAGCTGACGAAACTCAATGGAAATATTTTCAGGTAAGTGTGGACTTGTCGCTGTTGGCTATTGCAACTATGGCTATTACTGCTGCTAACTATGTATTTTTGTATCCTTTTTAGGATTGCTGTTCAGCCCCCAAGATGGCAACACCTGATCAGTTAGATGGTAATCTTTTTAGAAATGGGTTGACTGTGGGAAGGACTCGCCGGAATGGCAAGACTAGCCTCAGGTACAGACAAGCTGTGGCCACCACGCCTGCTGATAGTAGGCCTTCCAAGCTAGCCAAGTACAAGAATGTTGGCATCTGCTTGGCCAAGATGATGCCATGGTATTGGTGGGAACAAGCCAGCCAAGAACCTCACTGCTGAAGATATCAGGGCTTGCAAGTCAACCTACTCTAGGAGGAAGCCACTCTGGACTCTCATGGCTACACTTGTCAATGCTCAGAAAGCTCCAGCTTGGGTCATCTCCAAGATTGAGGAGCATTACAAAGGAAGTGTTTTGAATATTACTGCTGCCATCAAGCAGGACACCATTATGGGCAGTCTGCATGAGGATCTTTGTATTGTTCGTGCTCAGTAAAGTTGACCTTAGTTTAATCAGCATGGTAGCCATGCCTTATAGTGAGTTTGTTGCATGAGACTTGTGCTTGTGATCTTTTTCGTTTTCGTGCCAGTAGCGACTTGCGCTTTTCGAACTTACTCGCAGTAGCTAGCTAGCGACTTGTGGCTTTTTCGTACGGAGCGAGCGATTTTGGACTTGTGCTTTTCGAATGTACGTACAGCGATTTTACTAGTAGCTACTGCTGTGCGTTTTCGAGAGATAATAGAGGTGCGAGATAATAGAGGTGCGAACGACGTTATCTTAACAGTGAGTAGTAGAGGTGCGAGCCTCATTTTTCTTACGGTCGAGGCGGTGACCTCCTCAGTGGTATAAACGAACGACCGACAACCAAGCATACACCAGGTGTTCGATACCTCTCCATACCTCCTGTAGGATGGCTACCACAGGTACAGGCTCTCAGTATTTCTCTCAGTTCTGGGATATACTTTTACGGTACTATTCCCACTCGCTTTTAAGATAACGACGAAACATGGGACCTGGCTAGCTACGTACGCTACGTACTAGTACTAGTACACCGTACTTGAAGCTCACCAGTTTTCAGCAAAGAGCACATCTGCTAGCTAGTAGCAGACAACGGCCTGTTGCACGAACCGTTGGTCACTTTTACCACTGCCTATCACTGTCTTACAGTACCACGAAGTCAAAAGACGGTGGTTGACTGTGCTACTGTTTCCACTGTATGGTCATGGTTTACCTTGGTTAACAAGGGATGGCAGTGGATTTCTCCAGGCTACAGGAAGACAGGTTTGTAAGGGTAGTATCGGTAAAGCTAGAGTTAAAGTCATGTTTTACTCTGCATTTTTGTAAATAAACTATAATTTACCGCACCTACCTGCACTTCAAAGTTGTCTTCTAGTACATGTACGGAAGAGAGCCCCTGAAACGCACGCGGTTGTATTATACGTATAACATTTTTACTATGTATTCTACAGATCATACGTATTACACATATAACATTTTTAATATGTATTAGACAAGTCATACGTACAACACAGATAACACAAGTGGAACAATATTATACGTATTACATGTATTATGTGTTGTACGTGTTTTACGTATAATACATAGTGACGAATTTTTGCCAAGTTTTTTGCCAGGTGTTTTGCCAGGTGTTTGGGAGGCAGAGAGGAAGATGCACTGTTGCAGGCCATAATACCTGACAGCTTATCAAGTAAAATGGACTCTTACCTATCTGAACTCTCTCATGTTGCTAGATACAATATCAATGATGAAGAATGGACTCCTGCTTCCATCATTGTGAATGTAGCAACCTCACTAGCTGATGATACGCCAAAGGAGATAAACATTATGGATACTCTGGGGTTCGATAATTATCGAATGGAGAAATCGACGGTGTATTGGCTACCTTCGATGTATCAATCTTGTGATCCGGCGCATATTAAAGAAGTTTTGATGCCATACTTTGTACTTCCTTGCAAGACTGCTGGATTCCGCATCAAAAACAAGGGATTTGATAAGAGGCGGAATCACATTACCATATGTTGTCCAAGGAGTCGTTTTTACAAACAAAGGTCCCAAAAGGACAGCAACAAAACCACCCAGACTCAGCTTCCTGTTGAGGGGGAGGGTGTCAAATGTCCATTCTCTTTCAATGTTCTATATAGCCAGGAACACAGACGATGGTATCTACCCAAGTTCCAGACAGGCAACAAGCTTCATCGTGGCCATGTACAACTAGAAGAGGCACAAGTGAAAGTGTTAAGTACTCATCTTGGCACAGAAGCCGTTACACTAGCGGAACAATGCCTAAAGAACCACCTCTCGCCAAGTGTTGTTAAGACTTTACTTTATGAACGGACAGGCTCATCTCTAACTTCGAAACAAATCGAATCTCTAAGGAAGAGTTTGCATCAAGGAGTTGTCTTGTCTTTGGTGAAGCCAGACGGTACCATCTCTCAAGTACCGCATCAGGAGGCGACAGCTGCAGACAGGCTACTTGCCCGATTGCAATCCGACCCAACAAAATCGTTCGTTGTCCTATTTGCCTCATATGACTCCGGCCTTCTTCGAATCAGACAATCACATAGGGGAGCCACACCTCAGAACATTGATCCTGAATCACTAACAGATGAATCGGACAGTGCTGAATCCTTTGCGAACAAAGTAAGAGACGCTCTATCCATCACAGGTTCTGGAATGATTTTGCTTGCACTTGCCTGGACGGGTGAAAGTTCCCAGAGATTGTTCCAAATGTATCCCGAGTTCAAGTCTGGTGATATCACCTACAAAACAAACTCCGAAAAGAGGGAATTGCACATAGAGTCTGGGATAGCTGCCGATGGGCAGTCTTTCAGCCACACATGGGCATTGTTCCCATGTGCTTCAAAGTGGATATTCCAGTGGTTCTACCGAAATGCCATGCCCCGACTTCATTCGGCCAAAACTCTGTCGAGAGTAGAAGTGGCTGCTTATGATGAAGACGAGAAGTGTTACATGATGTTCCAACAAGCATTGGTGACAAAATGCTGACAGTCCAGGATGGTAGATAGGATGCGTGGTGATGGATTTATCTTCGTTTCGGCGCTTCGCGGTCATCGGAATGGCTTCTTGAATACATGTAACAAAGTTGCGGGGAGTGATTTGTTCGGGGGAAAAAGGACCAGGATTGTCAGGGCCAAAGGGAATCTCCTCCTCAGATTCGTCATCCTTCTCCTCTCTCGAGCAACGTCTTCTCCAGCGTCTTGCCCACCATCTTCATCGTCAGAACCCGACATGATGCCTAAACGAAAATACTAATGAAGAAAACGAAAATATGTGAACAACAAACACGGGTAACATGCACAATACGACCAACACAGGTAATACGTATAAACAGGTAATAGTATAAACAGGTAATACGTATAACACAGTAATACATATAACACAGGTAATACGTGTTATACGTATAACACAGTTAATACGTACAACACAGTTAATATGTATAACACGGGTAACACATATAACACGTGTTGCGCGCTTGGGTACTTACAGGGTTCAGTACTGGTCCCTACAGGAAGTTGTTGACAATGGTGAAATCAAGGCCAGATCTTCCACAGGCTTCGTCAGTGAGCCTTCAGAAGTATATGAATGCAAAGAGAATGGTCTGTGAGCTTGACAAAGCTGATAAAGAGAGTGGGGGCAGGAGAATGAAGAAGGAGTTGAATGGAGAGAATCCTTCTATCTTTCCACAGAAACAGTCTTCTTGGCTTCAACAAAGCCATACCACATTGCCTACTTACCCACAATGATGGTACTATCTTCAAATAACAACAGAAACCTCTGTACCTTCAAAGCAACAAGAGGAGAGAGGTTTATCTCATGGTGTTGTTGTGGAGATTGGTGGAATTGAGATTGGTGGAGATTGGTGTTGAAGCCATTTTGCGAAACGAACGGTCACTCGAACGTCACGGTGGCTGGCTGGCGACGTGTATACGTGTTATACGTATTATACGGGAATACGTAGAATACGCATTGTACGTATTACATGTATTACATCGCGTGCGTTTGAGGGCTCTCGTACGGTACGTACATGTATGGCGATACCGCTTGGAGCAGCAATCCTACAAAGCAAACACAAACAACCTATTTTAGCAGCAATAACAAGACAACAGTCAACTACAGTACTGTTGGCGCCATCACCTTTACAACTACAACTAGCAGAGTCAATCCCAGCAGTAGCACGGATGCCACTGGTGCCACCGCCACCAACAACCATAGGAGGATTAGCAAGTCTGACAAAAGGGGATATTGATGATTTGACAACAAGGGAGGCTACTAAGTGGCTTCGTGTTGCCGGATTGAAAATTCCCAGTAGCAAACCCGAGATGTTGAAGAGATTGCATGATTTCTTTGACAAGGAAGATGACAGCTACATTCTACAAATAGCGGAGCCACAAACTCAGTCCAAGCTACGACAACTCGTGAAAAAAGGGGATATTGATGATTTGACAGCAAGGGAGGCTATTGAGTGGCTTCGTGTTGCTGGATTGAAAATTCCCACTGCCAAATCCGAGATGTTGAAGAGATTGCATGATTTCTTTGACAAGAAGGATGACAGCTATATTCTACAACGAACGGCGCCACAAACTCAGCCCAAGCTACCACGACCCACGCCAGTGGCAATGCCAGTGCCACCGGCGATGCCAGTGCCGCTGTCAATGGCAATGCCACTGGCAATGGCAATGCCAATTCCACTGGCGATGCCATTTCCACTGGCAATGCCACTGGCAACACAACTACAACCAGCAGTAGCATGGATGCCACTGGCAATGCCACTGGCAACACAACTACAACCAGCAGTCCCAGCAGTAGCATGCATGCCAAGGGCACTACCGCCACCAACAACCATAGGAGGAGTAACGAGTCTGACAAAAGGGGATATTGATGATTTGACAACAAGGGAGGCTACTGAGTGGATTCGTGTTGCCAGATTGAAAATTCCCAGTGGCAAAGCCGAGATGTTGAAGAGATTGCATGATTTCTTTGACAAGAAAGATGACGGCTATATTCTACAAAGAACGGAGCCACAAACTCAGTCAAAGTTGCAACAACTCGTGCCACAACCTCAGTCGACGCGACCACAAACTCAGTCGAAGCGACCACAGCGTCAATCCAAGCGACAACGAACGGCGCTACAAACTGATGACAAGCCAATGCCACGCAACTAGCTAGTAGCATTACAAAACGACCGTCAACCAATGCTGGAAGACGATACTGCGTCCAACCAGACACCTAGGGATCCAACAAGAGGGCCAACGCCACCAGAGATTCCTCCATGCGTTCCACCACAATCATAAAGTTGTATCCCCGCATCATTCGATGAATGATGGCCTGAACCTTGTCGGCATTTTGTACCGTCTCTCGATCGGACGGATCCCAGGCGGCAAAGTACGGAATGGGTTCCAAAGCAGCAAATTGCAATTGAAATCCTCCTTGCCCATCCTTTAAAATGGTACCGAAATTGCCACTGGAAAAATTCCCAATCCGGTCCAACAGCGTTTCTTCCGTACATTGAATGCCTTCAATGGACTCCTCTCGAAAATTGTCAAACGACAGTACCGTATTGCGAGCCGCCGGATCTCGAACGAAGTAAACAAAAAGGTTCCGGACGCTCGTTTCGAAAAGTGACGTCCGGGAATGTGTTCCCATTGCACTTGTGTACACTCACGGCGTCGAGCCATGCGCAGGGCGACGCCGGCACTGGTCGACGAGGCCGATTTGGGGACCCTGACCAAGATTAAACTGGCATACGGTAATCCGTTTTGCGGCCTCGGCGGGAAGCCGTGGCGGCTGGTTGTTGGGCAGGTCCTCTTCGAGCCCAATCGCCGGCAGTTTTGGGGGCGGAGAGCCACCATTGACTGCGATTGCCCGCCATGGGAAAATCTCGAGAAAAGCTTGGCGGCCGTGACTTGAATGCAGTCATCCGTCAAACAGACATTGCGCTGAGGAGGAGGGCAGATCTACGGTTCGAGTTCGGCTGCTTCTTTCTCATAATCACCACCTTCTTCTCCTGTATGCAATGTTCTTGCATGGCTGACACGAGAACAATACAAGAGCCCTAGAGGAATAGCAGCGCCCACAATCCTCGTTCCGACCTTACTTTTACGAAGGAATGAATGTGAGGCAGCAATCCCAAGCAGAAGGGTGGACGTTGTAGTTTTAGAACGTGACAATGCATTTCTCAGTCTTGTGCTTGCTACTGGTACTACAATCGAACGGCGCAAATCCTTGGCAACAGACCATTTTTAATATCGATAGAATCAGCCACACTTCTTGAGAGCATGCACACAAGCCATTCCGATTGAAAAGCTAACAAGCACACTAATCTCTTATTGACTTTTCCTACTCTTCCCTCTTTTTGTAGGCATATCCTCTTGGTACTTGTTTCCCATCAGGGCCTGTCACTTTTTCCGCTTTGGTTTTGCCATTGTCGGCCGTCCCAACTTGAAATTCGACTGCAGAACCGTCCTCCAGAGCACGAAAACCATCGGCTTGAATGCCCGTTTGGTGCACAAAGAACTCTTCGCCATCGTTATCTCGGGTGATAAATCCAAATCCTTTCGTGTCGTCAAACCATTTTACGGTCCCCTTGAAGATTTCCCCAAATAGCTGCGTGCTGGTACATTTGCGCGGTTGAGGCAACAAGAATGCGGCTGTCGGAGCCATCAAAGCAGCCAAAAAGAGGGGAACAGCCGTTCGTTTCATCATGGTGCGGCAGCTTGTGTGTGAATGCTGTGTTGACATGACATGTGTTGGTGCAGCTGCGTGTTGGCTTTTGCAATGGTTTAGGTCAGTCACTAATTGGTTGAATCCAGTCACGGTACATTTAGTTGTGACCACACCAGCGGGACCACCCACTGACCACTGCCCACTCATGCTGTTGGCGCCACCATCACCTTTACAACAGCTTATAACAGTTACTACAACTAGCTAGCAGGGTCAATCCCAACAGTAGCACGGATGCCACTGGGCCACCGCCACCAACAACCATAGGAGAATTAACGAGTCTGACAAAAGGGGATATTGCTGATTTGACAGCAAGGGAGGCTACTGAGTGGCTTCGTGTTGCCGGATTGAAAAAAATTCCCAGTGGCAAACCCGAGATGTTGAAGAGATTGCATGGTTTCTTTGACAAGAAAGATGGCAGCTAAATTCTACAAAGAACAGCGCGACAAACAGATTTTGTCCATCGACTTTTTGCCTTGTCCCAACACGGTCATCGTAGGGAGGGGCAAAAAGGTGGCCCAACATGCTGGGAATGTTCGTTTCCAAGAACTCGTCAAGAAGGAATTGACTGAGTACAGCGCCGTTGCCACCACCAAGGCAGACAAATCCAATATCATCCAGCGCGTCTTGACGGAAGTTAGACTCAAGTCGCCTCATGCGTTTGTCAAGCAGGATTTGACGACGCTGCGCTGGTATCGTGTCGAAGAGAATGCGCAACGAATCACCACAGCACAAGCCTTTCGCGATGCTCTCAAGGACAAATACAAGAGCAGTCGTGTATTCAAGAAACTCCGAAGAGAAAAAGAAAAGAAAGCAGTGGCTGTCGCCATGAATTCAATGCCACTGGCAAGGCAAGTAGCAGCATTACAAAACGACCGTCAACCAACGCTGGAAGACGATACTGCGTCCAACCAGACACCCAGAGGCTTGGAGAGCAAGATTCACCCAACGCTGGAAGACAATACTGCGTCCAACCAGACACCCAGTGGCTTGGAGAGCAAGATTCAGATGTTGTCCATCGACTTTTTGCCTTGTCCCAACACGGTCATCGTAGGGAGGGGCAAAAAGGTGGCCCAACATCCTGGGAATGTTCGTTTCCAAGAACTCATCAAGAAGGAATTGACCGAGTACAGCGCCGCCACCACCAAGGCAGACAAATCCAGTATCATCCAGCGCGTCTTGACGGAAGTGAGACTCAAGTCGCCTCATGCGTTTGTCAAGCAGGATTTGACGACGCTGCGCTGGTATTGTGTGGAAGAGAGTGTGCAACGAATCACCATAGCACAAGCCTTTCGCGACGTTCTCAAGGACAAATACAAGAGCAGTCGTGTATTCAAGAAGCTCCGAAGAGAAGAAGAAAAGAAAGCAGTGGCTGCCGCCATGAGTTGTTCAATGGAAGCGTCGAAGCTAAAATAAAGGGAATTACGTAATGAGATTAATTTGCTGACTGTGTTGTTTATTGCGACTAAAGAATTTTTTCGTGTCGCCGGAGAGTTGTTTCCGGAGACTTGATGCGTTTCGTGTTGGCACGGTCGTCTCTTCTCTAATTTCCTCTTCATTGTGCTGACTGTGGTACAGTGCCGCCATTGACAAAGACAAGCCCTCCCCTTGGGTATGTCTCAAGTAAGAGGGTGATGTGTTAGTTTTTCGCGTCGTTGGCAGAGGAAACTAGAGAAGAGGACACCCATACCGGTAGCGTCAGCAATAATACGACGACGGCAACAAGGGGAAACTTACCGGAGAGGAGCATCCCCAAGCAAAGAAAATCAAAGTAATCACCAAACCAAAAAAAAAATGACATAGCCTCCGGCGTAGCCCGAAGGTGGCATCAAACATAAAAGGTCGTAAAGACTCCCAAAAGCTACTGGTGTCGCCGTCGATAAACTCAAGGGAAAATAGGGGCTGCTGTATTTCTTCTCAGAGCAGGAGCGCCAACCTTGAGGCGGTGAGATCTACATGTATTGCACGGTACTCTATTCTTACATTCTTGCAGGAAACAGCAAAACTGAATTCTGGATTTTGCAAACTGGCTGACCTAGTAGTAGAAGAACCGCGAATGGAAGAGAGCCCAAGTGGTTCAGGCTGGGAGCCTCCGTTATTGATCAATACTACCTGTAGTACCACATGCCACAGCCATGCTGGCTACATGTAGCTCTAGAGAGGAGCAGAGGAATAAAGGCCAACCCTGCCCGGGCAAGGTATCCAATGCCAAGTCGAGTTCGCACAGGTACCACTGTGCAAAGCAAACGTCAACCGACCGAAGTCCCATCATCATTTGTTTTCAACAGGCCGAACGAGCCGAAAAGTCGAAGTCCCACTCAAATCGGTAGTTTTGGAACTGTGTTTGGGCTTTCGGCAACCGACGAAACTGGACGCATTCCCAAGAGGATGCCAACCATCATTTCGAATCACGAATGAGTGTCAGAGTGTGGCGCCTGGCTGTGGTGGGGAGCCGCTGCAAGATAGTCGAAGGCGTGGGATATCGGAGCAGCCGAATGTCTTATTAAGCTAGCTTTATCGGTACTTGGACTACTAGCGAGCTAGCTAGTTGCTCTGAACAATTTACCGCTACAATGTAGGCTTTGATAAGACGGAGTGACTTTGCTTTATGAGTTGTTTTTGATTAGTCTAGTTAGTTTCTTGAATGGCAACTTATTGATCCCCTGGTCGCTTCCTTTGTAGCTTAGTAAGTCAGCTGAATTCCGCCCGTTCATTCCACATCCAGCCGTTCACTGTTCATCTTCCGTGATGTTCCTGTTGTGACGACGACTGTTGCTTCCATCGCATCTTGGGATGGCGAGAGGAGGTTGGGCTAAGAGGAGGAGACTTGGTGTTGTCTTCGCCTCCTGCTTGCTTTTTCCTCGCCATTTGTTGACTCAGAGACGTGGCGTACTCCTCTGCAGACAACGAGGAAGCACTGACTTCGCGATCGGCTTCTTTGGACTCGACGACGACCTTGGCTGCCTTGGCGGCTTTGTTGTCGGTCTTTTTGCGCTTGATCTGCTTGCAGAGATGACGCTTGCCGAGGATGAACTTGGCGTGAAAGTATCCGCCCTTGTCTCGTCCTTCGGTGATGCGGCGAAAGCCATACAGGTTCAGTTGCTTGAGGAAGGTATTCATGCGTCCAGTGGCAAAGTACTTTGGCATGATTTCACTGATAAACTCCTTGGGCTTGTGGACGGCAAAGCTGCGTCCGTGGGGGAAGAAGGAGATGACATCTCCACGTCCGCTCTTGACGACTTCGTAGATGATGCGGTACAGCTTGAGGGGGAAGTTCTCTTGGCTTCGCTTAAAGTCCCGGTCGACTTCATCGGATCCAGCATCGTTAAAGTAGGCCTCATCGTCTTCTTCCTCCATGGCGTCCCCTTCTTCGACGGATGGCATGGGGCGGGCGGCTGAAGCAGCTGCAGCATTGGCAATCCCCGCATTGCGTGACATCAAGGCTGCCGCTTGCAACCGGTTGTGTTGATGAGAAGGATCCGAGAGACGACGAGCTGACGACTGCCACATGGATGCCATGGTACGGTCGGCATCCAGGCCCCGAATCTTACCCGTCAGCATTTCAGAGTGATCATAGATGGGGTTGTTGCTGGCATTGCGGGGTCCACCCATCATGGCAGCTGCACTGGCACTGAGAGACAAGGGCAAACCTGTGGCAGCTTGGCCTGGAAATAGACCAGCACCGGCTGCGGCAGCAGCATTGCCATAGAGAGATGCATTGTGTCTGGAGAGACCAGGGTCCAGGCTCATGCGACGAGTGTTCAAGGCCGAGTTGAGGATCATCTCGTCAATTTGACGCTTCTGTCGAAGGAGAGAGTTGAACTCGATCTCCTCTCGCTGGGCTTGTTCTGCAGCCGCAGCGGCTTGCTGCTGTTGCTGGAGCTGCAAAAACGACTGCTGCTGTTGCTGATGCTGGGCTTGGGCTACGCGAGCCAGGAGAGAGGATCTGGAAGTGTCAAGTTGGCCTTGGAAGGATGCCATGGCGGAAGCTCTTGAACCTGGCATCTGAGGAAGGGAAGCAGAAGCGGATGTGTTGGGGAGGAAGTTGGCGTTAGAGTTGCTGTTGGCAGACTGTTGCTCTCGCATTGCTGCCATGAGTTGCTGGGAACTGGCGTTCCTCAGAGCATTCATGCGATGACTGTCTTGTGCTTGCTGGTTGTCTTGACTGTCTCGAGAAAAGTTGCGAGGAGGAAGACCACTCATTCTGTTCAGGCCGAGAAGAGATTTGGTGTGTGTGGTAGTGGGAAGAAGTACAAGCATGCCGCTGCTAGAAGCAAAAGGTTTGGAAACTTTCAGGTTTGCTTTTAGTTCAATCAAGATTGTGAGCTTTAAAATGAAGGAGGAATAAGTTGAACTGAGTGAGCCGAGTCGAGTCTCCAAGTAAGTTGTGGCTGCCTATAATGGCCAGTTCATCAGGTCAACAGGTCCACAGCAAGATTGCAAGTTGGCTACTATTACAGTGCAACAGTACAACCATCTAAAGGGAAGCTTCAGCGAAGCGGCTCAGCAATGAAGCAGTGACCGGGCAAGTGCACTCGTACCGCATGCAGCAATTTCGAAACCACATAAAGGATCCCAGAGAGCTCCCACAAAGCGGAGGGTGGTACGAGTGGCGTACACAGTGTAGTGGCACAGCAGTATTCACTCGCCTTGGGCCTGCAGCATAGAGCTTTAGTATTAAGTACGATTATTGAACCCACATTTGGCATGTCTCAACGTCTCGGCTTCTTGACGATTCAAATATTCCGTAAAAGTGTTGCGGTGCGGACTGTGCGGACTAGATTTTTCAACCACCATTAAATCTTAGGAAAGACAAGTTTACCGTAGACAAGACACTGAAATGTTCATGAGAGTTCGTCGGGTTCAAGAAAAGCGATCTTTAAGTAACTTCAACAACGGCAATTGAAGTAAAACGACTCCAATAGCTCTCATCTCGTCCTCTTATTTAATGCTTTATAGGATCCAAATCTGTCTTACACGATTGGATGGGGAAGACGCCGCCGTAAACAAAAGGAAATAATGAAGGCTTTTGGCTTTTGAGCGTCCAAAAGTGAAGCAAAAGAGTACTAAATGTGGAATGATCCAGTAAATGAGTCTATCATCGAACTTCTTGAACCATCGGTATTGTTCTAAAACCACACTCCTGTGTCTCCCCATAAATATTTAATGCTAGCAAAAGAGAAAGTGAAGAGCAGCAAGGAATAAGCCCATTCACGTGCCAAAGAAAGGCTGGACACCTGGGCTCCTGGGGTTGGGCAATATTGTTTACGCACGTGTTCCGTTTCAGGCTACTAACTCTTGACAGTGCGAGCTACAAGGTTCGCGATGAACATGAGGCTATTTGGCTGACTAATCACGTCTAGTAGTAGAGTTGTACAGTCGTACTATTATAGTACTGGTACATGTAGCTATGAGCTACATGTGGCTACTAGCCAACTGGCTACCCCTCGGTTGGTTGCTCCGGGGGTGGGGTTGGGCAACATCCACTGTTGTCAACTGCTTGCTGGTTCGGTTGTAGGTAGAACGAGGACTATGTTTGGTACTATGGTATTATGTGCTTGGCGATGGTGGAGATTTTTCAAGTTGGCGGGTTGGGTCAACTCCTTCAGTTTTCTTCTCTCTCGCTCTCGGAGGCTGCAGCTGGAACCTCGAGCTCGCTGCCTGCTGCCTGGAATCCTGAAATCTTCTATCACGAACCAAGCTAAGCCACCTCTGCTCTTTCAATAGCTATCTAATGTTCCTGAGATTCTTATAATTCCTCTCGTATGGCCTATAATCTAGCGCTTTCGCTTGACCTGCGTAGTAGCTCTGCTCGTGGTAACTTTTTTAAGTCGTCTGCGTTTGCTACTAGGTAAGTTGTAAGTTGGTCCCAGCATCAAGCATCCTGAAGTCCTCTACTCAAGAGTAGTGCCCATGTGCCCATCATGCCGAAAGAAGGGAGTTTCAGCAAGCCGTTCGCTGCAGTAGAGAACAAGTAAGTTTGCTACAACAGTCTGCTAGGTTGCTACGACGGTGCGAGTTCAAAGAATCCATTCGGCAACCGAGATGCTACAAGCACAAGAATGTTGTAGAGAGCTTTTCAAGCTCTTGTGGCCTACAGTCGTGGCTCCGGTATCCGGCATGCCTCCTCGCTGCGGAACGAACGTGTTGTACCCTCTCCGTGACCATTATGCCACGGGAGTCTAGTTCAAGGAAATTAGAACAGAACAGAATGAACGCTGGTGAATTCTTGATGCAATTCTAATGCCAAGGCTTTTGGAAACCAAAAGGTGACATCAAAGCACAATCACCATTATCGTTCCTGAGCTGTTTGTTGCGGAATTTCATACACACATCAAAACGCGTCTGGTAATCATATTGGTTTAAGAGCGTGACCTCCTTAATCCTCAACCCAAGACCAAACTTAAATATTGCTTCCCCTTGCTTGGTAACTCACAACCGGTACATGAACTCGATCGACCTGGGTCGACGCGCCACAAAGTATTGTGCATGGAAAGCGCTAGCGTTAGGGGATTTTCTAGAGTTTTTGGGCGTTTTTCTACCTAAAGCCAGCCAGAGGAGCTGTTTCAGCAGCCCTGGATGGACGGCAGCGCTCCAGGGAGCAGGCAAGGGCACACGCATGCGTGTCAAATCGAATGCTCACATTTATTTATTTCGATGCATGTTTGCATGGCTTAGCCAACAAAGCTACTTGCACCTCCCTCGATGCCAGCATGGGATTTTTGACCTTCGAGCCATTGCACGTTGGACAGTTGGACGCCATGCTATTGATATTGCTATTCCTTGATACCAGCAGCTCCATTTATTATTACGACTGATGTCACGACCGATGCTACTGATTACCTCGACAGATGATGTAGCGGGCGGTTGATCGTATCTCGTCTGCCGACGACTTTGGATGTTCTTACCAACCACTGCCACAATTAACCACCGCCCCCCTCCTACCCCAACCGACCACTTCCACAAGTGACCACACCAGCAAAACCTTCTGCACCTCGCAGTCCTCAGTACCAAACAAGGTTGTCCACGCCGTAATTTCTTTCTTCCATTGCGGTCAGATGACCAACAACAATATGCTGCAAAATATCACACTCAAGCGGATCCATTGGTGTCATGGCACGATACAAGCTTGGATTGCACCTGACTTCAAGTCGACAAGGCACAATGCCAGACAATAGGATATTATGCTGGGGAGGGCCAATGGGTGTTCGCCACAACTCGATACAGTTATTTGGATTCAAATGGCGAAAGACGCCACAGAGATGGGCAACGTGACCGTGCAAACGGCCACATTGATGTTTACCGCCACCTACTCCTGGAGCATACACTTCCATGCCTTGGCTTCTTCACTGACAATATCGTCCTCGTTGTTCTCGTTGTCCTCATTGTCCTTTTTGATTTCAATTCGTATTGGCGTGTCCTTAGGAAGATAGTGAGCATATAGATTGCCATATGGATCTAGGTAGTGATAACAATCAACAATATTGACATCACATACGGTATCACGGATTTCAGGATTCATCCGGGCACCTGCATATCTCACAGGAGCAGGCTTTTCAGGAGCAGGGTTGCAGCTCGTTGGGGCTGCCATGGTGGGGTAAGGGTAAGGATGCTGCAATGTTTTGATTGTGCTTGATTTACGTGGTTGATCCATGAGCTACATGTATCCATGAAAACGGTGGCAGATTTGCGCTCCTCCTAGTGAACGAGTGATCAAGCACGTGCAACACTTCACGATTTACTCTTGGAATGACCTTAATTAGTTCTGAATGTACGGTACTGTCGTGTCTATACTGGTACTTGCAGCCGTGTCGCAACATGTGCCAGAAAAGAACACATACATGCTCGTGCCTTGTGTCTTAGTGTCTTTTTTAATTAATGAATAGGGTAATGAGGATGCTCCCGTGGTTCAAGAATGTGTTTAATGAGGACTCCCGTGGTTCAACCATGCGTTTAACGAGGACTCGCTCCCTGACGTTCCCGTTCACTCAAAATTCCAGAGCTTCTCCGTCATCCCAACAAGAATTCATATTTCGTCTCCCGGAGACGACTTGCTTTAGGGGTAAGGGTACTGTTGGGGGCAGAGGTTTGAATTATACCCAGCGTGCAATACTTAGAGGCCTCTGTAGAAGTCTACGTATTTGACTAGTATTGTATTGACGGGATACAGTCAACGCATGTACATGCACATGAAAGTCGCCTCGCTTTTCACACAAGTTTCGCATGAATGAGCGAGGGAGCTGCATGTACATGCACATGAAAGTCGCCTCGCTTTTCACACAAGTTTCGCATGAATGAGCGAGGGAGCTGTTTCGGGGCGAAGCAAGAAAGGGATGAGCGCGCGGAGCGCGCGAATACGGTTTCAGGTTTTGGTAATAAAAGATTTATGGAAACGGAGACGACCCAGGGGGCGTATGAATTATTTACTAGTACTGGGATGTGTCTGCGCAAGCAAACCCGAGAGCCGAGAGTGTGCTGCTGCCCCGATCTGGATGTCAACACGAAGTTACGGCGCCTTGCTTGGACAATTCTGGGATATCGTTCCATCTGCTCCCTTCGCTGGAGCTTGGATCTTGGTGCGTTCATCTTGCATCAGCCATATGCTCCAGTCTGCCAAGTTACTCGCATCCCAACTTCTGCTCAAAGTATTTAACTAGTAATTGTAGTCCACGCTTATGTTGCTTTGGAGGAATGGCACTTCATCTTCATTCCACCAACAGACACGCATTTTGATGGTATGCTAGTATAAGGGATAGTGTCATTCTGTTGGTATTCAATGCTCCCAATCTCGTCTATCTGGAGAGTGGAGGAGAATGAAAGGTTGTGTGTCGGGTAACAACGCTGCCTCTGCCAAGAAAATGGGGCGAGTCGACTGGATGGACTGTCACTGGACGTCTCGACTAGACTCTCAGCGCTCCCCGATCCAAAACAGTATTGTCAACAAATTGACTGGCTTTGCAACCAGCACTTACTTTGAACCACATTTGCTCCGCACTCCACACAATACACCACCTGTCCAAGAAGTCATTGATGTCCCGGCGAAGGGGTTAAATCAAGTCTTGAGCCAGATAAGAAAGCCACGATGAGCTTTTAAATCCATCCTAATAAATCTTGCTCTTGTTCAACTTACAATGTCCATACTTAGTGAAACGAGATGGTCAAGGATTTAAAGCAATGTCTTGCCACAATAATCATGTTCAAGATCGATCTAAGATCTGAGATCTTGGGTCAGAAGCACAGAAATCGTGATTCTATTTTAAAATAGTCAGATTGATTTTATTTGTGCATTTTTGATTACGTTTTATTTTTGGTTTTTTGATCTTATGTTTGCGACTTTCTATTTATGCACAGTATCTTCGTCAGCTTGTTTTTAAAGTTCCAGATCTATAAATATTTTTAGATTTATTTGTAAAAGCTGTATTTTGGGCCTTTTATTCTTCCAAGCTTCCAAGGGGCTTTTCACTTCGGCTCTCGTGTTTTCTTGGATATCAATGACCTTTGCTTTGCAAAGGTGAACTCTGTTGTTTTTTGTTCGGTTTTCAGTACTCTTTGCTCACAGTGAAGTAACGTGCAAGACAGTTGGGCATTGCACGTGATCCATCCCAAAGCAAATTTGGTGAACTGTGTGGCCACTACCAACTGCCAAACAACAACGGCAAACAAAAATCCAGAACAACAATCCTTCATCAAAACCATCATAAAGCACCCGCCCAAAGATAAAAAGACCACCATTCCAAGCAAACCTCTCTCAAGATAAAAAGACACCATGGCAGACATTAGCCGTATTCAGATTGACGAGAGATTTGGCGTTTGTGAAGCTTCGGTTGTTCAGATTTGCCAGAAAATGCCTCCCACCATGAACGGTAAGTTTGGAGTGTCTTCATTCAAGAGACGGAGTTCGTTATTTTTGTTTCGCGGTGGCTGACTGGCTTCTCGTTATGTTTTTTAACACAGGCCATGTTGCCAAGGGAGAATGGGACGACTACTGCTCCAAGGTTGACAAAGACTTGAAGAGACTGACATCTGTGAGACCGTTTGTGGTGGGCATGTTCATTCTTTATGTGATTGTCATGGTGGCCCTCTACATTTGCGTCGAGCATTTGGGTCTCTTGGATGAATACCGACCAACCACCTTGGTGATTGAGATCCTGGCTTCTGTGGGGATTTTGTTTGCCGTCATCTTCCTCTACGTGACATATGTCCGATGTGCCACCATTGGCGCTTTCAAGCGACGCACTTCCACCTTTAACGAACGAAGCTGCCCCCAACTGGAGCTCAAATGCAATCTCCCATTCTTCCAATTTACCGGTGGAATTGCCAAAGGCTGGTACGTCCTGGTGATTTCAAGAAATGGCGTCGTGGAGACCGCATAAAAAGGGGAGACCGGGGGTTTGTGCCCAACAAACAATCCAGCAAACAAATCAGCCCAACCAACCAACCAAACACACGCCATCCACATACTTCCAACTCCATGGCTGAAACATAGCTACATATGGTTCAATAAACTGCATCTACTTATTTATAGACTAAGCTTGCATTCCAATCTGACCAAGGGTGGTGAACAGTTACTTGGCATTGGACGGAGAACCCTTGCAGGCTGATGGAAGGCATGACGACTCGCTCACGTTGCCGAATGGCTCGGTCAATCAATCTAGCTATTAATACAATAGCGCATTTCCCACAAATGTGTTCCTACTAGGAGTGTGATCATCTCGCTACAAGACTGGAATATTGCATAGTCACGCCTTACTCCTGGACCAACTCCAGGTCCCAATCCAAGCCAGCCCTGGCCTGGACCAACTCCCGAGGCTAACCCTGGAAGAAATCCAGGACCTACTCCTGTGCCAAGCCTGGCCCTGTACCTGCCTCCACATCTGCACTAACAACCTGGCCAAGTGCAGGCCGGACTCCGGCCCAACCTAAACCAGGCCCAACACCGATGCCCAGACATACATAAAACAGGATCAAGCCTAGGAGACAGAACTGAATGACCACCACAAGCAAACAGCCTTCTAAAACAACTCCATCTATGGGGGCTTCTTTGGCTCAAAGGCAGGTAACAGATATTTTTTCTTAGCATATCATAGCAGTGGTACACATTACAAGGAGCAACTTGGATCTCGGCATCTCATATGGATTTTATTGATGGCATCCACAACGGTGGAGTCTAGTTTTGGAGAATGTGCGTCATGGAATGGCTCCAGGTTTTCCTTCAGCTGCTCCAGTGTGGTCGCGCCCACAATCACACTTCCCAAATCAGATACAAACCGACGAGACCGGACATAGGCAATGGCAAGTTGAGAGGGACTCAGATTGGCTTGTTCCGCAATCTTGACGTAGTCGTCAACTGCTTGCAATGTTTCCGGAGTTGCCGTAGCTGGTGACCACCGACTCATGTATTCGGGATACTTGATGAAACGAGACTTTGGACCGGCCGTTTGCGAGGCGTATTTGCCACTGAGCAACCCTCCCGCAAGGACTGACCAAGGCAGCAGACCAATATTGTACCTTGCACAACTTTCGGCCAAATCGGCTTCAAATCGACGATCCAGAAGAGAGTACGAGTTTTGAATCGAGACGAGCTTGTCGCGTATCCCCAGTGCTTCAGTAGCCTTGATCCATTCGGCGACACCGTATGGTGACTCGTTTGAAAGTCCAATGTACCGTACTTTACCAGCTTCAATAAGGTCCCGGAATGCTGATGCAGTTTCGATAATGGGAATTTCTCCTTCTCTCTTTTTGTCGTGATCAAACTGTAGCTGTCCAAAGACGGGCAGATAACGATCCGGCCAGTGGATTTGAAGAAGATCAATTCGATCCGTTTGCAAACGTCGCAGAGAAGCATCGCAGGCTGTGTTGACGGACTGAGAATCGAGCCGACAGTCTGGAAGAGGGCCGTCGGTGATGGGAGGAACGGATCGTTGTGCTGCCACTGGAGAATTCGGAAAGAATCCAGCCACCTTAGTGGCCACAACCAGCTCGTCCCGAGCAGCCGAGCCAATTTTCTTCAAGTAGTTCCCCAAGATTTCTTCGGTTGTACCTGCCCTCCATTCCGGAGCGGTGAGAGGAACAGGATACAACTCAGCAGTGTCAATGAAATTGATTCCAAAATCACGTGCATAATCAAGTTGTTCATTGGCATCTTCCTGATTGTTTTGCACACCCCACGTCATGGTTCCAAGGCATGCTTCAGACACCACAAGATCGCTGCCACCAAGCCGTCTGGCCCCTCGCACAGCCAGTGCCATGCTCACTAGAGTTGCTCTCATGTTGGTTGCCCTTGATACTGTTGATTGGCAGCCTGCCTGATTTGTGGCCAGGTTTTGAAGTTGATTGCACTCCTGTTTTGAGCTCGGATGAGATGACGTCAGTCCGAAAAACGAGTTTAGTCACGATTTGCAGGTCTTTCATGACTGAGCACCGCCCGGAAACCAACGTTGGGGGCACACGGGCACGCAACTCTCCGTCCCGCAACAGCACAACCGTACTAGTAGTCTCAGACAAAGACCACTCTGAGAGGCCAGGTCCCTTAGTGTTGTAGTTGTGGTTGTAGATAGTCATAATCATACAGTAATCATTGTAGGGCAAGCCTGAATCCCTGGATCCTAAGTTGTCCTGGTCGTGTCCAAGTCACCTCGAACCTTTCAGCTCTCATATCCCTTTAGCTCCTCTCACACTCCTCAATGGCGGACTGCAGACTCGACTCCACTCACTGGACCCACACACCCTGCACGGAAGACGGAAGAAGAATCGAATGATTCACTCTCTAGAAACTCGGTCCCTACCCGTTCCTCCCTCGACGGTAGATAGCTAGTCTCTGGCGACAGTCGTCAACATCATCTCCCTCAAGAGCATTGTTGCATACGAACCAGAAGGCAGGTCAAAGCAGATCTTGACCGAAGACGCCAAGGCTGTGTCTTCCCCATCTTCCACGGTCGCCAACCGCATATTGCCAGCCTTCACGATCAGACGGCGGTAGCTTCCTTTGGCTGTTCCTTCGTCTGGTCCTTTTTTCTCGAATCCAATCTTGTCCTTTTGCAAGAATTCTTGATACAAGGTCCCAATGTCGTTAGTTGGGTACTGTACTCCGTAGCCAGGTAACGGGAGCACAACTTGTCTCATCGACACTGAAGAGACGTTTGTGGAATCAACCACGTGGACATCAAAGATGCCGGCAGCATCATCTTCCAAGAACAAGTCACCAATGGCGGCCGATGTTGCGCCATACTTGCGCAATCTTGCAGACGCCATAAAGTTCCAGACCAAAGATTGATAGGCGTTGATCCAGAACTTTCGTTGATTGAACGGGATACATTGAATCGCCGCTAACGGATCACCCTTGCCGTAGCGGTGTAAGCCTTTCATCAGTGCCCTTTCTCGCGGCAGATTCTCGCCTTTGGGAAAGGCTTTGAGTGTTGCGGCCGGGTCTCCTCCCGAATCTTTCCAGACTTTGCGCACCTTTGCTTCGGCAGGGTTGTTCGTTCCACGGTACCCGGCCGCTCTACCGGTCATGACCAACTCGATCATTTTGTCGAAATCCCCCTGCAGCATGGCACGGCCAACATCGAACGTCCGGACTCCCACTTGCGAGGTTTCCCCCGGCGTTCCGACACGCTGTTCTCCAAAAAAGTTGACAAAACCCGAACGTGAGACCCTCTCGAACATTTGTTGAATGTGAAGTTTCTCGCAGGGCACTTGTTCTTCGACGACGCGGTTGTTGCCATTGCTGTTGGAACCATTCGCGCTGTTTGCGAAAACAACTCGTATTCTCCGCAACTTTCGAAGGGTGATTTCAAAATTGTTCCCCTGCAAATCTCCATTGTTGAGAAAGACGCTGGCGGGTACTTCCCGAATGGTACCAATGTGAATGCCCTTTCCCTGGAGAGCGTTCGCAGCTCTGCGAAGTTTGCCGGGTCGGCAATTTCGAATGGTACAAAACTGGTAGGTGACCGCCTTCATATCCTTGATGCCCGCCAACCCTACATCGCCGGTGCGGCACTTGATCTCCTTGCAGACGATATTGAGGGCTGTCAAGTGTTCTTTTTCCCTCTTTTTCAGTACGCAATAGATATTGGTGGACTGTGGCTGTTGTGGCTGTTGTTGACCCGTCTTTTGCTGTTTGGATCGCTGATACTTTTGTCGTGCTCGTTTTTTGGCCCGTTCATCCCAGTACACCACAATGGCGGCGGTCTTGTTGTCATTGTTGTTGTCCCCATCTTCATCTCTGGGATACTCGGACAGCGTCTCTGTGTGCATGGCACGATTCTTCAACTGCAGCATGCGATGAATGGGCCTTCGTTCGTCCTTGGTCAACGTTGGCTTGAGTCTCAAGATTGGATTGGTTCCGTTGTTAGTCTTCTTGCGACCATTATTATTACTTCGATCATTTTGTCGTCCGTCTCGTTTCCGTTTTCGGTTTTTGTGGTTGCCATCGTTGTTGTTGCTGTCGTTGCTGTAGTCGTTAGAGTCGTCAATCACGCAGCCAATCTTTTGGAATCGGTACAGCTTTGGCAGATCTTCTAGTGGTTTATCGAGAAAGGGAATCAGCTCGTGAAACAGGTCGTCCATTTCGACGTGGATTTGTCCCTTCTTCTTGTCGTCGTTGTCGGAAGAAATGGTAGTGGCCTTGAGCATAGGAAAAGCCAATCGCAGTGCCTTGTGAAAGTCGCCTCGATCCAAAGTGGTCAAGGGTCCTTCGCTTCCTTCTAGATGTGCAAAGTTGGCTGGAACTGCTGGCAAAACAACAACATTTTCTTGCTCTTTTTGTGGCGAGTCTTCAGATTTAGAGGGAGACTCTGGATTGTTTGCCAATTGTTCGATTTTCTCAAGTGCCTTGTTGTGTAAAGACTGTAATTCTTCCACCAGCTTCTTGACTTGTGATTCACTATAGATCTTGTCTTGTGCCTCCAAGACTTGTCCAAGCACCGCTTCAATGGTTTCCATGTGCGAAAGCATTGGCTTTTTGCGTGTTTCTTCCGTGTCCACGGCGTCCGTCACCATTTTGGTAGCGGTCGCATTGGCTTGACCATTTTTCTCGCCATCTTCCTTCGACTCTGCAGATTCGGCAGTGTTGGAAGTCGCATCCTTAGCAGCGGACTCCTTTGGATCCGTGTTCCAAGGAGTCGTCGTAGCAGTACTATTACTACCGTGAAGCCTCGTGTCTCCCAACTCGACAAGATCCGCCACTTGCAACTCTCTCTTCCTCTCGTCGTTTGCTTCCTCGAATTCTTTTCCAAAGATTTCGAGCATTCGAGAAACTTTGCTGATTTCCCGCACCACAAAGTCTTCCGGTCGTTCCTTGAGCACGCCCAGAATTTCACTCGTCACAAAGGAATTTGCAGTATCATCATTTTCATTTGGAATGGGATGCCGATCCTCTTGTAAGAGGTAGGACTTTGGAAAGTGATGCCGTGGATCAGGAGGACTCTCCGCAAAGACGTCTTCAATGCCAATAGTGGCAAAATGACGGGCCTTGACCATTGTCATTATTAGTTTTATTGATGCAGCAACAATAGCAAAAGTTGACCCGACAGCAAAAAGTTGACTTCCTCAACATGGTGGCGACCTCGTTTTTTGGATCTTTCAAAAGATTCATCATTCGTTCATCGTTAGGGTTAAAAAAGCATTGGCCAGCAGCGTGGAACGTTCCACGCTACGACTGTACGGAAGAATGCTTTTGATGGAAGAGTGCTTTGATGTACCGTGGTACCGGTACCAGTACTAGGATGCCAATCACCAACTTGCTAGTTACTAGCAAGCGCTCTGGTAAAGATCAGGTTGAATCATGAATCTGAGCTATGGGGTAGTTCGATCACCGCCAAGCTCGAGCCAGGTCGAAGGCTAGGCGTTCCAAGGCTCGAAATCTTGCTGATAAGGGCACACAAACGTACAGTATTGGGAACCAACGATTTTCTTGCTAGGATTTTGGGGCGTTACATTCGTTGAATGGTGCAATCCCACATTTTCCGCGTCTTGCTGGAACTGGTTCCTGCCGGGCATGTGGAGTGTGTCATCCCCCCATACAGCCCACGCAGTCAACTAGTCTACAGTACTCGTACGAGTAGGTCCCCCGTTCTTGTATGGCACCTGGCTAAATGGCTAGAGATCGCACAATACTAGCTGCCTCCTCCCATCCCATCCACAGGTCGAATTAGCTAGCTATGCATAGCTACCGGTAGTAGATAGATAGCACCATAAATTGCAAAGTTGTGTGCAGAGCAGCCAGAGGTGCGTAGCTCATTCGTGCTAAGCGCGTCATTCTCGCTCACCTCTGTGACGTGCCTCCTGCAATTTATTTGGCTCTGAACTTTCGGAGTTGGAAAGGCTGTGTCAACGGTTAAAAAAATCTTGCCAATCATTTCTTTTGCCTTTGCAACAACTGGTAAAAGCTGTGCCAGCCACTCCGCAAGAAAGAGGAAGTGGCGTGGTCTGGGAAGCGGGGGGACAGTACATATATATTGTGCCATTGTGGTTTAGCTGCAGTCCTTTTCATTGCTTCACGTTTCGACAGTATCAGCGGAGACTGAGACAGAATCCAATTGGTTCATTCTTTCGTACCTTGGTAGGAGACGACTTGACACTTGACAACAGGTGGTAAGTGCGTGCCGATGGATTAGTTAGATTGAATCGAATCATTCTTTCGTGGTTTCTTGGGAGAGATTTTGGTTCGTTGCTGGTTGCTGCATTTTCCCGTGTAGCTCATATACCCATATCTTTCGACGTGGCTTCCAGTTTTTGGAGAAGGAACCAGGTCCTTGTGAGACTTGACAACGATAGATCTGTTGCCTACTGCTTACCTCGAGAAAGAAATGTGGGTCCATCGCGACAGACCTGATTCCCTCTTGGCATCACAACGGGGCTGCCGCTATGATTCATTCGCTACCACCCAGGCCACGGATGATGCTACAGAGACATCGCCTCTGTTTGAACGATATCCACCAGCTCGAGATGGCAATAGCGAAGAAACAGCAATGATGTTGGACAAAATGAGGAGGGACAGCGATGTTATCTCGCCTTTTCCCCGTAGATCATACTCCAAAGTCGTCATTATGTTTGGGGTTGCCGTGTTGATTGGAGTTTTGGTATGGATAGGAACATATACCTATGCTCTCACAGCGGACAGGGACCGCTTCTACTCGTTTGCCGGCGATGATGACCATTACTACGATAGGCATCTGTTTGACATGCTACCTGTTCCGCTCATGCTCGGTTCCTTCAATGCCCAGGACCACGCTGATCATGCCAGGGACGGTCTCTACCTTGATCCAGATGCAAAGCACAAGCATCATAGGCATCACAAGAATCGTAACACGCCTTACGAACGTCTCCTGGGAGACGCCGAGCTTGAGGAATCCGATGTTCTGGCACCCGAAGGTTGCGAGGGTACGGTCATTCTCTTGAGACACTGCGAGAAGGGACACATCCGGGAGCATTGCAACTACCTTGGCTATGAGCGTTCCGTCTACTTGGCTTCTTTGTTTGGCGAGGATCACACCACTCGATGGCCTGCTCCATCCTACATCTTTGCCGAAAGGCCAGGAATGCGTCGCAATCCCAACAAGCAAAACTTTCGAGAGGTTGAGACTGTCTTGCCTCTGTCGGAAAAGTTCGATATCAAGATTGACTCGGAATACTCCTCTTTGGATACCAGCAAACTGGCACGAAAGATTCATGGAATGTTCCGTTCGGGTGAAATGTGTGGCAAGGTACGGTTGCTTCCGTCTGTTGTCCCTGCCATGTATCTACGGTACCTTACCAACGCAGATGAGAAACCTCACCACTTTCTCCCGTCTATGCTTGTTCTTTGGATGTGCGTAGGTCATTGTGATTGCATGGAAGCACTCCAAACTTCCGCGTATTGCCCAGGCTCTCGGATGCGCCAGAAACGAGGGTTGTCCAACCCACTACCGGGGCAGAGACTTTGATGCATTGTGGCAACTCAAGGTAAGTTTGCATGCTACAGGCATCAGGTTGCACCCTGGATACTGTGCCTACCAATCTCATCTGGTCATCATTGTTCCTTCTTCTTCTTCAGTTTGCGTACCGCACACCACTTCACTCGGAACACAAGAGCTTGAAGCCACCCAAGGCAGCCAAATGGATGGTATTTGGCAGCCCCCTTGCTGAGAACTTTGATCCCTTGGCCTTTTCGAAACAAGTGGGTGACTACCCTGCTGGAGGCACCAAGACGGGAGGTCGTTGGAGATCCCTGGACCATGAAATACCGGAACGAGAGTACATTCCAAAGCACAAGAAAAAGAAATACACTAGTGGCTTCTAGGCATTCTTCCGCAACTTCACACTGATGAAATCAAGACTACACAATACATCATGCTACAACAATAACGCGTTTAGACAGAATCATGAATCGAATCCTTAATGCACCTAGAGAATGAATATACATTTTACTAGGCGAAGCTTCATAGACGCAGAGCACAAAAAGCTCCGCATTTAAAAGAACAAATAAGTTTCATGGTTACTTTATCAACTAGTTTCAACATTAACAAGACAACCATTAGGAAGGAGGCTGTCGGGAAGGTCCAACGATGATCAGATACTGGTGTTGTCGTAGTAGTTCTCATCAGAATTGTATTGTTTTTATACACAGCAACAAGATTGTTTCTCGATATCTTCGTATGTTTGTGCGTTCATGATTCCATTTCTCATTTCCATAATGAGATAGACATGTGGATAGGCAAAGAATCCATTCCAGATCAAACCGACAATGTTAAATGTGATGAGTGAAAAGAGGAATTCGAGCCCATAGGCCACCAAACCGGCACCGACTCCAACGACATTGTATTTGAGTGCACCCCAAATGCCCGCGGCATTGAGCAGAATGCGGACCGAACTCAAGGCAATGGCAACACCCATGGAACCACCGAAATCGGTTCCCTCGAGTTCATTAATGGCGGCCACCATTTCATCATCGTCGTAGTTGCTGGCATCCAAATTGCTGGCAATGCTACCGGCCGTAATCATGAATAGAACACCGACGACTCCCAATACCATGCTGATGATATTCACAATAATGGTGGCACGACGCACATCACAGCATCCTCCACAGCCTGTAATGGCCAATTCAATGGATCAACAAGAAAGAAAGAAAATACCGAGTGAGATGGGATTATTTTGGTGACATCGAACACGGAACACCTTTGTGTGAACGTACATTTGTGTCCTCTCTTGACGCCTCCAGCTCCAGTCTTGAACACTCCATCGGGAGCTTCTGTTCCTTGGACCACAGGAGTGGCTCCTTGCTTGTCGGCGAGTGCATAATCGGTGTCGGCCATTGTCAGATTGCTTTCTTTGTTGGAGGAGGGAGCTGCTTCGTTTGGTTTATTAGGCGAAGAATTGTGGGAGCATTGGATGTCGGCAGCAAAGATCCGGTATAATCCAGACCTCCAGTCCCGCTATGTCAGTTTGAAAATCGAATGGATCTAAATAACTTTCGAATTGCAACGCTGTTTTAACTGCATATCCAATCGTAGTGCATTCCCTCTACACTCATGAGTCAAATAAGACTCAATTCGTGAATCAGATCTGACGTACCCTTTTGATGCTTCCAGAACCATTCAAGATCCCCGCGAAGCAACAAATCCTTCATTATTATTTTCCATCAACAGACTTGTTGTTCCATTCTGCAGCAGTAAAGAAGATGATGATGTGTCGTCCAACATCAGTAGCAGCATGCCTGGCTGTGGCAATGTCCATCATTTGCTTACTGGTGCTGCCTTCAGGTACAATGGCCTTCTTCCCTCAACTCACTCCATCCCGCACCGATACCCCCCAAACTGCATTGTTCTCCACAAACTCAAGAGGCATGGGGATGGGTGGCAGTAGTACCAAACAGAAAAAGAAAAACAAGAGCAAAAAGGGTGGAACTAATAGTAAAGGAATGGGAAATAAAAATAATGGCAACAACAAGAACAAGAGCAAACAATCCACTCCCTTTGATGCCGGTGCCTCGCTGTCTCGTTCCGAAAAGAAATACGAAGAGCTCCAACAGGCATCCGCTCGCGCATTACACGGCGACTCTGATGATACTACCCCTGATAATAACAACAATTTGGTGTCCGAAATGGTCGTGGCGGTCAAGGCCGTCAATTCCAAGATTGCCGGAACATCAGATTGGGTACCCGTGGCACAGTTGTGTTTGCAGCCTCATACCGAAGTCAGCAGCGAAGCGGTACAGGCGGCCATTTCCCTCTATTGTCGAGAACTCTCCTTTGCCGCCACACTGGGGGCCAAAATGTTTAGTGGTGTCCCACGCAATCAACTCCAATATGCCATTGAACCCGTCGACTCGTTTCAAAAGTTTGTCTACGGTCCTCTCATGGAACAGCAGGAGCAACAACAAGGTCAAGAAGAGCAACAAGTCATGACCAAGGCACAAGCACGGCAAATACTACAAGTCGATGACGACGATGACGACAATACCCCAGAAAACATGAGATCACGCATCAAACAAAGTTATCGGCGGAATTCCTTTCAATGGCATCCAGATCGACTGGACGATCCCACCGATGCCGACAAGGAGCATGCCGCACAACAATACGCCCGGGTCCAAAAAGCCTATGAAATCTTGTCTTCCGATATTCGATCGTCGGGATCCTCCTGGTATGCCAGTTTGGGAGGCCGGGAACGAACCGATTTTCGAACCATTGAAACCTTACTGGGAGGAGATGCGGCGACGGTCGTGTTGGAACGCCATAATGTGCAAAGTGCCGTGGCGGGGTTGGATCGAGATTTGGTGCAAGCGTTTGTTACCAGGAATCAACAAGCATCCTCGTCTTCGTCCTCCTAACTAATTTACTGGCTGATAGTTAGGTATAGTTGTTGACCAGACGGGCGAAGGTTGCGTTGGAGAAACAAAGCGCAGCACTTGTAGAGACACAGAATAATAATAATAAGACATAGAGAGAGTAAGGTGTTGGTTCCTCCTATTATTCCAGTTGCACAAATATGGCTCGACGTAGTTGCATGCTGAGCCCAGAAGAGCATGCTAGAATCATCGTGAATCTGCATGGTTTGCTAGAGCGTCAACCGGACAACTCCGACTTTTGACACAAGCTCGCTTGACGTCAGCTCGATTGTTCGTAAAGCATTGCTCTTGTTTTCAGGTCGGTGTCCCAAGAAGTCAGCCTTGTGTGTACTCTTTTCAACGGGGCAGCACCACTTTCTCTGCATACCTTCACCTTGCCTGAAAATCATACCAAGAATGTATACCAGTAATGGCTAAATTTTAAATGCATTTTCATTGGCATACCTCAACTGCAAGAATTCAATCATCTTGTTAAAAGTTTTCATGGCAGAAATTTCTGGTGTTGGTGTCAAGTAGAATTTGTCAAGTCTTCCCCCCTCAAATTGGCAACCAACTTGAAACTTGGAAGTGATTTGTCTGGGTAGAGCTTTTCTTGCAAGTGACACGAGCAAGTTAATACCCAAAGGTGTGTGAAACAGTTTGATTTGTTGGAAGTTCATTGGATAGGATCCGTAAAAGTCGCCATATATATGCTGAAACAGTTTCAAATCAATCATGTCGGAATGTAAGCAGTACCCCTCACACTCTCCAAAGAAAACGACCTTCCGAGTAGCCTCTAGGTCTGGATTGAGGATATGGCACAAGTAATGAACCATAAGCAGGGTTGTTCACATTTTCTCATGGGTTTTATACCCGCGGAATTTGGGATTATCAAACACTACCACAAATGTGTCATCTTCAGCACTGAAGTAAACTGAGAGAATTACACCTGGCCAATACTCCATCATTTTGGTGAATGTGCGCTTGGCTTCTTCAAGAGAATCCTGGATTTTCACATCCTCCTTGAGTTCCTGCATGACCCATACACGGCGAATGGCCTCATCTACGTCATGCTGAACAACAATGGCAAGCTGGGCACACACAAGATCAGATATGGCATCAAGTTCTGCAGAGCTCTGGATGCGTTCCCTGATGGCCAATGCCCATTCTCGTTCTTGTTCTGTCAGTTGCATCCGTTTTGGGTCCAGCAGTGGGTTAACTGGTACGGGTATACATAGTGGTAACCAGAAAGCAGCAGCAGGAGGATTCCCAGCTAAGAGCTGTTGTTGCTGCTGCTGGTCTAAAGGAACATTTTGTGGGCGGTCGTTGTTCCCCTGGAGTTGTCTGTTTATGTTACCATTTGGTTGTGCCATCCTCCTTGCTGTGGGCTGCACAGTAGTTGCTGATAACATGTGATGAACGACTTCGGCGTCTAGAGCCCTTCCAATTGGTCCCGCCCCTACTACATGTACCCCTGTTGGTCACCCCATTTCCACCTTACCTCCCCTTCCTCCCCCCCCCCCTCAACCCCCCTCCAGCCCCCGAGCTCTTACGTGGTGATCTTTCCATTCGCGGCTTGTTCGAACGTGGTACTACAGCTATTATTGACGTACGTGTCACTGATTTGGACTGTTCCTCTTACCGAAACAAATATCCCGTCAAAGTTTTCACCCAACAAGAAAGCGACAAAATTTCCAAATATAAAGAAGCGAGCGACTCCAATCGCACTTCCTTCCATCCCTTTGTTGTTTCCGTGGATGGCACGCTTGCCCCCCAAGCCAAGATTCTTTTACAACGCCTTGCTTCTACTACTGCCTCCAAAACTCAATTTTCCTATACTCAAATGATGTTCTTCATGCAGACTCGTATCTAAATTGCACTTGTGAAAGCTACCCATTTATGTCTCCATGAATCTCGCAAAGCCAAACCATTCCGCCCCCGTAATGGTCCTCACTTTCTTGCCCCTCATCCCACAGAACCTAGTCCTGACTTTCGACTGTTCTTTGCTTAAGCCTGGCCCCGGGTGGCTTCCGTAGATAATTACCCTACTCTAAACCCCGTTCTCGTTCAGCGTCGATAAGTGACTTTGAGGTTACAGCACAGACATAAAGAAGATGTCACACTGCCATCTTCCGCCGGGTAACACAAAACTAAGAGGCGGTACATTGTAGAAGGCGGTAAGAGGCGGTAAGAGGCGGTAGCATATGGTAAAATCGGCAAAAAAGATGGTAAAGCATCCAGTTAAAGATGGTAGAAGTCTTTTCCAGTATGGGAAGACAGTTTTTGCTCGAGGAGAGGGGTGGGCGTTTGATGCACAGCGGGGAGTGTTGGGGGGGGGCAGGATGTAAATGTAGGTAGGGATTTCGTTAGGGTTAATCCTACTTAACCAAACATAACGGTCGATACTCCGATTTCAACGGTCTAGATACCAAACACAATAGGTCCAACAGAGCGTCTCACATTTTGTCGTGACTTTTTCAAGTTCAAGTGAACCTCTCAAAAGGTAGGAACTTATAAAAACAAACCGGGTTACTTAGGGAATGAGGAAGGGACCCGAGGTCGGAAGTCTGACCGAGGGCTTAAGAGAGGGCGCAAGCCCGACAGCCCGATGGTCAGGCCGGCGACCGATGGGGCACAGCCGGCCCTAAGTAGCAGGTTTGTTTTGAAGAGAACGATAACGGCTGGTTTTGTATGACTTATGGGTTATTTTACGGCCGGATTTGTATTTAACGGTCAGTTTCAGTAGAACACGTAGAAATCCTACCGTACCAATACGAAACCTGCCAGTTCGTTCTCCAGTACGTCGTAGTGAGATTTGGACTAAATAACTCACAATTCTGACACCCCTAATGCGGGGTGGCTGGCGCAATTGGCTAGCTTCCGCTTGGATACGGTTTGTGCATGTCCTCATTTATTAAAACAAGGATGTCTAGCTAGCTTTTAATTAACACGGACACATTTCGATGTCGATTGGACTGTGACCAGTGCACGCACATTAATAAAGACAATGGCCTGAAACACATAGAAAAGAGTAGTGTGGACCAGATGAGAATCTTACAGATAGGACAGAAGGAAGGACCTCGGCGGGACTCAGCACAACAAAGACATGCTTCGATCCCTGATGTAAACCGACCTTTTTTTCGGCGGAGCGCGTTGTTTGCCACCAACAAAGAAGGCTCATGATAGCAGTTGCCTACCTCTCAAAAGGAAGCAAGAAGATGAATTTCAAGAGAAAAACGACGATGGTCCTGCCGACCAGTCCAATCAAAGGCCTTGTCAACTCACGCCTAGAGAATCTTTCTGGCCAAAAGACCCAAGATGCTCTTCTCGAGTTGATTGGCTTGCAGATTATTTCGCCAGCTACTGCAAATAAGACTGACGGCGGCGGTGTTTCTGGTGCCAGTCCTGATGCGGATGAAGACAAGCAAGAGAAGGCGAAAGAAGTGGGGGAAGAAGAGAATGAAGAGAACGATAGCGAGGAAGAAGGCGACGTTGTTGGCGTTGCCTATCCCTATCTGGAGCTCACTGAAAAATCTAATGGGTTATTGCAAGTGGGGAGGTTGGTCATCCGAGATTGCTATGTGGACGTCTTGAAGAGAGGAAAATGTGCCTTTGTGGCTGGAACCCTCGGCATTGGAAAGTCTATGTTTGGTTTGCTACTGCTGAGGGCGATTGTGTTGGAGGGGGACAAGACTGTTGTCTATTGGGACAAGGACAAGGCTACAGCATTCTCCTTCTGCGAGACCATGAAGGCAAGGTATGGCCTGAATCAGGAATTCGACGTCGACCTCAAGGCCGGAACAAAAACTCTTTACATGGTAACATGGGAATCCAACCAGGAATCCTTGGAGAATTTTCTCATGGATGACGACGTCTTGGTGATTCATGATCCATCGATAGAGTACACCAAGGCTGGACTCAAAAATGGCAAAACGTCGACCGTATTTGTCCTTTCCTATGGACACGGATTGATGGATGAATGGATCCGAAAGTCGTGTGGCCCCCCAACAAAACTATACATGCCGTGCTTCCAAAAATCGGAGATTCTGGCAAACAAGGATAATCTCTTCTGTGACCGGGAAGAGGATTGGAAAGTGAATATGGAAGGCAGCATTGAATCGGCATTTAAAACCTTTGGTGGAAGCATCCGCTACTATGGACGAGACGATTCACAGGACTTTTGGGAGGCGATGCAAGCCAAAGTGGAAAGAGTTCTCAGTGAGAACGGCAGGGACATTGCAAAGAGAACCATCAATTTCCGTGGTTCTATCCGGCACGTTGAAGTGGACTTTGACAAAAGCAAGCCCCTTTTCCCCGAGAAAGGACACAACAGATTCGAGAAGGAGGGTTACGTTTTGGGTTCGGATGGCATAACTCAGCGCAGCGTTCAAGACATGAAAAATATCATGAAATGTTTCTCTGGCGAACCTGGAGTGGAAACAGTGTACGGTGTCTTGTTTGAAACATACGCGCACCGCCTATTTCGCGAATCAATCAATGAAGGACCCCGCGCCTACAAAATGAAGGTTGTCACTAATGATGGAGGTAAAAACAACAAGCCGGAGTTCACAGAAGTACCATTCAAGGCGGAGGAACACATTCATCTCGCTGGAATGGATCCGAGCAAATTGAGCGAAGAATTCTCAAACCGTGCAAATGCGGAAATCAGTGCCTATTTTCAACCCGAGGTGAGCAACTTCCCCACGTACGACGCCGTATTGATTGTTTCGGGCGAGACAGTTGGTTTGGAATACGACAAAGTTGCCTTGTTGCTGCAAATGACAGTGTCGGGCGTCCGGAGTGAAACGCCAACCGAAACATAGAGTGAAGGGTGTCATCCGCACTCGCTTCGAAACAGCGATGAAGAAGGTCGTGGATGGATATGAGAAATCCGGTCGGTGTATTACCGCATTCTGTGTGCCAAAGGCGTGTTTTGGACCCTTTCAATTTCAGTTCGAGGAAAAGGCTGATGGCAGTCGAGCGGATAGACAGCCAAAATCTCAGTTTGTGCTTGAGATTCCCGAATGCGATTTCATCAAACTGGGGGCCGCAAACAAGCGCTCCCACAACCCCAACGGCGAAATCTGCGAACAAGACGGTATTCATCGCTTTCGCGTTTCCCCGTACGGGGAGAAGGCCGCAAAAGTAGCGAAGCTTCAGGACCGTCCGACGGTTTTCGCTCAGGCTTTAAAACCTGGCACGACTGACTCAAATCCTGGTTCTCGTTTAAGGGAATGTTGAAGATTTAAGGGAATGTTAAGGGAATGTTGAGGATTTAAGGGAATGTGTTAAGGGTATGTTGACTTAAGGGATTGTTCATTCTTTTTAAGGGAATGCTCTATGGGATTTGCATGAAGGCTTAAAGGAATGTTTCGAAGCTTTAAGGGAATGTTGATTAAAGGGAATGTTAAGGGAATGTTGAGGATTTAAGGGAATGTTTTAAGGGAATGTTTAAGGGAATGTTTCAACTGCCATATTTTAATTTTTTTCATAACCTGAGCGAAAACCGTTGGGCGGTCCGTTAGATTGAGAGAGAATACCGTATGTCGACAGAACACAACCTGATAGTCTGAATTGCTATCACTGATCATCGCACAGCACATGGTGGCAACTTTATTTTTGTTAATTCTACCACGATTAAGTCTTCTAGTCGCGCCAAAGAAATATGGCCATATATGTAGATCATTTATTCTGCTTTTGCAGCCCAGTCTGCAAACCTTGATAAGTACTGAGTTGTGTTTAAACTCACCTGACTGGCCCCTGTCACCCCACGCTTCATTGTCTTGTCTTCAATGTAATCCTTGAAAAAACGATTGTACTTGGCGGCAACCTTGCTATGTTCTTCTCGAAGCTTTTTCTTGTCGAGGGTTCCTGATTTCACTGCCTCTTTGAAGCAATTTAGGTCGTTCCTTACCCCCGAGGAAGAACCTGATGCTGTGAGACTTGGTGGGGTGCCGTAATGCACCCAGACATCTTCTTTCTTGCAATATTCTATGCTGTGTTTGAGGTTTCTGACGCTAGTCATGTGAGCTTGGATACCTAACAGCTTCAGGGTTTTCTTCATGGATGTTTGCTTGTTTAGGGACATGTGTCCCTGCAAGTAGGGGGTGCCTGTTGATGCAACTTCATGCCCGTAAATGATGTAATCTACTCTAGAGCTACTTGCAGCTTTTTCAATGGATGCTTTGTCCTCATCGGAGTAATTGTTGCAGGTGAACGCCCAATGACGATATCCGTTTGGCATCTACATTAGCGAGGATAGTTAGTTGATAGGTGCGAGCACCACATGGCAGCAGCACGTGTTATCATGTTAAACCATGGAATGTCTCTGCGTAAAACGAATGGCGATCCAATAATCTAGCCAGAGTGCCCGATGAGCAACGAACGAAACGCAACAACGAAAAAGCGAATGCACGAATGATAATAAACGCCGCAGCACGTGTTATCATGTTAAACCATGGAATATCTCTGCGTAAAACGAAAGGCGATCCAATAATCTAGCGTGCGCGATGAGCAACGAACGAAACGCAACAACGAAAAAGCGAATGCACGAATGATAATAAACGCAGTGAGTAAATGAAACAATTGCAAACAAACGCACCTTTTTTCACAAAAGAAAAATTATGTGGGCGAATGGAAGACACCGGGTGTTGCTGGGGACCCAGATGAATGCCAGCAGATGTTGCGCGTAGCATTGGATATGCTGGCGTTTACGGGATAGATGGTAACGCTCAATCGCTGCGGTGGCTTCTAAATAATGATGGCATTAAGGGCTTAAATACATAAAAAAAGGTCAAGGTTTTTAATCATGTTTGAGTCGTGACCTTTTTTCTTGTCAAGGGCATAAATACATAAAAAAAGGTCAAGGTTTTTAATCGCGTTTGAGTCGTGACCTTTTTTCTTGTACTGTTTTACTATTCAAAATGGGGGGAAAGGGTCAAGAGGTCAAGGTGTGGTAATAATGATTGGTCACACCTTTCCTCCTTGACCCTTTTTAAATTAAGAGATCTCAATGATTGTCTTGGAGGTCTTCGAGGGTCTTGTTTCTAAGATGGTCAAATACTTCATCAGGAGAGGCCGAGACGTGAACCATTTGTTAAAGTGCTGGTATCTCATATCATGAACGATAGCGTAGATTGTAGTGTGTGTGGGCGTTACCCAGGATGTTCTTCGAAGTTCTCAGGTGAATACGTCTAGGTAATTAAAGATGATGGTTTTTAAGATGGATCGATTAATGAGAACAGCGATGTCTGGCATCGAAGAGCATGAAGTTGTTCCTAAACATACCAAAAAACGAGCGAGGAGGAGACTACATTTGTTCGATTGGAGAAGAAAAGAGGGGAGGAGGAGAAAAGAGAGGAGGAAGAGAAACCGCAAGCTGGTGAATTAGGCAAACCAGAGAAGGTGGAGGAAGAGGAGGGGAAGGAAGAGGAGGGAACCCCTCCAGCAGAAGAAAGAGGGCCTCCAAAAGACAGAGCAGAACAAATCTACGAACCTGAATTTGATGAATACAGAGCCCCCGAGTTCGACTATAGAGGCGGTCTTTATTATTATAATCGCAACGACAGAGGGTGTCCTTACTATGAAGAAAGACCTTGGAGGCGTTATGGCCAAGGTGGTTACAGAGGTTGCAGGCCTTATAATCATTGGAGAAATTACCGGGGGAATTTTTATTCCGTCTTCGTATCAGCATGGCCATCGTTGATGATCAAAGAGAGGGGGGTGGAAGGTCGAGGCTCTCTGGTGTCCCGTCTCGCAGTTGCGCCAAGATGATTTCTTCTAGGTTCATACATGCAAGAGGGCGGAGAGTTGACTTCTAAGAAAACTCTTAAAGCCATTGACCCAATGATATTCATTCTTTCATTTAATCAAGTCATTCCCGTCTCGATCTTCATGTCGAATTGGGATATGCTATTCACTGTATAGTATCCCCCTTTGTTGTTTCCTCTTCGTATACACATACGTAGTGAAACCTGATTCGGTTGTTCGTTCTAAAGCGATAATGATAAATGTGGCGAGGTCGTCTTCATCATCAAACCAGTCTAATTTGTATTGATGATTTATCTTGAAGTAAGGCATTGGTAGTATCGTCGATTTAGTGAGCAGGCAAAGCGTGTGTTATCGGGTTAATTTGTTTTCTAAACCTTACTACAGAAAAAATGATAAGAATGGCTTCAGGTTGCCGAATTGGGTACAGCTCCGAAATGTATGAGCTGTGGTGGAGGGGTGTTGGCTGGGAGGTGCTTGGCTTGTGAGCTTGCTGGGTTATCCCATTCTTTGACTATGGCAGCCTTTTGGAAGTAGGCTTGCGTCAAGCGCTTAGGGGCTCCCGCATCCGCGGCCTCGAGGGCTTCGAGCAGGGCTTTCCCGGACTGGGCTGCCAGCAGATGGAGGTTCTTGAGCCAGGGTTTGAGATCTTCTGCGTCATCAGGAGGGGTGGGTGGGTAGGACTCGCTGAAGAATAGCATTACTTTGATCGTCTTCTTGAGTCGCTTGTATTGTCCTTTGATCTGGTTCTTCTCGCTTGGTAGCTTCGCTTTATATTCATCACTGTTCAATTCTGCTTGGTATCCTTCCTGGCAGCGGCGATAGAAGAAGCAGACAAACAGTTCCTCAATGGATGTATCCTTTCTTAAGCCCTTCACCGCGTCTGTAAAGAATATAGGGTTGAGATGGAGATGGCTGTAATGTAGGGGGTGGGCGTGGTTTGTTGAACTTGATTTCGAGAGTGTCAGCTACTGTGGCAAGCAATTTGTTTTGGTCGGATATCTGTTTCTCCAGGCAGTTGATAACCTGGGATTGCCTTGCTTGGCAGACTCCACACGGAGGCTGTGCACATCTTCCTGGAGGTTCATCTTCTGGGCAAAGAGTGTATTGTAAGAGGAGGACAATGAGTTGATAGTAATGTGAACCAGAGTTCTCGAGTCGATTAGAGCCTTTCTAGATAGATTGCTTGGGAGGAAGTTGTGAGATGGGGATGCAGGTGTAGTTGGAAATCGCAAAACCTTCGCGGACTTCCCCGTACCATTGCTCGAACGTTTCTTCTGAGACGTTTGCAAGTCGGAGTGATTCCTGAACTGTGTTGACAAATATGTCACGAGAGTTGGTGCTCCATTTGCATGTTGGGTGCTGGTTGATAATCAAGAGAAACTGACCGTAGTGCCTGAGGAGTGAGGCGGTCAGGATGTTCCTCAGGGGTAGGGGCCATCGTTCATCGAGATCTCCAACGAACAGCACTGAAACGAAGTCGTCTACGGCGGCTGGAAGGGTGCGGATTGATGTCAGTGCACTACGCTAAAAGCTAGTGTAAAGATCTTTCGAGTGTTTTGAGTTTGAGAGAATGAAAGTTATGAGAGAGATTAGAAAGCTATGAAAACTAATCAACGAGAGAGATCCACAATCAAAGGATCGTAGATCTGAACTCCCGCGGGAGACTGTAGAGTGAGATAGTAGAGTAGGTTGCGGTAGCAATCCTACTCGCTCCACGATCCAAAAACGGAACGCGTGGAAGATTCGTCTAGCATTTATCTAGTAGCGTGGAAGTACTCCACGCTGGCTAAATATCTAGAGCGATGTTTCATCATCAACCTAGTATGACTAGAGCGGTCATTGAGAATTCTGTCTCCAATGACTATTCGCGAAGGACTACGTCATGAGTCGAACTCCGACCCTATCTAGGATCGAGTCGCGAATAAGGCTAGGAGCCGTGTATTGCATTGGCTAAGAGCGTGTATTGCATTCGCCCCTGACAAGGGTCACGGAAGGCACGACATCAGTCGGACAAGGAGAACATATGATTTAAAGTGCGGGGCACTCTCCGGAGATTGGATGTAGACATGTGCGTCGCACGATGGCAATCCTACAAGGGGATCAGGCCTTGTATGGGTGTAATACCTTATGTTCCAAGTCTGGTAGACTGTGCCGCTATTGGCGGTAGTATGTCGGAGCCGTACATGCCATTATTATTGGTCGGTCTGTGTGTGTAAGGACCTTGTGCGTTGGCTAACGTTCTGATACTGATAATCATCATAGTTTCGTTGACATGTTGTTGAAGGGACACGTGCCGTGTTCTCCTTTCGGTGTTTTTCTGGATAAGTCGTTGGCGACGTTCCTTAATGTATTCCGGTTTGCTTTGAAACGGATGGTGAAGCTTGTTCACGATTGACGCCGGTGAATTGCGACGAAGTCCATGTTCATCCGGAGAGTCTTCTCGATCTCTGCGCTGGACTCACGTTCTCTGTCCATGACGACCGGTCATGGGTACTGGGGAACCTACGTCTGGGTCAGAACGATAGTTACTCCGTCTGCTGTCTGGAGCAGCCCTTGGTAGTTCATTGGTCCAATGATCTACGAGGTTTCCTTCCTGTTGGTAGGAGAGCGATAGCTGGATCGCATCTGTTATCTTTTTAGTTAAGAGTTGGCTTCCTTCTCGAGAAGTCCAATTGCTAGATACTCCAGTTCTTCCTATCGAGGAAGGCCTTGGTAGTGTTGATTTCATCCGACTTCTTGGAGTCTTGGGGAAAGGTCATCCTACTGTTCAACGCGATCTCGAGATCGACGTCCGTTAGGATAGTTGATCATCAACGTATGCACGGACATTTTCTAAGTCTGCATGCGTGCTTTCATCTTCGTTTGGAAGATGTCGGGACTATTCAATAGGCCCATTGGCAACCTCTGGTACTCGTGCTTCCCTTCGGGAGTGCAATGGTATAGTGTTGCTTCGAGTGGGTGACAGCTCGATGTGGTAGTGTCCGTGTTCAGGTCTAGGCTGGTAGCGCACTTGAATCATTAGGTTCAGAGCATGTCTGTATTTTGGGATAGGATAAGGCTTCCTTAATCCTTGTTTCGGTTCCCGAAAATCGAGATGAATCGTGCAGATCCCTCTTTCTTGGAATGATAAAAGTTGGTGCCGCCCACTTGGAACGAATCGCCTTCTTGAGTGCTCCTGCTCGCAGAGACGTCAACCTCCTTCTTAAGAGTGTTGGTTTGGACCCGTGGAGTAGGGTGGCCTAGTTAATAGGATTTAACGTCGACGAAGTTCTATTCGTAATTCGTAGTCGTCCATTCGAACTCTCCCAAGGTATCCCGACTGGGTCGAAGCACCTGGTTGAAAAGGCTGAGGCAGTTCTTGCTCCTCCTTTTTAACGGATTTCGACTCTGGCATATCTGCCTTAGCCTATTTGTTCGTATGTCGTATCAAGAATCTTCTTAGACTATCTGCTTGTCGCTGGCAGCTGCAGAATC